GAAAATAAAAAGAAATCTCAAAACTCAACGATAAGAAAACAAATAACTCAATTAAAAATGGGCAAATACATCTGGTTACTCCACCAAAGAAGATATTCGGATGGTAAATAAGCAGGTGAAAAGATGCCCAACATTATTAATCATTAGGGTATTACAAACTAAAACCACAGTGAGATACCACAACACTCCTATTATAATGACTAAAATGAAAAAAACTGATAATACTGTGTTAGTGAGAATGTAGAGGAAATGGGACTCTTGTACACTGCTGGCAGGAATGTAAAATAGTAAAAAGACTTTGGGAAACAGTTTGGCAGTTTAAAAAAACAACAAACCCAGAACATCTACCTACCATAGGATTCCAGCCATTCCACTCCTAAATATCTTCCCAAGAGAAAATATATGTCTATACAAAGATTTGTACACAAATGTTCATAGCAGCTTACCTCGTAGTAACCAAAAGCTGCAAACAACTCAAATGTCCATCAGCATATCCATTGAATGGACTGAATTGTGTGCCCCCCAATTTCGTATGTTGAAGCCCTAACCCCTAATGTGATTGTATTTAGAGTAGGAAGTAACCAAGGTTAAATGAGGTCATAAGGGTGGGGCCCTAATCTGGTAGGATTAGTGTCCTTACAGGAAGAGACACCAGAGAGCTCACTTGCTTACTTCACTATGTGAGGACATAACGAGCAGGCAGCCATCTACAAACCAGGAAAAGAATCCTCACCAGAACCTGACCATGCTAGCACCCTGATCTTGGACTTCCAGCCTCCAGACTATGAAAACATAAATTTCTGTTTAAGCCACTCAGGCTATGGTATTTTCTTATGGCAGTGTGAACAGACAAGCACATGAATGAATAGACAAATTGTGGTATATCTACATAATGGAAATCTAGTTGGCAACAAAAAGCAATGAACTATTGATACACATAATGACATGGATAAATCTCAAAATACCAATGCTGAGTGAAAGAAGCCAGACCTCTCCCCTCACCCCTCCCCACAACAAGTGTACGCTGTATGATTCCATTTATATAAAACTCTGAAAATGCAAACTAATCTATAGTGATAGAAAGCACATCAGTGGTTGCTTGGAGGTTGGTGGAGGGTTTGCAGGGGTGGGAGAGAGGTATTACAAAGGAGTACAAGAAAACTTTCAGGGGTGATGAATATATTTACTATTTTGATTGTGGTGATGGTGTCATGGGTGTATATATATGTCAAAACATTAAATTGTATACTTTAAATATGTTCAGTTTGTTGTACATTAATTCTACTTCAATAAAAATATTGTATGCCTGTTTATATGTCAGATATTTTGCTGGGTGTTTTCATAAAATATTCATTTGCTTCTGAAAGTATTGTGTGGTAGGGATAAAACTGAATTTAGAAAGCATTAATATACCTATAGAACAAGAATGTATTATGCAGAGAGGAGGAGGAGAGGAAGGGAGAAAGGAAATGGGGAATGGAATCCAAAGGGATTCCTGGAACAGAGGGAGTATCCAGGGAAGAGAAAAGGGGAAGATGATGTGGTTGATTGTACTTTCCAACAATGGGTACATTATTTCTTCTTACAGTGTAGCTCTGACACTCTTCCCATTGAGTGATGGAGTCTTTGTTCCCTCATTTTCAATATGGGGAAGCTTGTGACTACTGTGGAAGTAATGCTATGTGACTTCTGAAGTCATAAAAGGTGATTCAGCTTCTGCCTGGTTTTCTTGCAATGTTCACTCTTGGATCCCAGCCCCCATGATAGGATGAAGCCCAAGCAGCCATGAGGAGGTCTTATCTGAGCTCTGAGGTGGAGGACAGCTCTGTCTGAGGTCTTACTTGATAGCCAGCATCAACCACGTGACATATGGGTGAGTAAGCCTTTGGATGAGTTACATCCCAGCCTTTGGGTCACCCCAACTAAGGTCTTGACATTGTGGAGCAGAGAGGAGGTGTCAGTGGTGTATCCTTCCTGAATTCCCAAGCCACAGAATCTGTGAGCACAATAAAATGGTTGTTATTTTACACCACTAAATTTAGAGTGTCTTTTATGCAACAGTGGCAATGAAACAGGTGATATGGAGGAAGTGGAAGTAATAGAAACAATAGAAGGAAAGCTAGGATCCAGCCCTCTTGAAAAATTAGAAAATATTCATAGGTAGTTTTACTAGCTTTAAAGAGTGGAGACTCTCAGAGAAGTGATCTAAGGCTTTCTGGGATGAGAAATAGCCCTTGTCATCATGGGTACTAGGAAGGTGGTCACAGTAGCTAAAGTACTGGAGTGGAAGAAACTCTCTCATGATCAGCTCTCTGACAGTCCTTACAAAAGCAAGAGTGTGGCCAAACACATGGGTTAGGATTTGCCAGCTTCTTGTTCCAGGAAGAAAGATTTAAGAAAAATTGTGTTTTGGGTTAATGCTGTAATTAATTACACATACTATAAATTAATACTCATGGTTTTTGCACAACGGGAATCACAAGAGACAGATATGTGTCATTAGTAGATCATTTTATTATTTATTTTTAATACAAGGCTCTCTTTCTTTCTTTTTTTGCAGGGAAAGATTGGCCCTGAGCTAACATCTGTGGCAATATTCCTCTTGTTTTCCCCCTTCCCAAAGCTCAAGTGCGTAATTGTATATCCTAGTTGTAAGTCCTTCTAGTCCTTCTATGTGAGCCACCACCACAGCATGGCAACTGACAGATGGGTGGTATAGTTCTTCAACTGGAAAATGAACCTGGGCTGCCAAACCGGTGAGTGCTGAACTTTAACCACTTGGTCATCACGGCTGGCTCAGTAGATCATTTTAAAAAGAGGATTCCTTAATCTAATTTTGCCCACTCCGTATGTCATAAGCTTGACTCTTGAAATCAAGCAGAAGTCTCCCAAATCCAGGTATTTATACATAAAAATATCTTCAAAGTTCTTTAGCTCTATTATGAAGATGACAAATGGATTTGAGAATGAATCCATCTGCAATAAGAATTACTTGTGAAGTGACTCCTATGTTCATGAAGTCCCAGCAAGTAAAGGGCAATTCTGACATCAAAGTTTGGTTCTGGATCCCTAGTAAACTAGTAACAACCCTTAATCAATGTGTTTGCATTCATTTTGGCTTGTCTGAATTTTGTTTTCAGATTTATAGATTCTTTCTTGCGTGAACCACTTCACCTTTGTCTTTGCTATATGCCATGTTGGGATATTATGCTTTTTTGATTCAGAAAATTCATTGCTAATTTCCATCTTTGCTTGTGTTCTTGTTTAGAATACAGTTTCAGAAAGAGTCTTATCAATTGATTTCTACAGATGCCCCTGTTTCCTCCAACATGTAAATGATAGGCTAACTGCTTTACCTGTTAACAAAGAAATGGTTGAATAATTTTACAGCTCTCTTGCCTAACCTGATCATACTCTCTGCATTCTTTCTGGTGGTGATGACATTCTCTTTCTGGAGGAACTAGCGTTTGTGGTACACTGTGGCACTGGAAAGGAAATTTTAAAACTCATTTGGAGGGAAGACTGTCTTTCAGCATGGAGCGTGAGCTGAAATGGATCTCCTATTCTGTGCTTCTCTCACACTTTCTGTATCACACCATTAAACATACTCCAGGGTACCAGAAGCTCCAGGAGATTCTGTTTAATCACTTCATGCCTAGTATCATGGGGACCACAATCAGGATGTGGGGCATGATAACCCCCTGTGGTTAGGATAATAGCTGTTCCAAGTTTTTGACACAGGCAACACAAAGTTACATAGTCACAAAATTATCTTCAGGGCTGGTGGTAGAAAGGAAGAATGTTATAAAGGGTTAATTTGCCCACATTCAAATAATTGGTATGTTGCAGAACCTAGTTTGGACTCAAGTTCGTGCTTTTTCTTTTTCTTTGCTAAATTTATTTTCACATCGTATCTTACCCCCAGAAAGAATGTGTGAGAGCTGCCATTCACGGGTGGAAAGGGTTAGTACGCTGAAGGCTGAAGATGAGAATCTACCTGGCTGTTAGTGTACCACATAATAAAGCACGAAGCACATCCTGCTGGTCCCAGAGCCTCATCATCCTTCTCCCACAATTCTGCCAAACTGTCCTTCTTATTGGAAAGGAAATTCACAACACCACTCTACTGATAGGTGGGCCCCAGTGCAAGAGGGCTGATAACCTAAACTTCATATGTTTGAGAGACAGTGACTATGTACCAGAGATTCTCAAAGTGTGGTCCCTGGACCAGCAGCATCAGCACCACCTGGGAACTTGTTATAAATGCCAACTGCCCCACAGCCACTGAGTTAGAAAGTCTGGGGGTAAGGTCCAAAAAGCTATAGTTTAACTAGTGTTCCAGGTAATTCTGATACACATTAAAATTTGAGAACCTTTAACCAAGACATTCACAAAACTATTTTGTTCACAATTTGTGCTTAATTGTGAGGACAATTGTGTAAAATATCCTGTAGTAATAGGATGTCAGAGATTACTTCCATCATGTATCCATTACATTAAACACTTATTAAGCAGCTACTATATGCAAAGAACTATGTTAGCTACTGTGGGGAAAGGAAAGATGAATAAAATATGGTCCCAGCTTTCTGTGAGCTCCTCCAGTGTTGATGAGGTGTACATATTTGGTATATATTTGTACATATTTGATTTGCCAATAGAACAGAGATGAAGGTAGCACAGTGGCCTGCCTCCTTGGTGGCTATGTGTAAGCCCTCTCACAAAATGAAAAGTATGGGTGAAATTCGTCATTGTGTCATTGATGAGGAAAGGAAACCATCCTTTGCTCTTTTCAGAATGAAGAATGCAGAGTGTTCATGAAAAGTCTAACAGTTTGAACCATAACGTTCACCTGTTTACTGACTGAAACAGGATGCGCAGCTTCATCCTTTGCAGTTGCCTTTGCCTTATGAATCAGCCCCGGGCTCAAGAATCTCAGGCTAGGTCAGGATCACAAAGCCATCTTTTACCTGCTCAGCAATTAAACAAATTTGCACTAGACGTTCCCTTCTATTTAATTTTTATTAAAAGAAGTGCTAAGGTACTGAGATGCAGTACATCATATTTATTACCAAAATTATTAACAAATATACAAAACTTATACATGTAATTTTCTTACATCCATTTATTCTCTATAATGCTGATTCTTGTTCAAGTAGGTTATCTACAGTATGTAAACATCCCTTGGATTGACCTCACACAGATTAGGAAAGCCCTCTAACCCATGCTTTTATCAGACACTTCTTTTTATTTGGCTTTCATTTGTAGTATCTAATCTTCACATTTGGCACACGGAAGAGACATCTACAGTGCAAAAGAGGCAGATTTTCTGGTTTCCTTCTGAACAATTTTTCAGGGGCACAGTAAAAGAGCTGAGAGAACAAGAGCCCTCTAACTTGATGGAGTTGGATTCGTTGTAAAGCCAACGACTCTTGGTTCAGCCATTAAACTCGAGCACAAAGTCAATGCCTCTTCCTTCTCCCACCCCCCACCCACCCCCCATGCAAGGCCGAGTCGCCTTAACCTTGTCTCAAAAGGGTTAAAAGAAATTTCATCCATCCTAGAACAAGTAGGTTAATTTCACCGAGGAATAATTTTTCAGTGTTCTTTTGTGTGGGCTGGCTTGTGCAGTTTGATGAGCTAGCAAAACTCTTAAATGGAGAATAAAATAAGATTAAAAACAAAAAAGGATACGAGAGTAGAACTTCCTATCTGCGTTCAATTGTCACCTCTGTATTTAGGATCAGAGCCTCTTTGTGGTGGAAAAGTGGCAAAGGCCTTGGTGAATGGTAAAGAACAGCCAAGCTTGCCATATTAACCTTGGACTCCAAGCCTTTGAATAGGGTCACAAAAATTAAAAAGAAAATTAAAAAAAAAGTCATTGGAGATTCCCCCCCGCCTCTTCCTGTGTTTCCTTTTGATTACTTAACTTAATCTAACCAAGTAAAGCTGATCCAGAGAGAGCTCTGTTCGCCCGCTCACCCCCATTCTCACTCTCCAGCACAGTATTGCTCGTGGGATTGACTGCACCTCGTCCGCGAAGCATCCGCTAGGAACGTCTGGGTTTGGCCACGCGCCTGCCTCCCGGCTTCCGTCACCACAGGGGCGCCGGCCCCTCCGATGCCCCGTAGAGCTCCGCCAGCTTCCGGAAACGGGGCCCCCAGTCCGTCAGGAAGTCGAAGCTCTGCTCCGAGTCTGATGTGGCCGACTGCAGGGAGCTGAGCGAGCCGGCCACGGAGCCGTCCCCCTCGAACATGTAGGTCTGGAGGGAGTCGAAGGGCGGGGCCCACAGGTCCATGTCGGCCTCGTAGAGCTTGGCCAGCACGTAGCTGTGGACGGTGCTGTTCACGGCGCACGTCTGAGGCACGTAGCGGGAGAGGCTCTCAATCTCGGGCAGCATGTCCTGCCGCGACTTGGGGGCGCCTCCCGCCTGCGCCTCCCGGGGGTTCCACATGGCCGCGATGTCAAAGGCCTCGGTGTCCTCCTCGCCGCCGCCCTCGTCATCGTAGCGGACGATGTTCTCGTGGATGTTCTCCTCGTCGTCGATGATGTAGGGCTGTTTCTGGTGTCTCCTCATAGACAGAATGAGCAGCACCAGCACTGCCGGAGACAGAGAGGACAGGATGTTTACTGAGGAGATCGCGCTGTGTGCGCCGTGACTAGAAATAGTCTCGATTAATCACAGGTGCGGGAAGAGTTTGCTGAGTGGGGAACCCAGAGTCGGCATCTGGATGTTTTAAACCACAGGCTCTACCTCGTTCTCACTCATTCCGCCATGTCAAAGTGAGAGTTCCTAGGCAAATGAAGCCCTGCAGATTTTTTCAAGTGGTTCAGTTAGAAGTTGCATACAAAGTCTCTTTGTATCAACTTGCTGCTTTGAAATTGTGTCTGTGTACACCCAACCACCCAGTAGAAAAATCCCGTTAACAAAGCACTGAGCATTATGGCCTGCCATGGAGTATATGCTAAGGATCAGATCATGTCTTCCTAATATATAAAGACAGCTATACATTCCTTTTATAATGTGAAAAATCTTACTATGTGGATGGAATCGTGCTTTCTTACAGTGACATCTTAATAAGATTCTACCCTGTAAATATGATCGTCTTAATGTATATGCATATAGACACATATGCTAAGTATGAGCCAAAGTCTTAGTCCTTTTATACCTCCTCCAAAAATTGAGAGCATAAATGACTACCGTTGTCCAGTACACACAGATTCCTCAGAAAAGCCTTCCATTAGAGCGGTGGTTGTGACTTTCTGGATCCCATGATGTTCACGGGAGGCAGGGAATGAGCAGTGACATTATATATAATGCATCATGTTGTCAAAGAAGCACCACACTGTTAGATGTGCTCTTGCAGGTTTGGATAAAATTTTATCCCAACCAATGTATTTTTTTTCCAGGATGTTTTCACTGGGCTTTAAAGGAGAGAGAGAGATAATCCCATTGAACTGTTTATCTCTGTGGCTGAAAATGTTTTCCAGGAAGTGTGTTGAGGTTTTAGCTGTAGACTGCTATTGATTTTTTTTCTGGTGTTCTTTGTTACAGCTCGTGAACAGTGACAGCTTGACAACACTGAAAACAGCCCCCAGTTTATCCAAGGGGGGAAAAATGGAGTACAGTCATATGTCCAGTAAGATTACAGACTGACTTAAAAAACTCACAGTAGTGATTTTTAAAATTTAAATGCAGAATGTGCTGTTTGTAAATTGCAATTAATGATATTAATACCTAATATTTTCCCAAATAGCTTGAGTGACAAAAGCACACAAGTGAAACACTTATATTCTCCCATGTATTTTCTCTGCGTGCAAGAATGAGACTCATGGACAGTAGGACTGTGGAATTTCAGAAAAATGGATTAATATAGCTCTAAAGAAGTGGGGACTTGAACTGGGCATTGGTGGCTGGAGGGTGATTTGGAGGGGTGTAGGTTAGAGAAATGGGATTCCACGTGAACGTGCTGTGTTTGTGGGATTCAGTAAACGGTTACTAAACCCAAATATTTTTAAGGCACTATGCTAAGCAATGGGGAAACAGCATTGAACATGACATGGTTTCTGCTTTTATAAGCTTGTAATCTAAGGAGACTATAGATTCTGATGATTAATATGAGTCAGGCAGTGATAAAGGCTATCAGAGGGTTATGAGTGTGGCAAAGAGAATACAGAGGCAGGACCGGTTAATTCTTCCTAGGGGACTGGGAAAACCTTCACACAGCAATGGAGAAGGTAGTATTTTAGAAAATGCTAGGAAACAAAATTGGAGAAGTCTTTGAGTATGTGCTTGAAAGAATTCTGATGGTGATGGAGAGCTAGACAGTTTACAGAACTGGTCCAGCGCTTGAAAAAGAAAGACTGTTACATGGCTTATTTGTTAGGTAATCGGATTTAAAGAAGAGTGTTGCATAATGCCCGGAAAATCAAATTTTGGGAAAAATGGTCCTATTCAGCTGATAGGCTTCTCTGACAGAAGAGAATCACTTCTAGGGATATTTATTCTTTAGGTACTATAGGCATAGTACCTATGAGATTTTCTAGAAACTAGATACATATTTGACACATGAAAAAAATCCTGCAAAGTCAAAATTAGTCTGTTTATTTAATTGCCCACAAAATGTAGTATTTTGTTGACAAATCAACTGCAGTTCAGTCTTACACTGTTTTATGAATTATATTTAATGTGAGATGTGCACTCTTAGAAATAAGAGTGCCTAAAACTATGAGGAATTTCTGACAGCTTTGCTCAGTTTAGCCCCTTAAAACTGTCTATTTATTCTGTATTCAAAAGACAAGACATAGTGGGTTTGGGAGGCACAAAATAAATTGTTCTTTGCACAGCACTTATAACTTGAGAGCTGCTCCATGCCAGTCTCTTTAAATCAGTCTCTCTGTAATGATGGCTGCTTCTGCTCTTTGTGGGCCAGGGTGAACTTATAACATAGACATTTTCCAAAGATAGAAGTAAGGACAGCCGGTCTGGAAATTTCTCCTAGGAGCAAGTTTTTTCAAAGGCCTCTTGCAGGTTGTCGTATTGTGCACGCAAGGACTCTCAATGCCACCTTATGGACACTCAGGGGATTGCAGGAAGGTTTTATTTGTCAGTACAGACAAGGACCAGAAACCATAACAATTCTCTCTGATCCAGGGATCCAAGGACTTAAAAAGGTTGCTTATTTATACTACTTCTCCCTTCATGTAGCACTAAGCTAAAACAACAAAATTAAACCACATGTTGTATTTTAAAAGGTTTTTGAGAAGCATATTCCACAGATCTACCTAAGAATGCAATCCAGTGCTGACATTTTGCAGTCAGGACCTTCTTTCTTTGGTCTGACTCTGTCTTGTGGTGTAGAGGTAAACCTGGGATCAGGAGGGCTGTGGATATTTGCATGTCTGTTCTAATTTAAATCCCCTGTGCTTTCCTCTTTTCCCTCATACAATACTAGAACTTCTTTCATATTGAATATATTACTATCTACTGAGTCTGCATTTCTCTAAGCAAAATATGTATGCTGTAAATTAATTAATTCAGAAGAGTTGGGATATATGGACAGATTTTTCTGGTTTAGGTGTTTTATTTGTTTTTGAGTGTGGAGTTAGAAAACAATTGCATGAGTGGCCTTACATACAAGGTTGCTGGGTAGCTACCTTGCAGTATGATCTGAGAAGAGGAAGAATGGGTCCCTTATCCCGATAGTGCTCTCACACTAGTCTGTCATCACTTCTTTATTTCACCAGCAGAGGCAAACTGGCCCTGTTCAGTCGCTGCTTCTTGTCAGATGGCCACAGTGCCTGGGAGGAGTGCTAATGCCCCAAAACAGCTTATTCTCCCAGATATCCATGTGCTTCACTCTGCCACTCCTTTCAGATCTCTGCTCAAAGGTCTTCTCATCAGTGAGGCCTTCCCTGACCACTCTCTTTAAAATGGCACCTACCCTTGTCGTCTGTCCTCTGAGGATACCCTGTCCCCCTCCCCTTCTTTGTAACACCTACCACTTCCAGATGGGGATGAACAATTAGGAGAAGGGCTGTATGGCCCAGGTATAGGGATGCACAATGTAGGGCCTGCCTGCGTTTCAGCCCAGCTCTGCGTCTGACATTTTGCCTTGGGCTTATCACTACGTCTTTGTGATTTAGCTGCTGCTTATCTGAAATGAAGGCGTTAGAAGAGGCTATCATTATATCCTGTCTAAAATTGTCGTTTTGGTTCTATGATGTCAAAACGAACTTGCTTTGTTTTGAAGTAAGCTCTTGAAGGTTGGGACATGTCTGTCTTATTAACCCCAGCACCTAGAATGGTGCCCTGGCTTAGGTGCTTAATAAATATATGGGCTTTGATCTGGCCAAAGAGGCCATGAGTTCCGTGAAGGAAGGGACTTTCTTCGCTTCTTTATTTTTTCCCAGCTTTACCACCTTTTCAATCAGCACAGTGTGGGAAACCAGTTCTGAATAGATGTTAGGATGAAAACTAAATGATATCTAAGTAAGCATTTGTGGGACCCTATAGAATGGAAAGGAGCCACTTACCTAAGAGGACAAAGATGCAGGCCAAGATGGCGATGAGGGCGCCCCGGCTCAAACTGACTGGGAGCATGTAGGCCTCAGGGCTGCAGGACAGGACATGGCCATCGTCGTCACAGCTGCACACCTGGATAGTCAGCGTGCCTGTGCTGCTCAGCACTGGCTGCCCATTGTCTGCTATCAGGATGGGCAGGTAAAAGACACTCTGCTCCTGCTGCCGGAAGCCGGACCTCCGGGTTAGAATCCGGGCAGTGTTATCTGAAGAAGACAGGGGTTCCAGGATTGAAAAGGGAAGACGAAAAATGAGAAGGAAGAAGAAAATGTGAGAACCAACAAGTGAATTAATTTCTTGGGATGAGGGAAAGCAAGGGGGCAGGAATGGAGTGTGGCAAGGAGAGAGAAGGCTAGTGGAACATTCATTCCCTGGAGCCGTTCAGCTACAGCCACGTCAGCTTTGTCTGGATCAGCATTTGGATTCAGAAACTGAGATTTTTGCTTGCTTCTAGGCAAAACCCTGAGGCCTAGGAGAGAAAGCCTTTTTGAGAGTCTGTCATACCCTTTGTGACATAAAGTGCCCAGGGCGAACTGTCAGACTTCAGATCTAACTGAAATGTCCCTGAGAAAGCTTGACAGAAATGAACCATCAATGGCAACTTGTGGTGCCTGTTTGTTCCCGCTCAGCAGCTTTCCAAGGCCCAGCGCTGCTTTGTGCCTCCAGGAAAAGAACACTGAGGAGCCCACGTGGCTGTGGCAGATTGCTTATTTTTGCCACTTTGGCTGGGATTCATGTCTTTTGCTGTTTTCTTTTATGCCTCTGAAATGCAGTCACCAACTCCTACTGTGCTTTCTGAAGAATCTGCTCATTTAGCAGAAACTTATTTGAAATCCCCCAATCATATGACATACCCTGTTATTTCTCCGTACTTGGTGGTCTAAGTTTAAGCAGTTAATATGAACTTGGTAAAAACTTACTCCTGATCAGCACTACTAGATGTTTTTCCTTTAGTTTTAAAGGAGATTAGCAAAATTATTTGATATGTTTCTACAGAGCAGATGTGTGTGTGTGTATTTGTATTTATATTTGCTTAGGTCACATTTCGGGACCTTTTATTTTTATAATCTGTATTCTTAAGTTTTCTCGAGTGGATTCGAATTATAAATCAGATTTTTTTTTGCAAAGCTCATGATTTTCAGCAGAGGAAAAGTTTGAGAGAGACAGTAGTACGTACAAGCAGTCACTCTCAAAGCTAATAGCATCAAAACAGAAGGTCCTCTGGATGTGTTTCACATTTCACAGAGAAGAGTCTAGAACTTCACAAAAAATTCTGAGAGCCTAACTAAAGTAAACGTTATTAACATCAAAATCAGTATTTCTGGTTCTCCTTCCCTTCTTGGACCTAATAAGTGATTATGCTTTTCTACCCTCTTCAATTTGGATATGTCTCTGTGATTTGCTTTAGATGATAAAAAATGAGCAGAAGTGATTTGTGTCACTTCCAGGCAGAAGCATTCTCTGTGCTCTCTTGCCTTGGTGTCGTGTTCTGAAAGAATGTTTGAGATGGAGATCCGAGCAGCCTGGGACACTGAGCTACACGTGGACAGCTGTCTTCAGTCACTCAGACCCACAGTTGGTTTTATGAGAGCAAGAAATTAACTTTAGTTACGTTAAGCCACTGAGTTTTGGTGGTAGTTGTCCCTGCAGCTTAACCTAGCTTATTCTAACTAACACATTATCCTTTAGTTACCTTTTCTACTTCCTCCCCCTCCTCCTGCTTTTTCATGGTAGCAGCTATTGTTTATTGAGTGCTAATGTGCCAGGTACTTACACTTTACATGCAGTATCTCATTTCATCTTCACAACAGTTTGGTGAAATAGTGACAATCTCACCCTTTCTTTTTTTTTGAGGCAGATCAGCCCTGAGCTAATATCTGCTGCCAATCCTCCTCTTTTTGCTGAGGAAGACTGGCCCTGAGCTAACACCCATGCCCATCTTCCTCTACTTTATATGTGGGACACCTATCACAGCATGGCTTGCCAAGTGGTGCCGTGTCCGCACCTCGGATCCGAACCGGCAGATCCCCACTGAAGCGGAACGTGCGAACTTAACTGCTGGGCCACTGGGCCGGCCCCTTATCTCACCCTTTTACAGTGAGAGAGTTTAAGTCCAGAGAGATGATGTAGTTTGTTTAAAGTCACTAATTTAGTAGCAGAGCTGGGATTTGAACTACAGTCTCTTTGACTCCATACACATGCACACTTGTTATGTAACTGCTTATTTAGTTTAGTGACATTAACTGTCGAAACTTATTCAGCTAATTGAAATCTCTTCCTGCTTTGGTACAGGCCACTTTCCTCTTATTTTCTTCTCAGTGGAGAAAGCCAATCTGAGGATTATATTCATACTTCTGCCTATACAACCCACCCACTTTTCTATTGTCCAGATTTAATGGTTAAGTGCTATTAATTCTGCTTCTTAGATTTAGTTTCTTTTTTTTCCAGAAACCGAGTTATTCTATAAACAAATATTTTTTATTTTTATTTTTTGGTTTAATCCAGGCTTGGTCAGGAGACTTAGAAAGCCTGACCAGAGCTGCATTTCATAAAAGTGTTGCATCCTGCCTATTATATATTATAAGTTTCTTGATCTCCAAATTATTTAAGATTAAAGAAAAAGATCAGAGCATCGCATTGCTGAGTCTAGGAAGGGGCCTGGCATTTACGGTAGTCCCTCCTTATCTGTAGTTTCACTTTCTACAGGTTCACTTACCCTCAGGCAGTTGTGGTCCTAAAATAACACTAGGTCACAATGCCTGCATCATTCACCTCACTTCATCTCATCACACTGGCATTGTATCATCTCACATCATAACAAGAAGAAAGTGAGTACAGTACAAGAAGATAGTTTGAGAGAGAGACCACATTCATATAACTTTTATTACAGTATGTTGTTATAACTGTTCTATTTTATTATTAGTTATTGTTATTGATTTCTTACACTGCCTGATTTATAAATTAAGCTTTATCATAGGTATGTATGTAGGGGAAAAAATGTAGTATATCTAGGGTTCGGTACTATCTGTGATTTCAGGCATCCACTGGGGGTCTTGGAACCTATTCCCCGAGGATAAGGGCGGACTACTATAGTAGTCACTTGGGAAATTTTTGTTGAATATGATAACTAGGGTTTTAGTAACCCATTTAGAAACAGTATTTGTTTCCAGGATGATAGAAAACATTTGTGTGTGTGTGTGTGTGTGGATAAAACACATCCCAACTTCTGGTCCCAATCTTAGTGCTTACTCACTCTCTGATCTTGGGCCATTAATCTTGCATTTTTTATCCGTCACATGAGATAATGAGAATCAGAGGGATTAGTAACTTCTTTAAAACCTTATAGGATTATTATAAATATCAAATAAGGCAAAGTATGGGAAAATACATTTGAAACTGTAAAGTGGTATGTACACACAGTCTGTTTCGTAGTGCTTTGGAGATAGAAAGTAAGAAAGGCTTTACTTGAGAAAATGCCCTGTTGTGTTCATAAAAGGATATTATGTTTTAGTCACGGGAATTGGGGGGGCTTGACAGTAGATCCACCATATCAGATGTTAGATTTTTAATGAGCTTTAGTAAAGGATACTCGTGGGATAAATTGTCATGAGGAGATTAAGAGTTCATTCTTTCTGTTGAAGATGTGCTGACTCCCATTTTGGGAAACCTTCCAAGAGATGTGTCATTTCTTTCTGTAGTCACCGTGTTTCGGTGGCCCTTCTTTTTAAGGTATTGGCTCCATGAATTGGTGCCCAAAGTCATCTTTAAGAAATTTGCAGCATTTGCTGCATATTGTTTCTGTGTTGATCCTGACAAATACCAGAGTGAAAGAATAGAGTGACACTTAGCTAAAAAGATTTGAAGAAACAGTCTAATGTGTTATTTTTTTCTCCCAGAGTTTCCATTGTAAAGCCAGTACTGTAGTTTTGCTTTCTACAGTTTCAGTTACCACTTTTTGCAGGGAAGATTTCCCTGTGAAGCAGATAAATGAATAGTTCAAAATTTAACGTGATAAAAATCTCAGGATATTTAATTGTAGTAGTTCCGTTATAATTTATATTGCCCTTCCATCCAGAATTATAGTGATTTTATGATTACATGTAGATGGTTGAAGGGAAGACTTGGAAGAATGCTTTCCATTTAGAGGAAAACAGGTTTGAGGTTCTTAAGTTTTAATAGCAGAAGAATATCATGGGGGGTGGATTTAATACTTTAAGTCTCAAATAATTAATCTTTGAAACTAAGACCTAGGCATGCCTAATCATGACTTTTTGTTTCCTTTTGTATAGATTGTGATAAAGTGACAATATTTTAGAAGTGGAATGAAAATGAGGCTACTGCAGCCCAGGGAAGTAATGACCTCCCCAAGGTCAGATGGCTAGTTTGTAGCAGAGTTAGTGACAGAAGGGGTTCACACTTGACAGATTTAAATTGTTTTTCACTTGCTCTGACCCTTCTTTGAAAATCGTCTGGCTAGAGAACAAAAGTCCCTCCTTTTCCCATCTGTGCCCTGTGAAGAGTGTGCTAGGTCTATAAACCCTTTAACTAATCTGAATGCTTATTGGAGAAGAGGGATCTAGAATTCCTTTCCAGTAAAGCCGTAGAGGGGAGCAATTTCTAGAATAGGAACCCCACCTGGCTGTGTCTTTCTAAATTATTCTAAAGTAATAAAGTTGTTTCAGTGCTGGAACTCCTCTTTGTGATGCCATATTTGCCCTTTGCTAGCTCTGATACTTAGCCTTTGTTTGGGAGCTTTTCATGGTTGCACCCTTTGATCCTTACTTAGAAATGTTCCCTCAAGTTTTTCTCTTTATCTAGTTTAACGTCTATCATCTTTCTCAGATTCTTCCCATGGGTGCAGAACATATAAACATGGCTGCTATCTGTGGGAATGAAGGAAGGCTTTTGCTTGTGTGCCTTGCACAGTGGCTAGGGCAGAGCAAGCACACAAACATTTGTAAACTGAATGAAAGTTACAGAATCAGCAGAGGATATTGGTTGTCTTTGTTGTTCTGAAACAAAGCTTTAAAAGACACTACGAATTAGCATTAATGTGTTCTCTGCTATTAAACAGCAGGTCACCTTTGATGCTGTTTACGTGGTATACTAACCCAAAGTATCCAACCCAAGCTGTAGAAGAGCATTGGTAGTCAACTATTCCCGTGATTACCTTGGTTGTCCCTTACGGTGAAGTTGGGGTTGTTAGCAGCCTCGGGAGCCAAGCTATAGTGGAAGTGCTGACCATTGTGTGGGTCATCTTGGTCCACTGCACTCACTGTCTGGATCAGCTGAGGGAGGGACATGAAATCAAGGTGAGTCGGAGCCAAAAGGAAAAGCTTCAGGGTCCAGTGAAATCCCAAACCCTGAAATCCAATAGCAGATTGTTTCATTTAATGAGAAGGACATCCTGAAACTTACCTGGAAAGTCCCCATGCCATCATGGAGAAAACTCAGGATTTGATTTTGGTTTATTTTTGGACCTGAGTACATTAACAGGCACAGGGTGAGTGTTACTAAATACCTCAGATGTTAGACATTGACATAACATACTTTCACACCAAGGCTAGCCATTTTTAGGCAGTTTAAATGGAAAATTATGAGTAGAACAACTCTGGGGTGCCACAAGATCCTGCTTATCTCCCAGTTTTTCATCCTCCCACCTCACCTACTTAATCTCATGATTTGGGTTAATATTTCAGGGTCGAATTGCTATCTTTGAGAAGCACCTGTTTAAAAATGACCAGTACTTAGAAAGGAAGTAAGCAGACACATCAACATTAACTATGTCAGGTTAATGGAAAACAGATGTGAGTGAATGGGTCACAGAGCAGTCAGTCTTTGTTGGCAGGAAGGAGAACTAGACAAGATGTAGAGCACAAGACCCCAGGATGGGATGTATAGAACAGACTAGAGTCAGAAGCAAAGCTTGGAGCTGGGGAGAGCAAGAGGTGGGGTAGCTTCCTCTTGAGCTCTTTGGCCACAACTTTGCCTTTTCCACAATGCTTTTCAAAGTAGTAAGTTGCCTCATGGTTATGAAGACTGTGATGAAAAAGCTACTAAATAAGTAGTGTGAAATATACAATTGCAACATTAACAGGCAGCCTGGAGGAGACAGAAAAGGTAGTCTCTTTCGTATGTGTTTCCTCCTCTACCAGCCAATAACAGAGATCTTCCACCCCTCTTGGGCCTGGCCCTGTAGACTCAACGCTCCTGCTGTTAGAGACCAGCTATGCTTCTTCTTGGGTAGAAACTGGAACATCAGAGATCAGCTGGAGGGCCCAGGTGGGCTTGCTTAGTTGTTTATTTCTTCATCTGTAAATTAAGGGAGGTAATGCTACCCTCTCAGTACGCTGAAGATTAAATAACAGAGGGGGAAGCTCCAGCAAGGGGCATGGTATTGCTCAGATCCCTCTTCAGCGAAGGACTTGATGCCCCAGCCTTCACCTGTGTGTCTCTTCAGGGATTGTGTTGGTTGCTGAGAGTCACCTACCACGTCCTTCCAGGGCAACTCACATCCAGTGAGTGATGCACTAGTGTAAAGCCCTGGCCATCCCATCTCAACTTGCGAAGACTCTAGTTTTAGAGCTTTATGAAGTCAGCCAAGGCTGTTAGTGGGTTTGCCTTGCAGCTGGACTTCTCCTTTGGCCAGTCCTGCAAAAGTCTTTCCCTTGCACGGGCATTGGCCCCAAGGGCACTCCTTAATAAACATCTTGTACCAGAACTCCATCTCAGGGTATGCCTCCTGTTGAACCCACTGGTAACTGGCCACTGTTGAATCTAAAAGTTGGGGGAAAGGAGTTTCAATAAAGGAGAGGGGCCAGGAGAGTACTGAAGATGAACTCGCCCCACAGCCTAGCCTGGTGTCAGTGCCACTCACACACTAGTGTCATCCCACTGCAGCATCCCTGCTGAGACAGATCCTGAACTTTCCATCTTGCCCATAGTGCCAAACATATAAACATATATAACATAACGTATTTCTTGATGAATATTATAAATAGGTGATTATGTATAACTTTGCAAACATAGTTGGAAAAGTCATTTGAGAAGACCTGACCTGTGGAATCGTGCATATATCAGTGAAGCAGGGGCCTGAGGCTTAGGACTGGTTGGTTACGGGGCTTTAAAGAATGAGTAAGCGAAGACACTGCCTCGTGGGTCTGGGTCAGGAGCACCTGTCTCCTAGCAGATCAGATTTCTTTCTCAGCCCCACTTGCCATGCAGTATTCTGCTCAGCAGGTTTCATTCTGCCCTCAGCCATCACAAGTATGTCATCTGATTTCTTTATGGGCTTCCTTCATGGCTGCTTGCTAAGAGGAAAGCACAAATCCTGACTTGGCAGACACAAAGCTGACGACAGTGTCCAACAAATCTGAAACAAGGAGGCCTGATTCTTTATAAACCAGACATACCTGCTGAGCTGCATGCTTTTGAAAATCTTCAAAACATGTCCCACAGCCAAAATCAAAAGGTAGCATTTTCAGTATTTTGGGCTAAAGATGACAAGTATGACAGACTTGTGACTCATGACCTGATCTTTAAGTCATAGATAAACTGTGCTTCAAAGGACTATATAATAGACCATTAAAAGATGTATCTAGAAATGCAGAAATGGGAGACGTGCTCCCAAAACAAGAGGTATTAAAATGCTGTTAATCTGTCAGAATGCAACTTCTATTCTGAAGCCCTTTAGGAAAGAAAACGTTTCATTTCTGTGGGGAGAGCAAGTTTAATTTACTGTACTATTTATCACTTTATATTTTAGATTAAAAATTATCCTCTTGTCATGTTATAATATAAAGTTATGCATTTGTCATATAATCTTGTAAAACAAAGTTTTGTATATTTTATGTAATATATAAATTGTCATATTAAAGTATAAAACAAAAATTATTGAAATAAAGTCCCAAGCTCCCTCACTCAGAACTCAACTACCTTAACACAGTAACTATTACTATTTTTGTATCCTGCCTCCGAATCTTTGTTCACACGCAGACATAATTTTACATAACTGCAAGCGTATACTGTAGTTTTTTATACCTCCTTTTGTTATTTGTAATAACATGGATCATTTCTTATGCTGTAAAGTCTTCATTGTAACTTTTATTAGCTGCATAATATTTCAGGTCCTTCTAGACTAGAAATTCAGTACATGTGGAAGTAGAATTATCCTAGACTTGTTGAAAAAAATTTTTAGGAGTGCTATAGACCATTGAACTGAGTTCAAGAATCAATGGATGAGATAATTTAGATCAGAATCAGTATAGGACACATTTTTTCCCCGGGGGATAGGAATCACTTTTTTCTTTGAGTAGAATGGCAGAGATATGTTGAGTCAATCTTTGGTGAGTTCAGGAACTTAATGTACATTTTCGTTGTACAGACATAGCCTGTCTGTGCAGCAAGAAGCTGGAGGTGATGTTCCAGGTGAGTGAGAGAAGTAAAAGCGAAAGCTGCATGACAGTCAGAAGGCCTGAATTGCCAAATCATAAATCCTTACCTTGTAGATATGCACTTCACAAAGTGCACACCCTCTAGTGATATCAAAAATTATATTAAGTCTCCAGACCAGAGAGAAAAATGACATGTACCCAGAAATCAGTCCTGAGGACACAGAAATATGTAAACTAAATGGATGGAATTCAAAATACCTATCATCAAAAAACTCAATGAGTTAAAAGAGGATGTAGAGAAATAATTCAATGAGTTCAGGAGCTACTTCACAAGAGATTGAAACTATAAAGAAGAATCAATCAGAAATATTGGAGATGAAAAACACAGTGGATGAGAGGAAATGAAATATGGATTCCCTGAACGCTTGAGCAGACATTATAGAGGAGTGAATCAGTGTAATCGAGGATAGACATGTTGAAATGCTCCAGATAGAGGAGGAGAGAGAACTAAGACGAAAAAGAAATGAAGAAAGTCTCCAAGAAATATCCAACTCAACTAGGAAATGCAACATAAGAATTATAAGTATTCAAGAGGGAGAAGAGAAGGAGAATGGAACAGAAAGCTTGTTCAAAGAAATAGCAGAGAACTTCCCAAACCTAGGGAAGGAGATGGAAATCCATGTGGAAGAGGCTATCAGATGTCCTAAATATGGCAATGTAGAAAGACCTACTGCAAGGCATATGGTAGTGAAACTGGCAAAAGTGAATGACAAAGAAAAAATTCTAAGGGCAACAAAGCAGAAGACAATAACTTATAAAGGAACCCCTATCAGGCTTTCAACAAATTTCTCTGAGAAACCTTACAGGCTAGGAGAGACTGGAGTGACATAGTCAAATTGTTGAAGGACAGAAGTGTTCAGCCAAGAATACTCTATCCAATGAAAGTATCCTTCAGATGTGATGGAGAAATAAAAACTTTCCCAGATAAACAAAAGCTAAGGGAGTTTGTAGCCACGAGACACCCCCCTCCCACCCCAAATACTCAAGATGGCCCTGATACCTGAAAAAAAAGGGGGAAAGGGGTTACGAAGCACAAAATAAGGAGATAAATAGGTAGACAAAATCAGGTACTTGTAGCTATACTTCAGAACAAGTTAGTAAATACTCAAGAATAGCATTAAAGATAAAGGGAGGGAAAACACCAAAAACCAAGATAATCTTGTTATTTTAATCACAAACTCACAACACAAGATGGAATAAGATGTGAGAAAAACAACTTAAGAGGGGAAGAGGAAGGATACTGAAACGGTTTAGTCTAAGGAAAAAGAAGCCATCAGAAAATGGACTATCTTATCTACAAGATTTTAAATACAAACCTCATGGTAACCACTAAACAAAAAAGGAGAACAGAGAGACAAATGATAAATAAGGAGGAAACAAAGAAATACAACATAAAAAAACTACATAACTGAATTGGTAGACCAAAATACACAGGATGAGAAACAAAGGAAATGCAGGAGAACTGGAAAATGAGTGATAAAATGGCAGCATTAAGCCCTCATATATCAATAATCACCCTAAACGTAAATGGACTGAACTCTCCAATAAAAAGACACAGAGTGGTGAGATGGACTAAAGAATAAGATCCAACAATATGCTGCCTCCAGGAAATACATCTCAGTTCTGAGAACAAAAACAGGCTCAGAGTGAAGGGATGGGAGATGACACTCCAAGCTAATGGCAAACAATAGAAAGCGGGTGTCACAATACTTCTATCAGACAAAGTCGACTTCAAGATAAGATGGTAAAGAGAGACAAAGTGGGGCAGTATATAATGATTAAAGGGATACTCCATCAAGAAGATATAACACATAAATATCTATGCACCCAATACAGGAGCACCAAAGTACATAAAGCAGCTATTAAGAAACCTAAAAGAAGATGTTAATAACAACATCATAATAGTAGGGGACCTCAACACTCCACTCACATCAATGGGTAGATCATCCAGACAGAAAATCAACAAGGAAATATTGGAATTAAATGAAAAGCTAGACCAGTGGGACTTAATAGACATATATAGAACACTCCATCCAAAAACAGCAGAATACACATTTTTCTTAAGAGTGCATAGATCATTCTTAAGGACAGACCATATGTTGGGAAACAAGGCAAGTCTCAATAAATTTAAGAAGTTTGAAATAATAACTAGCATCTTTTCTAATCATATTGCTGTGAAGCTAGAAATTAATTACAAGAAAAAAGTTTAGAATGGGATAAAGACGTGGAGACTAAACAGCATGCTATTGAACAACCAGTGGATCATTGAAGAAACTAACGGAGAAATAAAAAAATATCTGAAGACGAATGAAAATGAAAACACCATACCAATTCATATGGGATGCAGCAAAATCTATATGAAGAGGGAAATTCATCGCAATACATGCTCACCTTAACAAACAAGAAAAATCCCAAATAAGCAACCTCAAACTACACATAATTGAATTAGAAAAAGAAGAACAAACAAAGCCCAAAATCAGCAGAAGGAGAGAAATAATAAAAATCAGAGCAGAAAGAAATGCTATTGAAACAAAAAGGGCACTGGAAAGGATCAAGAAACAAAGAGCTGGTTCTTTGAGACGATAAACAAAATTGACACACCCCTAGCCACACTTACAAAGAAGAAAAGAGAGAAAGCGCAGATAAATAAAATTAGAAATGAAAGAAGAGAAATAACAACGGATACCACAGATATACAATGGATTATAAGAGAATACTGTGAAAAGCTATGTGCCAACAAAATGGACAGTCTAGAGAAAATGGATAAGTTCTTAGACTGTTACAACTTCCCAAAGCTGAATCAAGAAAAAATAGATAATTTGAATAGAACAATCAGAAGTAAAGAGGTTGAAACAGTAATCAAAGCATTCCCTAAAATAAAAGCCCAGGACGAGACAGCTTCCCTGGAGAATTCTACCAAACTTTCAGAGAGGATTTAATACCTATCCTTCTCAAGCTATTCCAAAAAGTTAGGGAAGATGGTACACTTCCTAACACATTCTACGAGGCCAACATCACTCTGATACCAAAGCCTGACAAGGATGACGCAAAAAAAGAAAACTATAGGCCAATATCACTGATGAACATAGATGCAAAAATCCTTAACAAAATATTGGTAACCCGAATACAGCAATACATCAAGTAGATCATACATCACGATCAAGTGGGATTTATACCAGGGACATAGGGATGGTTCAACATCTGCAAATCAAGCAGTGTGATACACCACGTTAACAAAATGAGGAATAAAAACCACATGATCATCTCAATAGATGCAGAGAAAGCATTTGACAAGATTCAACAGCCATTTATGATAAAAATTCTTAACAAAATGGGGATAGAAGGAAATTGTCTCAACATGATAAAGGCCATATATGACAAACGCACAGCCAGCATCGTACTCAATGGGGAAAAACTGAATGCCATCCTGCTGAGAATAGGAACAAGACAAGGATGCCCACTATCACCAGTTATTCAACACAGTACTGGAGGTTTTGGCCAGAGCAGTTAGGCAAGAGAAGGGGATAAAAGGAATCTAAATAGGGAGTGAAGAAGTGAAACTCTCGCTGTTTGCAGACGACATGATCTAATATATAGAAAACCCAAAAGATCCATTGGACAACTATTAGACATAAGTAACAACTACAGTAAAGTTGCAGGGTACAAAATCGACTTATGAAAACAAGTTGCATTTCTATACTCTAATTAAACAAACTTACAGAAAGAGAACTCAAGAATCCAATTCCATTTACAATCACAACAAAAAGAATAAAGTATCTAGGAATAAACTTAACCAAGGAGGTGAAGGACTTATACAATGAAAATTATAAGACATTAGTGAAAGAAATAGGTGATGACTTAAAGAGATGGACAGTGATTCCATGTACATGGATTGGAAGAATAAACACAGTTAAAATGTCCATACTATCCAAAGCAATCTACAGATTCAGTGCAATCCCAATCAGAATTCCAATGACATTCTTCACAGAAATAGAACAAAGAATCCTAAAATTCATGTGGGGCAACCAAAGACCTTGAATTGCTAAACCAATACTGAGAAAAAAGAACAAAGCTGGAGGAATCATAATCCATGATTTCAAAATGTACTACAAAGCCATAGTAATCAAAACTGCATGATACTGGTACAGAAACAGGCACACAGATCAATGGGACAGAACTGAAAGCCCAGAAATAAAACCACGCATCTACGGACAGCTAACCTTCGACAGAGTTACCAAGAACATACCAATGGAGAAATGATAGTCTCTTCAATAAATGGTGTTGGGAAAACTGGACAGACACATGAAAAAGAATGAAAGTAGACCATTATCTCACACTATACACAAAAATAAACCCAAAATGGATCAAAGACTTGAAGATAAGTCCTGAAACCATAAAACTCCTGGAAGATAATATAGGTAGTACGCCCTTTGACATTGAACTTAAAAGGATCTTTTCAAATACCATGTCTTCTCAGACAAGGGAAACAAAAGAAAAACAAGTGGGAATTCATCAGACTAAAGAGCTTCTGCAAGGCAAAAGAAACTAGGATCAAAACAAAAAGACAACCCACCAATTAGGAGAAAATATTTGCACATCATATATCTGACAAGGGGTTAATCTCCATAATATATAAGGGACTCACACAACTGAACAACAAAAATCAAACAGCCCAATCAAAAAATGGGCAGAGGATATGAACGGACATTTTTCCAAAGATGATATACAGATGGCCAACAAACACATGAAAAGATGCTCATCATCACTGATCATCAGGGAAATGCAAATCAAAACTACACTAAGATACCACCTTATGCCTGTTAAAATGGCTATAATCACTAAGACTAAAAAGAACAAATGTTGGAGAGGGTGTGGAGAAAAGGGAACCCTCACACACTGCTGATGGGAATGCAAACTGGTGCAGCCACTATGGAAAACAGTATGGAGATGCCTCAAAAAACTAAAAATAGAAATACCATGTGACCCAGCTATCCCACTACTGGATATCTGCCCAAACAACTTGAAATCAACAATCCAAAGTAACATATGTACCCCTATGTTCATTGCAGCACTATTCACAATAACGAAGACATGAAAGCAACCCAAGTGCCCATCAATCAATGATTGGGTAAAAAAGATATTGTATGTATGTGTATATATATATATACACATACACACATACACACACACACACACACACACAATGGAATACTACTCAGTCATAGAAAAAGACAAAATCATCCCATTGGCAACAACATGGATGGACCTGGAGGGAATTATGCTAAGTGAAGTAAGCCAGACTGAGAAAGACAAACACCATATGATTTCACTCATATGTGGAATATAAACAAACACATGGACAAAGAAAACAGTTCAGTGGTCTCAGGGGAAGGTGTGTGGGGAGTGGGCACAGGGAATGAAGGGGAGCACTTATGTGGTGACAGAGGAAATAATGTACAACTGAAATTTCACAATGACCTAAACTATTATGAACTCAATAATAAAAAAGGTACCTGTTGCCAGAAGTTAAGAAAGGGAGGTTGGAAAATATAAAAAATAAACTTTCTCTACTGCACATATTTTCAGGGATTAGTGCAGGAAAAGAGAAGACTCTTGTTTTCTTCTCCTGGTCTTCATGGGTCTCTCACTTCCAGGACCCAGGGTGCATGTTATTACAACTGATACCATAACAGGTCAGTTACAAGGTGGGTAGCTACCTTATTACAGGCTAGCCTGTGAATCAAGCCACCATTCATGTTCTTTAGATCATAAAATGTAATGCAGGCTCTGGATAGGTGTCTTAGCAAATAAACTGTTGCAACATGACATACAGGAGTTGAGGACTCGTTTTGTAAACTGTTAGTTTCTGGAGTCTAAATTTCTTTGATGGCAGATTTGGTTATCTATAACTGTTGTTTCCATGTGTTGGGGGTTAACCAAGGTGCATGCCTCACTGGCTGCCTTACCTGCCCTGCTTTGGCATTTTCACAGACAAATGCTTCGTAGAATCGGGGGAACTCAGGAGCATTGTCATTCACATCCAAGACTTTGATTGTGACAGAAACACTTCCAACTTGGGAAGGATTGTCTAAAGAGAGCACAAAGAAAACTAAAGGTGAGGGTTCAGTAATGCAAGAAAGCAGCTCTTTGCCAGAATAGATATTTACTCGTTGGTCTGGTTTTTAAAGGAATGCATAAGGTACATGGAAATGGCAACAGAAGCATAGGATGCATGTGTTGCTTTTTAAGAGTGTGGCCAGAACATAAGAAGAGTGGACAGAGGGAGGTGTGTGTTGGTGAGTGTGTGTGATATCAGGAGGATGACGGGAAGGGCAAGACTCCAGGGGGAGCAGGTGTCACAAAATGAATCTTAAAAAGAGGTTTTGAATCTTTCACTTGGCTCGTACTTCAGGTTCTGGAATTAAAGACAGGTCACTTCTATATTCTGGGTTTGAAAACAGCCCATTTCTAATCGGATGCATACCATGTGTGTGGCATTGCTTGGCTTTTTTCCTGTGGAATAATCGGTTCTTTGAATTATATTTCAGAAGATTTCGAGTTATTCATGGGAATACAGATAACACTGCACATTTATTTCTGCTTAGGGACTGAGGGGATATTACAGGATCAAACACACACCAAATCCATATCTTTGGCTGGGGCAGGAGAAGTTCTCATAGACACTCATGGGGAAATACGTCTTTTTGGTCTGTCTTTAGCTTGGCATTGCCACACAAAGACAGTTTCACAGCTGCAGTAGTGCCCCTCCCGTCTTTTTCAGTTTTGGTCACCATCCCAAGAAGACAAAATAGAAATTGTAAGACATAGAAATTATTCTTAGTAAATAATTTTATTATATCTCAGAATGCCTTGTTCTTCTGCTTCATTTTTTTCCTTTCCTTTCTCAAAAATATCTGTGTTGTACTGTTTTTCTCCCTAAATATTTCTATTGCTTGGTTACCAAAAGTGCTGACATATTAAAATTTTTTTTTATTATAACTGTGGTACTTGTTTATAGAAGGAATAATGAAAATTTCAGAAAAACATGAGGATAAATATCGGCAGTCCTACTACCAGAGATACCTATTAAATGATATATGTAATAATACATGTGTCCAAAAATGTGGAGCTACGTACACAAACACACACACACACACACACACACACACACACATATTGCAGTTAAGCATAATAACAAAGTTGAATTCAGAAATTTAATATTTTAGGGCAAGAGTATCCTGTGTCATTGAAATATACCTTGAAAGCATGGGTATTAATATCTACATGAAAGTCTCATTTTACTGTATGGTTGTACTGTAATTTACTTAGACTCCTATTAATTAGACATGTAAGTAATTCCAATTTCCCCCCCATTTTAAAATAACATTGCAGTGGATGTTTTAGTACATAAATCTTTGTTGATATCTATGATTATTCCCTTAAGATAATTGTTAGAATTCTTGAGAAAAAGAGTATGAATATTTTGGAGAATCTTAATACAAAAGATTAATTGCCACATTGCCCTCCTGAATGGCTGTAAATACTTTTGCCAGTACCTTAGGGTCTGTCATTTCCCTGAACCTTTACCATCACTAGGTGTTATAAAAAAAAAATTGAATGTAGTTGTATATAATCTAATTTTTGTTAAGTTTATAATAAATATGTTAATCTAGTTTTTATTAACTTTCCATTCTATTTTTAAGTTTATGTTAATAAGTCTGCCTTTTATTGTAAGATGTCTCAAATTGTTGTATGGATGTATGGATGTATGTGATATATGATAAGTGATATGTGGATGATATGTCATAAATGCTTCCTTTCATCCAATAATAATATTTTATACTATTTTTGCATTCCCAATCTTATTAAAGATTGAAAGCCTCTTAGATTTCTCAGGAATTGTCCCTTGACAATAGAAGTTGAGCTCTTGGGTTTAATGGTGCTATTTTTTTTCTTTTTTTACTGCTTTTGCATGTTTTGTTTGTTTTTATCTTTAGCACAGGACTTGGTATACAGGAGATGCTCAATAAGTATTTGAACTAAATGTATCCACTCACTTACATAAATCATAATTTCCATTTCTTCTCAGAAAGAATATAATTCCTGTTCCAATGAGCTATATAAAGTTCCACTTTCTACAAGGCCTATATTTTGTCACTATATGGAGACCAATTTATTGTGTTACTTACTCATTTCCATAGCAAGGACAGTGATATTATGCCAGGCAAACTCTTCCCGGTCAAGGGGTCTTGCGGTCATTAGGGCACCTGTTGTAATGTCAACATAGAAGAATCTTCCAGGGTCACTGCTTCTGTCAATGGAATATCTGCAGAAACACAGATACATCATTTTATTTGGATAGACATGCTATAGCACATTACATGAGAGAACTGAGTGCATACCATGTGAAACATGACTAGTTCTGAGTTATGGACACTTGGAAGACTTTATTTATTGTCTTAAAATGTCAAAAACAAGCTCCCCCCCCCCCAAAAAAAACCCAAACAAAAAACCAACAACAAACTATTACTGCTTTAGTTTCCACTTCATAAAATGAAATAAAACACGGCAACAAAGTCTTAGGGCAGTTTAAAGCTATATAAAGATCAATTTCAGCTATTTAAAGCTTAAAACTGCCCTAAGGCTTTTAGGACACTGTGAATATCAGCCCATACATATCTTTGTTCAGAGCAAATTTTACTCAAGTAAGTTCTGAAATGCTAAACTGGAACTGGAAAAGGTATGTTCGGTGGTCCCAGTCCCTGTAAATTGTATCGCCTATGGGGAAGGAAAGATTTGCTTCAGGTCCTTTGTAAACATGCTAATGACTGACCTGCTAGCAAACACAATACAGGTATTTACTAGCTGGGATCCTTACCTATGAAATGTTTTTAGCAGGGTGGACCAGGTCTGTCTAGGTTGCTTATTGAAAATGAGCCTGGAATTTATGAATTTATGGGGTGTAACTTGCTGGAAAATGTCATGTGAGCTAAGTAATTAATGGGGTATAAAAGCAGATGTTCCATAACCGAAGTGGCTCCTTCAGTTCAGGCAATGCACTTCATCTGTTGCTTACACCTTTCGTGTTCAATGTGGACCAGTATGCATCCTTACTCAGGGAAAGAAGGATATTTACAGGCACCTGCTCCTGACAGTTTCAGGCTTCTCCAGGGAAAGAGTGCTTGGCTTATATTTTGCTGTTGTCTGTATCCTTTTAGTCATTATTTACCTTGGTCCTGGGTAAGATCTATATTTCCTGTTGAATCTGATTTGGCAATCTGACCCTTTGTGTTATCTTACCTGGTCCCCATCTTGGAAGATTCAGTAAGTGTGGAGGGAAGCTCAGACATCTGTATGTTTAAAACCCTCCATGTGGGATTTTGATATGAGCACTATCCTTGAGAACCTTATGTAGTCCTTGATACTGGCTAGTAATTATAATAGCTGCCATTTATTCAACACCAGGCATTTTATAGCTTCTTTTTTGATTCTTACAACATCTCTAGGAGGTAGGCCTTATTTCAGCAGAAAAGGAAACTAAGATTGAGAGAAGTTAAATCACTTTCATACAGTTACACCGCTAATAATTTGCAGAGGTAAGATTTGAAACATACACACATACACACACATAAATTACTGTAATATATTGGATTCAAAATTCTATTTAAAATTGCCAGCAATTGCAGTTTGTATCTTAAAGTTGTTGAAACTGGGAGATTGCCATTTTGATGGAAGTAAGCAGTTTCCTTAGTCTAGTACATTGTTTTTCAAACTGCAGGTTAGTGAAATCAATATGGTGAGTTATGACTAGTGTTGAAAGAAAATGAAATAGAAAGAATATATGCGTTACAGACTACTGCATGCAGTAAGGGTAAATATTGATGGTAAAACTTTTGTTTCAAATATATATAAATACATATATAGAGTATATGCATGTATATGTATTATTTGGTAAAATGTTTTGTTTCAAATATGTATATTTTCCTGCAAAGATTCAGGGTGGCTGTTCAGAGAATTAGGAATTAAATGGAAAGGTGACCACTAAGGGCTAAAGAAATTGGAATCATTTCAGTTCTAACTCTCCAAGAATTGGGAAATTTAAGGAAGCAAATTAATGCCTCTCTTTGTGACCCTATTTAGTGAATACTTACTGTAGCCAGGCACTGCTCTATGCACCTTACATATATTCATTCATTTAATCCTCACAATAACCCTCTGAGGTAGGTGACATTATAATCCCCATTTTATAGGTGAGGCAACCGAGGCATGGAGAGGTTAAGTCACTTGCCTAAGGTGGCACAGCTGGGAATCAAGCCTAGGCAGTTGGGTTTCAGGTTCTTGCTCCTAACCACCAGGTCAAGCTGCCTTACTGCACATGGAATGTATGAAAGTGTTTAAAATTCTTCTTGAAGATAAATTAAACCATGTTAGCAAACAGTTGACTTTTTAATAAAAAACATGCCTACAAAGTTCATTTAATATTAACGAGCATTTTTTTTCTAGGTATAATTAGTGATTTAGTTTTAATGTTTACTGGCTGTTTTAAGAGTTGAATTTGTCAGGGCTGGCCCCGTGGCCGAGTGGTCGAGTTCGTGCACTCTGCTGCAGGTGGCCCAGTGTTTCGTTGGTTTGAATCCTGGGCATGGACATGGCACTGCTCATCAAACCACGCTGAGGCAGCATCCCATATGCCACAACTAGAAGGCCCACAACGAAGAATATACAACTATGTGCTGGGAGGCTTTGGGGAGAAAAAGGAAAAAAATAAAATCTTTAAAGAAAAAAAAATGAGTTGAATTTGTCTTAGGAAAAAATACTGATTGGCTCGTGACAGCTTTTTATTTCAGCTCCCCACACATGAGAAAGCCAGCCGTTCGGCCCATGGGGCCATAACCTTGATGGCTGCTCTCCAAGCTGTAGGCATAATGCCGAGGGGAGAGGCAGCCTATGATGAACCAGCTTTCTGTATTCAAACCTCCAACGCCATAGCAAGTGTCACAGATGGTGTGGGAGATGGAGTGATAGAAATAACTAACTGACAGAACCCATGACAGTACTGCCTGGTGACACGGAGAGGAAACACTGCGAGCTCACTTCAGAGAAGCCTCCCTCATCGAGTGGAATCCCTTTCCAATTTCCCAAAGGGGGCCTGAATTGAGGCCATAAGAGCATTCATTACTCTGAATGGGACACTGAGCCAATTTTCAGGAGGCGGGAGAACAAATTAAAGGTGTAGATACAGATGGAAAATGAGGAAATTGGGACACACTAGTGAATTATGTAGGTGGTTTTCCTTTCTCTAACCATAATATTCTCACCGACTATGGACAGAATAGGCATAACATACACTACAAAACTGCCTTCAGTGAGCAGTAGCTGGTGTGCATTGGGCTCCCTGCTTATTTGCTTGGCTGAGGACGTTCTCTGAATCTGGGAGAGATTTGGAGGTAGGGCATTGTGGGCAGTCTTCCTAAATCCACACACACAGGATGGCCCAGGCGGGCAGGCTGTTTCCACACCAGCAGAAGCCTATTTCATTTGCCAAATTGTTCAGTTTCTTCCTTGCCAGAAATTCCTCTAGCATTTATTAAAAATTTAGGAAATCCAAACAGTGTATTTTTCATGTGTATATAACTAAATTTGGAGACTTAGTTTTAGGATTTACTAGAACGTGATGACCAGCTTATATGCCTGACCACACCATAAACTTTCTAGAAAGGAGATTTTAAAAGTCCTAATAATCTTTTTAAAAAGTTAAATGGCCTTTTATCCATAACATTTTAACGTTAGGTGATATGTTGATTTTTGGGTGATTTAAATAGGTGTTTTCTTTTTAGGAATATAAATCTCATTTATTTGTAATAAAAATGCAGAAGATGAATTAGCCAAGCAGCTATAAATATGCAAATTGTTTTGAAAAGAAAATAACTTTTGTAGGAAAAACAAGGATAAAATGAGCAATTTGGGGAAAGATAACAGAAAAGTAATTCCCAAATGGGTTTTTAAATGATAGCTGGAGAGTTGACTTTTATATGCTTTTCCCTATGAGAGTCCAGGACCCCTGATGTTCTGCCTGGTTCCAGGGACCATTCTTTTTTCCTATGGGACAGTAAAAAGAGCCAGGGAGCCTATATCTAGCGATATGAATTCTGCTCCTTCTTTGCGACCGAAATGCAGAAGGAGAATTATCTCTAGTTGTGCAAAGTGGAATTCTGCATTGCCCGCTGTGCCTGAATGCTTGTCTTGTTACCTCCAGGCCTGTGGCTGTTGCGTTGTTCTTGCCAATTTTTCTCCCAGGACCTGGAGTCCTGCCCCAGAATAAGGCCCAGTGGACCTTGGTCTATGCCTCTGGCCTGTTCCCTCTTGAGTTCTTCCTGACTGGGATCTATTGGAATAGACAGGCACTCCATTGTGTACCTCCCTGATGCTGACTGCTGTGCCATGCCGGCCAACTGACGCTTTTCAGTGGCTCATCATCTGCAGCAGCATTTTCTGTTAGCCAGACAAGATTCCTTCATTTTGTGTGCCTTATTTTGCTCCCTGCCAGTAGTGGATCCAGGCCTGCTGGTATTTCTCTTTCCTTCCTAGGTATGTCTTGAGATAACAACTTTAGTCCTGAATACTGTGCATACACTCTAGGAGGGTATGTGTGTGTGTCCTGACTGCATTCAGTCTCTTTTGCTTGTCATTTAGTAGTGTGACTCCTAACAGAGCATATTTCCAGTGCTTACCATGTAGGAGTCCAGAGTCAGAATCTGGGAAGAAGTTGTGGATTTATCCACTGGGTATTCTGATTGACTGTTTTAGAAATGGGATCTGATTTTTTCAAGCTTGTGCTTGTTTTATTTCAAACATTTCCCTCATAAAGTGTTATTCTCTAAAGTTTTCCCTACAGTATCTTCTCCAATATGAATAGATTAATTGATCAGAAGATATGTGTATATATATTTTCTTGGCTTCTGAAAACATAAATTTATAATAGAATCTGTTTTATTTATGTTGTGGTTGTTTTGGGGATAATATATTTTCACTAACTTCTTCCCATCCTATTATACATTTAAAAATCTTAAGGTTGAAATATCACTCCTATGAAGTTGGTATAATTCATAAGAGAAAGATTAGTTGGCTTCTAAAAATCAAATATCAGAATCAAACAAAATCATTTTAGCCATTTTAATGCCTGAAAGTGTTAAATGCTTGCTGATTTGTTAGAGGAAGCGGATTTCCCCCAGTATAGTTATTCTCAGGAGAGAACTGTCCTCGTTAAACTACAAAAGCACATTTTCATTAAATACAAAATAGCACCAAGTGAGGGAAGTAGTCTACTGACAGAAAAGGCATTTGATAAATTGGGGTGTGTTTAAAACGTGTTGTCTGCACTAAAGCCCCAGATCCATTCTACCATGTGGCTTTCAACAATTAATGTGACAGATGGCCTCAAACAGCCTTGGAATCCTGATCTTTTGTGTCAAGCTTCAGAGGCTTGGCAGTTGCTCTGGAAGGTTGAGGTGTCAACCTGTCCATCAGCTGTTTGCACTTTGGTTCCAGAGTTGATGGGAAATGGCCATGGCTGGAAGAGCAGCTCTCCTTTCTCCCTAGAGGGGGAAGCGTCTTGGTTGGAATCTTTAAGTTCAAAACACATTTTGGAGAGACTGATATGTGGGTTCACTAGAAAGCCGTATCTGGCCAGTTTACATGGCATGGAAGCCATGGACAAGGGGAGTAATTTCTATGTGTATTCTTTCTGTAGTACATGGAAATATATATAGCATATGTTATTTTTTTCCTTTTATTTTTTTGCTAAGGAAGATTCACTCTGATCTAACATCTGTGGCCAATCTTCCTCCTTTTGCTTGAGGAAGATTAGCTTTGAGCTAACATCTGAGCCAGTCCTACTCTCTTTTATATGTGGGTCGCTGCCACAGCATGACTGACAAGTGGTGTAGTTCTGTGCCTGAGATCTGAACCCATGAACCTGGGCTGCTGAAGCAGAGCATGCCGAACTTAACCACTCCGCCACAGGGCTGGCCCTTTTCCCATTTTTTTAAGGTAAAAAAGTCAAAGGTTCATAAAAATTGAAAGAAAGTGCAATGATGACTTTTGTATTCACCACTAAGATTTGACGGTTTTAAACGTTTTGTTTTCTATCTATGTCTGTGCTTTTTCTGAATTGGTGGTTTTCAACCAGGGATGATTTTGTCCCCCTACCCTTTCCCCATCCTGGGACATTTGGCAATATCTGGGGACATTTTAGGTTGTGACAACTCAGGGGGTGCTACTGGAATTTAGCAGGTAGAGGCCAGAGATGCTGCTAAACATTGTGCAATGCACAGGACAGCCCCCCACAGCAAAGAATTATCCAGCCCAAAATGTCAGTAGGGCCACGATTAAGAACTAAAGTGTGTGTGTGTGTGTTTTTTGTGGAACCAATTGACTATGAGTTGTAGACATAATGATATTTCACTTCTAAATAACATGACAAGGCCATATTCTTTAAACAGGAAGAACTTAAAAGAAAGGGAAGAATCTCCAGAAGTGGAAGAAGCAAAGGGAAAAAGTGCTAGAAAATTAGATACCAGGGAAGGGAAGAGTCCAGGTTATAAGAAAAAAGGCAAAATCTGTGGAAAAACCTGATTGAGTTGTTGGTCACATCCGGGTCCTTGGCAGAAATGATCTGTATGGTCGTTCCAATTGCCACATCCTCAGGAACCTCCACAAAATAAAAGCCGGGTTCAAATACAGGGGGCTCATCCACATCTTCCACACTGATGTGCACTGTCGTTATGTCCTGAAATGGGCCCAGATTCAGAAAACGCATCTCCAGGTGAGGATTGGCTCCCTCCACTTTTAAGGTGTAGCTTTTCTTGCTTTCAAAACTCAGGGGCTGAAAAGTAATGACAAGAAAATTGATTAGCCACGAACATATATGTCAAGGTTCTAAAGGATGGCCAATATTGATGGCTGGTGGGAAGATTCCCAAATTCATTAAAATGGATGAAAAGAGGCAAAGGGAAAAATAAGGGGAATTTTTCCTTTATTCTGTAATTCTTGGTCTTAATGTCAGTTTCAAGTTGGGTAAAGAAGGTAAGGAAGATGCTAGATGCTTTAGAGATAGTGAACGAAGCTAGTTAGCTGATTATGAAAGCCACTGTACTCTGGGTAAGCTTGACTTTAACACATCTACTTTTTAATCAGCATGGTCACCTTATCTTTAGAAATGCTTGTTCATTTCAAAAGACGTCATGATAATTAAGAGAGAGTTCAAGTTCTGTTTCAGAATGTCCCTACAACTCAGGCCTAGGCTTTTCTGTTTTCTTCCTTAAAAAAAAAAAAATCTTGAGTATAAAGGCAACAGTGATTTTTCACGAGAAACTATCATAAGCACCTTACAAGGGTTCTCAGAACACTGTGTCAGATCAATATTTAGTTTATTTAGTGTATTTTGTTTATTATAGATACTCTCTTTTAAAAATATCTTTTAAAAACCTAATCCAAGACCTCATTTTACAGTTGAAGAAACTGATACCCAGAGAGCTGAGAAGACCTGACTAAGCTGCCATGGTTACGTAGTGTCGGAGCAGAAATGCTGCTCTAGATTTTTAAATTCCTCATTCAGGGCTCATCCACAAAACTTTAACTTCGTCTAGTAAAATTCCGTGTCATAACATAATTTTTTTAGTTGTTCCTTTTTTGGTCTGTTCCTATCTTCAGGATGTTGTATGTCAAAATTAATGTAACACTTTAGGGTAGAAAGTGAACCTGAATGCTATCTCTTCAGAGTAATCCATTTATGTTTTTTTTTTAAAACTGACAAAAATCTTTAAATGTTTTAAGCAACAGTTATCTCAAAACATCATCAATAATGAAAAAAATCATGGAAAGTCAGTCCTGTAAAATAATTACAGTGGATAGCAAAGCAGTTACTAAAGCTTAGAAGTCATATGTCAATTTGGCCATGACTTAAATTTTTCTAGCTAAATATTCACTTGTGCTTTTTTCATAAAATATGCTAATATCAGCACATTTTGTGTTAGAAAGAGGCTTATGTCCATTTAAGCCTTTGTTTGTTTGCTTTTGAGAAACAAACAACAGTAAGATTTGCTTTAACTATATTTATTTTCAAATTCTAATAGGAATATTTTTTGTTTGTTCTGTTGCTGTTGTTTGGTTACTACTTGTTCTGCATTTACTTAGAGCCGCAGCTTGTACTTGTTTCATGGAGTCAACCATTCCCATTTAAACCAAGCAACCATTTCCACCAGGCCGCCTGCCTGCCTAGTTCGTAGTTAAAAGGCAAGGCTTTCATTAACAGGGAAATCTGCCACTCAGATTATAATATATTTGAAGGAATAGTTCTACCAATTTATTTTATTTTTACTTGCTCTCTAAATCAAGATGTTTATCTTTCCTGGTAAATTACATTGCATTCTTTGAAAATTCTTTCCTTAAATATGGGTAACCCTAAGTGGACACGGTTATTTATGTTAGGTTTGAGCTAGACAAAATTTGTTTTCCCCTTAATTTAAAGTCATTATTCTAATCTGGTAGGATTTTTGATACTTGTTTTATTTTTCTTCCTTTTCTCCCCAAGCAATCCCAGTACATAGTTATATATTCTAGTTGTAGGTCCTTCTGGTTGTGCTATTTGGGACACTGCCTCAGCGTGGCCTGATGAGTGGTGCTAGGTCTGCACCCAGGATCTGAACTGGTGAAACCCTGGGCTGCTGACGTGGAGCGCGTGAACTTAACCACTCAGCTATTGGGCCCGCCCTTGGTACTTGTTTTTGTAAATTAAGGTGTAATTTACATATATTAAAATTCATCCTTTTTAGTGTAAAGTTTTCCAGGTTTTTTTTTTTTTTTAAAGATTTTATTTTTTCCTTTTTCTCCCCAAAGCCCCCCAGTACATAGTTGTATATTCTTCGTTGTGGGTCCTTCTAGTTGTGGCATGTGGGACGCTGCCTCAGCGTGGTCTGATGAGCAGTGCCATGTCCACGCCCAGGATTTGAACCAATGAAACACTGGGCCGCTTGCAGCGGAGTGTGCGAACTTAACCACTCGGCCACGGGGCCAGCCCCAAAAGTTTTCCAGGTTTTGACAAATGTATACAGCCGTGTGTCTACCATGGTAATCAAGATATAGAACAGTTCCATCATCCCCAATACCCCCTGCCCTGTGCCCCTTTGTCGTCACCTCCTCTCCCTTTGGCAACCACTGATCTTTGGTTCTATCCCTATTGCAAAAATGTCATATAAATGCAGTCATTCAGTATGTGGTCTTTTGAGTCTGGTTGCTTTCATTTAGCATGATGCATCCGTGCCATTGTGTGAATGAGTAGTTTGTCCCTTTCAATTGCCAAGTAATAGTCCATTATATGAATGTAGCACAGTTTATTTATCTATTCTCCGCTAGAGGTACCATTGAGTTGTTTCCAATTTCTGAGGGTTATGGATAAAGCCACTATGAACATTTGCACAGAGGTTTTTGTATGAACATAGGTTTTCATTTCACTTGGGTTAATACCTAGGAGTGGGATTACAGGATTGTATGGTAAGTGCATTTTTAACTTTATAAGAAACTTCCAAACCAATTTTCAAAGTGGCTGCACCATTTTGCATCTCCACCAGGAATGTATGAAAGTTCTAGTTGCTCCACACCCTTGTCATTATTTGGTTTTGTTAGTTTTTCTGATCTTATCCATCTTAATGGGTATGAAGTAGTATCTCATTGTGGTTTTGATTTATATTTCCCGAATGCCTAATGATATTGAGCATCATTATAAATCTATATATATCTTTACATGTCTTCTTGAAGTGTTCTTTATGTATTCTAAATTCAAGTCCTTTATCAGACAGGTGATTTGCAAATATTTTCTCCCAATCTGTGGTTTCTTTTTTCATTCTCTTAACATTGGCTTTTCAAGAGAAGAAACTCTTAATTTTGACGAAGTCTTACCACTTTTTCTTTTGTAGATTGGGATTTTGGTGTCATATCTCAGGAATCTTTGCCTAATCAGGGTCACAAATATTTTCTCCTGTGTTTTCTTCTAGAAATTTTATAGTTTTAGTTTTCTACATTTGGGTATATTATCCATTTGGAGTTTGTTTTCATGAGGTATGCATCAAGGTTCTTTTTTTGGCATATGGATATCCAATTGTTTCAGCACCATCTGGTGAAGAGACTAGAGTGAGTTTTTAATTATTGTTAAAATTTATTTTAAATAAGTTACCTAGTGATTATTACATTATTTAAGATGATTGTCTCCCTCACTCAAATAATTTTGTTATTTAAGAATTGAAAGAAAACATTGCCCTAAATACCCTAAGCTTTAAATTGCCCACAATTGATATATGTTTAACTTTTCTCTTGAAAAGTTTTTGTACTTTATTTCTTTAACTCCAAAGAATTGTTTATTTCCGTATTTATAATAGTAAATCAAAGTGTAGTAATATCTGAGAAGCCAAGTTCCAAATTCAAAAAATTTCCTAGAGTTGGTGCATGCAAAAATGGAAAGCCATCATATCCTTGGAAATTGAGTCATGAAAATTTTGGCACAAAACGATCATGCAGCTCCCTCAGCAGAATTAATTATTCCCTCCTTTGCTCCCCTAGCACTTTGTCTTGCTTCCGTTATGGCTCTTCTTATTTTGTATTACAAATATTTCTTTCCATGTTAGTCCCTTTCACCAGACTCAGAGGCAAAGGCTATGACTTGGTCAGATTTTTATTTGGCCCCAGTGCCCAGTGAGTGCCTAAAACGAAAAAAGCAGCAAAAAATGTTGTTACATTGAAGAGTGCAAAAAACTTTTCCAATGTGAGTATTAAGTACTGGTTGAGTGAAAATATGTGTAGATTTTATGTTACCTTATTTCAATGATTCTAAGGTGTACATTTTTTCATATTTTGACGTTTTGGAAATAGAGTTGTTTCTCCAACTGATGGTGCTGTACAATTGCTGTAGGCCCAACAGGAGATGGGATGTAGTTGTCACTGTTTGTGCAAGCCAAACCTGGTCAAAGCTGTTCCTGTTGTACTTCAGTTGAGTTCTGCACATTGTTGGTAGTACATGTGAATAACTTTATTGCCATCTAAAATTTCTTCAAAAATTCTCTTATGGCTTGACATTGAAATGGAAACAACAGCAGGGAGTAAATCTGATATTAGTGAAGCAAATATGTCTGTGTCTACAAGAGCTTTTTCAATAACTATAAATTAAGGAATAAGAAAGCATTGTATCATTTAAGTTGGCAAGAGTTTTTTTTAAGTGGTATATAAAACGATGAGATTTACAATTCATGACATCTTAGATTTGATGAAATAGGGAAGTTTTGATTTTTGTGGCCTGCCTAAGAGGAGAATGGACTCAAAACAATTACTTCTTGTATGCTGGAAGATGGAAGACACCCTGAAGACTGGAGAATGGCATAACATCATGCTCATATAGAATAAAGAACATTTTGAAAATTATATATTTCAAGTTATCTTTCAAGCATTTAAGTTAAGAGACTGAAAGTCAATTGATTGATTACTTAAAAGCCAAAAAGACCCAAGGTACTGGATAGTAATCAGTGTAGTTTTATGAAGACCCAATTCTATCAATTTGACTTAATTTCTCTTCTTGAAAAAGTATGTGCTTTTTAGACAAATAATAGACTTTAGGGAAATAAATCAAAAGCAGAACTTTTGTTGCAGTTTTATATGACATTATTAATGACAAAGTAGGAAGATGGGTGGGGATCAGGCATTTGAGTGAATGTTGTTCCAAAGGTATAGACTGAGCAGTCGATAGCCTCCAAGTATTTATTATATTTGACTTGTCCATCTACCCAACTTATTGACCTCTTTCTTAATCCCATTTTCTGGCACCTCATAAGTTCAGAAGAGAAATCCAAATGACCTTGGCAAAATTGATAAATGTTTTGATTAAACGTGGATATAGTTTTAGTAATGACAATGAAAGAGTGTTCTGTCGTATGAGGTTTAATCTTTTTTCCAGGTGATGGAGCTAGGGAAAAGACGTTTTGAGACTCCTTTCAGATACAAAATTGTAATAGTTAATGTTTTTTAAATGAATGGCTTTTAATAAGGTCTAAGCTATGTTCTAATAATTTGACAAATTAATATTGTTTTATGGTTCGAATTACCTTATATATTATTGTAAGAGTCAAATAAAATTTAAAGTATATTGAGAATCTCAAAAGCTCTTTTTCTGATTGCTTATTTTTTTTTCTTTTAAAGATTGGCACCTGAGCTAACAACTGTTGCTAATCTTCTTCTTCTTTTTCTTTTCTTCTTCTCCCCAAAGCCCCCTGGTATATGGCTGTATATTCTAGTTGTGAGTGCCTCTAGTTGTGCTATGTGGGATGCTGCCTCAGCACTGCCTGATGAGCAGTGCCATGTCTGCGCCTGGGATCTGAACCAGCAAAACCCTGGGCCGCTGAAGCGGAGCACACGAACTTAACTGTTCAACCATGGGGCCGGCCCCCTGCTTAATTTTTTAAAGAGAATTTTTTCATTAAAGAAACAATAATTATCCAAAACTTTGACATTTTACCTTGTTTACAGGTACCAGTCATGGTAAGCAACATATTATTATTAACTTGAGGCTTGCCACACAATAGGTGAATGTTCTTAAACCTATGTCATACACCAAATTGGCATTATTATTTCTAGTCACCTTTTATAATTCTAGCATGTGTTATTAATTCTTAGAGAATGAAAATAAAATAAGAAATGGCAATATTTAAATTACATCCAGATTTATGTGATGATTCCAAAGTTAATCTCAGCATTTTGCATTGTTTTGAGGTCATTGTGTGCTGGTTATAAAGATTTCTAGTTGGTGGAATGCTGGATAAATGTGTTCTTTTAGTGTATTTGATTGCACCTTACATAAATAAAGGACAAAATGTGAACTCTTCTCTTCTAAAGCAGTGTTGATTCAATTCTATGAAACAACATAGAATAAGGTATTATTAAACACCTTGTGCCACATTCTAAGTTATGACTGTTGCTATTTGTCAAGGTCATCAATGACCTCCATGTTCCTAAAGTCTCTGGTTAATTTTCACTGTTCTTATCTGACCTTCAGCAGTGTTTGTCCCAGGTGATCATTCCCTTCTGTTGGAAACAGCTTCTTCATGTCTTCCAGGACACCACACTCCCTTGATTTCCCTCCTGCCTCCCTGGTCTCTCTCTGTCAGTCTAGGACTTGTCCTTGCTCTCCTCCCTGAGTGCTTCATGTTGAGGAGCCACAGGGCTCACTTCACTGTCGTCTTCTCCATCTATGCTTAGCCTTGAAATATCATTCTCTTTTATTTGTTTTAAGTACCATCTGTATGGTTTTGACTCCCACATTTGTATTTCCAGCCCAGAACTTTTCTCCAGACTCCAGACTCCTATAACCAACATCTACTACACATCTCTATTTGGGTGTCTGATAGACATTGCAAATATAACATGTTCAGAATTGAATCCCAATATTTGCCACTTCCTGCCACCTGTTCTGCTTGCAGACTTCGCCATCTCAGTTAACGCCAACTTGATTCTTATTGCTCAGTTGACTCCTCTCTTTCTTTGGTATCCTTACTCAATCTATTAGGAAATCTTGTTGGCTCTATTTTCAAAATATATCCAGATTCTGACCACTTCTCACGATCTCCATTCCCACTACCCTAGGCCGAGTCACCATCATCTCTTACCTGGATTATTGCAATAGCCTCTCAGCTGGCCTCCTTGTTTCCATCCTTGCCCCTTTGTGGTCTTTTCTCAACAGAGCTTACAGAGTAATTATTTTATAATGAAAGTGCAGTCATGTCACATCTGTTGAAGTCCTCCAGTTCTTCCCCACTTTAATCCCCAAATTCCTTACATCAGCCTCCAAGGTCCTACACAATCTGGCCCCCTTGTTACCTTTCTAACCTACTCTCCTACCAGTCTCCCTCTCCACTCAGCCTTATAAACCCCCTTACTGTTCTTGAAACAAACCAGGCAGAGTACCACCTCAGGGCCTTTGCATTGGCCATCCCTTTGCCTGGAACACTTTCTTCAATATCTCCATGCCCAATCCCTCATCTCCAGGACTCCTGTGTACAGTTTTCACTGAGAGTCATTTGTAGGGCACCTCCTAGGGTTGTGCACTGTCAACATGCCCCACTCTGTGCTGTGACTCTGCCCACTTTAAGTCTTTGCATAAATGTCACTTTCTGTGAGGCCAATCCTAATCATCCAATTTAAATGTGAAGTTGTGTTGGCTCTTCTGATTTCATGTTTGTTCTATTGCATTCCTCCCCCCATAGCACTTATCACCTTCTAATATACTACTTTATTGACTTGCTATTTTGATTGTCTTCTTCCCCTCCCTAGAATGTAAGCCCCATGAAGGCAGAGAGTTTTGGTGGTTTTATTTACTCTCTACATTAAATGCCTAGAACAGTACCTGACACATAGGTAGCCATCAAATAAATGTTTGTTGAACAAATAGTTTAAGATATCTTGGGTTTTAAAATGTATTTAAAATAGAGGAGAAGAGCCAGCCCTGATGGCTTAGCGGTTAAAGTTCAGTGTGCTGCTCTTTGCAGCCCAGGTTTGGTTCCTGGGCACAGGACCACACCACTCATGTGTCAATAGTCATGCTGTGGCGGTGGCTCAGATAGAAGAACTAGAAGGACATACAACTAGAATGTACAACTATGTACTGGGGCTTCGGGGAGGGGAAGAAAAAGAGACGAAGATTGGCAACAGACATTAGCTCAAGGCAAATCTCCCCTCCACAAAAAAATAGAGGAGAAGTAAGATTAAATCATCTTCAATGAGTTTTTGAATTAATGTATTTCATCAGATACGTAGTTATTAGGATGTTAAAAGTTCAATTTTCTAAAAAGTTTTATCTTCCAGCGGATATATCCATATGTGCTTTATGCCACAGAATTGATAACTTACATTCAGAAAACTTGGTAACTTATCATGAGGCCATAGAGTTTCAAGTGATAACATCCCTCAGCAGCTATGTTTGATAAAGCTTTTTCAAGTCTAATCAGCATCTGTGGATCTTCAATTAGCAATTAAAAAAATCCCTGCTTGTTTTTATTGATTCATAAATAATATTATAGCTTGCTTTATTGTTATTTACAGTATACTATGGTAAAAAATGGGTTTTATTCAAGTGTAAATGTTGATCAAGTCATTACCATTATTAGGCAATTAAACTTCAATAGTTCTTTAAGTGGCTAATTAGTGAGCTAGGAGAAATGGTATATTTAGAATATATCTTTATTGTGATCTGGTACCCTTTTTGTAAAACAATGACAACCAGTGTTTACATGTAAGCAAAATGAGTAAGAGATTTATTTCCTTAATAATAGGAAAGAGTGTTTATCAGAGGATTTGAAGCAACACATACCGATAGTATAACAACCCTTACTAACACCTCAGGTACATTCAAAGCCTCCATTAAAATGATTTGGAAAAAGGAGTTGGATTACCTTCTTCACAGTTATGATGCCGACTTGGAAATTGGGATCTGTGTTAATGTCAAAGGCATCTGCGCCATCTCCGTCCACAATAGTGTACTTCATCTCTGCATTAATTCCTTCATCCAAGTCCTTGGCAAACACTCTCCCCACAGTGGAGCTAACGGGAGCCGATTCTAACACACTCATCTGATAGTGTTCTGTAAAGAGAGGTCAGAACATGCATTCTTGTGATCTGTCACGATAAGAAATGCCTCGTCAGTATCACATCATACCAGGCATTCTGGGCAAAACATCTCTCTCTTGTTTCAGCAATTAAAACTTGAATTTTACAGATGAAAAACAGATCCAAACTGAGCAAAGGGTATTAGGTCATAGCCTGTGTGAATGTTTGATAAGGAGGGGCCAAAATAGCTTGACCATAATCCTAAGAGTAGGACAGGAAAAAAAGCAAAAATATTTCTCATCTCAGTGAATCTATCTTCAAAGTAGTAGGAAGTACCTTACTTTCCAATCTTTCAGTCCTTCCTAATGAACTATTTGCCCAAATGAACTGTTTCCTCAAATGTTATTTCCTTCTCAGAAAGACAAACACACACTGTCATCACAAAGTACGTATTTATTCTATCCACATTTCAAATGCCCTCATTTTCCTTCCTGGTCTGGCTAGTGTACTGAGTGTCCATCCCTACAACCAGCTGCCCAAACTGAATGGCGACCAGTGATCTATCAGGGAGGAACAGCTGCAGAGAGCAAGTTCCACCCGCGCCATGTATTGTCCTTCAAAGTGTCCTTTCACCTGGGTCTGCCCACTGGCGGCCCCTTCATAGACACTCTTCTGATGCTTCTTATTCTCTTGTTGCAGAATAGAACACCCCAAAAGTTCTCACATATGTAAGAGGCTCAGAGCTGGTAATGTTCTTTTCAATTTGGTATCCTGAATTCGCAGTTAAATTTAGTTCGTTTTCATCTCTGCAGAGTTGTATCTTCACTAACTTACCTTCTCTGGGGCTCAACTCTGACATTCTTCATTATTTTGTCAATCATAATGTGACTGAATAAATAACAAAGAAAATCATACAATCACATTTTCAATATGTACATGGTCTCTTTTATTCTAATATGCATTGCAAGCTGCAGGGAAGCCTGGGTTATGAGGGCTCGAATTTCACAAAGATCTGGGGAGGCTGACAGCACCCAGCCAGCTCACAGCGCTCTGCCTTGCACAGGAGAAAAAATAATGCCTATTCTTTGCAAATATGAGCCAGGAAATCAGTAATGTCTGTACTAAGCTGGCAGGCGCTTGGATTTCAGATCTCTTTCCATTCTTTTCCCAAAGTTGTTGATGAATTAGACTTTGCTATTACAGAACTTTTGGGAAAAACAAACAAGTATCTGCCTGCAATTTTCCCCACACCAGGAAAGCTATGTGTTCTGTGTTTAAACAAACATATACATAAAATTTCTACACATGATGTATTATATTAGAAATAAATAGCCTGAGATCTTGATATTCCATTATAGTTGGTTCAATTAAAGGTGACTGAGCTTGTTCAATATAAAATAGTAGGTGTGTGTCATTTGTCAACACTCCATCATCAGTTACGATAATATTTTTGAAAAAGAAGAAAAATGGAATTCTACAATGAGGAATAAGAAGATTAGTAATGCAGAAGAGTTTATCCAGGGTAGGATGTTCAAAAATCTATAGTCTATAGTGTGTGCAACGTGAGCCATTCATGAAGTTATAAAGATGGAACCCACAGGGTCAGCAAAGCAATAAGAAACCAATCTATATGGCATTTGACAAACCATTCCATGACACACTAACTATTCTGTACTGTAGAACCAATTGACTTAGTAACCTACTTGCTTGCACCACTTGTGAAATACTTATCTAGTATCTTGCCTTTTTGATTCATGAAATCTCATGGGGTCTTTGGGTATAACATTTGCAAGTAATATTTTGAGCTCTCCCTGTATTTACGTAGATACAATAGATGCCTCACTTGGTCTGGCTGAGTCAAAATTTAGCTAATTCAGCCAATAGCCTGACTTTTAGTTTAGTTTTTTTAAGTCTCTGTTTTTAGTTAGTTTTTTTTTTTTTAAACTTGATTTTCCTGGTTAAGTCTTTCACCTGGAATTGTGTCTGCTACTCTTTCTCCAACTGCTCTCTTTAGGCATCTGCCTCTCTAATTCACGTCTCCCTTCCTGGACTCCATTTCACAGTCATAGCTCTGTATTTCTACCTTCCTTAAGGACATTCAATCTGATTGTCCTGCTGTCACTTCATATTCAAATATGAATTTATCTTTCTCCTTCCCTGCCACTAGTTCCATTGTGCATCCTCTGTTTCTATCAGTAGTACAATTCTTCTCCCTGTAGCCTAGATGTTAAACATCATTGTCATCTTTGACTCCACCCTCTGCCTTGTTCCTTAGTCAAGAAATCAAGAGGCAGAAAGCCATGTTTTCTTATTTGTCCCACTCCTGTCCTTCTGCCTCCTCCTTAAGTCTTTATCAGTTCAAATCTAGACCACTCTAAACACCTCCTAACAAACTCCCCTGCTTCTAGTCTCCCCATCTGCCAATCCATCCTGTACATGGCTATTACATTAGCCTTTCTGTATGTCTTTCTCCTGCTCAAAAACTTTTCAATGACTTCCATTAGAAATATAACACATTTGAAACACTAAAGAGCAGTTCTCCATTTTAGGGGTCTTTTTTTTAAAAAAAATTTTTATTTTATTTTATTTTTTATTTTATTTTTTTATTAAGGTTATGTAAGTTAACATCCTTGTGAAATTACAGTTGTACATCATTATTAGTCATGTTGTAGGTACACCACTTCACCCCTAGTGCCCTCCCCCCACCCCCCTTTCCCCTGGCAACCACCGATCAGTTCTCTTTGTCCATATGTTAACTACCACCTGTGAGTGGAGTCATACAGAGTTCGTCTTTCTCTGTCTGGCTTATTTCACTCAACATAATACCCTCAAGGTCTATCCATGTTGTTGTGAATGGGACGACTTTGTCCTTTTTGATGGCTGAGTAGTATTCCATTGTGTGTGTGCGTGTGTATATCTATATCTATATCTATATCTATATCTATATATAGATATATATATATATATATACCACATCTTCTTTATCCAGTCATCAGTTGCTGGGCACTTAGGTTGGTTCCATGACTTCGCTATTGTGAATAATGCTGCGATGAACATAGGGGTGCATGGAACTTTTGGAATTGCTGATTTCAGGTTCTTAGGATAGATGCCCAGTAGTGGGATGGCTGGGTCATAAGGTATTTCTATTCTTAACTTTTTGAGGAATCTCCATACTGTTTTCCATAGTGGCTGTACCAGTTTGCATTCCCACCAACAGTGTATGAGGGTTCCCTTTTCTCCACAGCCTCTCCAACATTTGTCACTCTTGTTTTTGGATATTTTTGCCATTCTAACAGGTGTAAGGTGATATCTTAGTGTAGTTTTGATTTGCATTTCCCTGATGATTAGTGATGATGAGCATCTTTTCATGTGCCTATTGGCCATCCGTATATCTTCTTTGGAGAAATGTCTGTTCATGTCCCCTGCCCATTTTGTAATTGGGTTGTTTGACTTTTTATTGTTGAGTTGTGTGAGTTCTTTGTATATTATGGAGATTAACCCTTTGTCGGATAAATAACTTGTGAATATTTTTTCCCAATTAGTGGGCTGTTTTTTTGTTTCAATCCTGTTTTCCCTTGCCTTGAAGATGCTCTTTAGTCTGATGAAGTCCCATTTGTTTATTCTTTCTATTGTTTCCCTCTTGTGAGGGGTTATGGTGTCCGAAAAGATTCTTTTGAAGCTGATGTCAAAGAGTGTACTGCTGATATTCTCTTCTAGAAGACTTATTGTTTCAGGCCTAATCTTTAGGTCTTTGATCCATTTTGGGTTTATTTTAGTAAATGGTGAAAAAGAATGGTTGATTTTCATTCTTTTACATGTGGCTGTCCAGTTTTCCCAGCACCATTTGTTGAAGAGACTTTCTTTCCTCCATTGTAGGCCCTCAGCTCCTTTGTCAAAGATTAGCTGTCCATAGATGTGTGGTTTTATTTCTGGGCTTTCAATTCTGTTCCATTGATCTGTGCATCTGTCTTTGTACCAGTACCATGCTGTTTTGATTACTGTAGCTTTGTAGTATGTTTTGAAGTCAGGGATTGTGATGCCTCCAGCTTTGTTCTTCTTTCTCAGGATTGCTTTAGCAATTCGGGGTCCTTTGTTGCCCCATATGAATTTTAGGATTCTTTGTTCAATTTCTGTAAAGAATGACATTGGAATTCTGATTGGGATAGCATTGAATCTGTAGATTGCTTTAGATAGTATGGACATTTTAACTATGTTTATTCTTCCAATGCATGTGCATGAAATGTCTTTCCATCTCTTTATGTTGTCGTCAGTTTCTTTCAAGAAGGTCTTGTAGTTTTTGTTGTATAGATCTTTCACTTCCTTGGTTAAATTTACCCCAAGGTATTTTCTTCTTTTTGTTGCAATCGTGAATGGGATGAGTTCTAATCTTTTTCGGTTAGTTCATTGTTAGCATATAGAAATGCTACGGATTTATGTATGTTGATTTTGTACCCTGCAGCTTTGCTGTAGTTGTTGATTGTTTCTAATAGTTTTTCTATGGATTCTTTGGGGTTTTCTATATATAAGATCATGTCGTCTGCAAACTGCGAGAGTTTTACTTCTTCGTTGCCTATTTGGATTCCTTTTATTTCTTTTTCCTGCCAAATTGCTCTGGCCAAAACCTCCAGTACTATGTTGAATAAGAGTGGTGAAAGTGGGCACCCTTGTCTTGTTCCTGTTCTGAGAGGGATGGGTTTCAGTTTTTGTCCGTTGAGTATGATGTTGGCTGTGGGTTTGTCATATATGGCCTTTATTATGTTGAGATACTTTCCTTCTATACCTATTTTATTGAGGGTTTTTATCATAAATGGATGTTGGATGTTGTCAAATGCTTTGTCTGCATCTATTCAGATGATCATGTGGTTTTTGTTTCTCGTTTTGTTAATGTAGTGAATCACATTGATTGACTTGTGGATGTTGAACCATCCCTGTGTCCCTGGTATAAATCCCACTTGATCATGGTGTATAATCTTTTTGATATATTCCTGTATTCGGTTTGCCAAAATTTTGTTGAGGATTTTTGCATCTATGTTCATCAGTGATATTGGCCCGTAGTTTTCCTTCTTTGTGTTGTCCTTGTCCGGTTTGGGGATCAGGGTGATGTTGGCTTCATAGAATGTATTAGGGAGTGCTCCATCTTCCTCTATTTTCTGGAATAGTTTGAGAAGGATAGGTATTAAATCCTCTTTGAATGTTTGGTAGAATTCTCCAGAGAAGCCGTCTGGTCCTGGGCTCTTATTTTTGGGGAGGTTTTTGATTACTGTTTCTATTTCTTTACTTGTGATTGGTCTATTCAGGTTCTCTTTCTTCCTGATTTAGTTTGTGTAGGTTGTATGAGTCTAGGAATTTATCTATTTCTTCTAGGTTGTTCTATTTGTTGGCATATAGTTTTTCATAGTATTTTCTTATGATCCTTTGTATTTCTTCGGTATGTGTTGTGATTTCTCCTGTCTCGTTTCTAATTTTATTTATTTGAGACTTCTCTCTTTTCTTTTTAGTGGGTCTGGCTAAAGGTTTGTCGATTTTGTTAATTTTTTCGAAGAACCAACTCTTTGTTTCATTGATCCTTTCTACTGTCTTTTTTTGATTCAATATCATTTATTTCTGCTCTAATTTTTATTATTTCCCTCCTTCTACTGACTTTGGGCTTTATTTGTTCTTCTTTTCCTAATTCCGTTAGGTGTCATTTGAAGTTGTTTATGTCAGATTTTTCTTGCTTATTGAGGTGAGCCTGTATTGCAATGAAATTCCCTCTTAGGACTGCCTTTGCTGTGTCCCAAATCATTTGGTACGGTGTGTTTTCATTTTCATTTGTCTCCAGATAATATTTGATTTCTTCTTTAATTTCTTCAATAATCCATTGTTTGTTCAGTAGCATGTTGTTTAGTCTCCACATTTTTGGCCCTTTCCCAGCTTTATTCTTGTAGTTGATTTCTAGTTTCATAGCCTTATGATCAGAAAAGATGCTTGATATTATTTCAACCCTCTTGAACTTATTGATGCTGGCTTTGTTTCCCAAGATATGGTCTATCCTTGAGAATGTTCCATGCGCGCTTGAGAAGAATGTGTAACCTGCTGTTTTTGGATGAAGTGTCCTATATATATCTATTAGGTCCATCTGATCTAATTTTTCATTTAATTCTATAATTTCCTTGTTGATTTTCTGTCTGGATGATCTGTCCATTGGTGTTACCCATTTTAGGGGTCTTTGAACATAAAATTGCTTTTGCAACTTTATTTTCAGGTCTTTATATACATTTATTTTTTCTTACATTCAGGTTTCTACTCAAATGAGCTCTAGGAGAGCAGAGATTGCATTTGTTTTGTACATTGCTCTATATCTCATATCTAGAATGATACTTGAAACAAATACTTTTTGAATGGATGAACGGCTTCCCTTCTGGATTGTTTTCCTTTCTGCCTATTGAAATCCTTTATATTCTTCAATCCGTGTTGAAGTCTCCTCCTTCTATGAAGCCTTCATTCATCTTAGTTGGAAGGCTTCATTCTGCACTCACCAAGTGGTACAGCCAGTGTTGCTTCTTGGTTTACTTCTTATGAGTATAGAATATGTACTCCCCAAATGGATTTTAAGCTTCACAGGGGCAAGGACTGGGTTTCAAGTATCTTGTGTCCCTCATGCCTGGTTCCCTTACAAGCAGATGCTCGGTACCTGCTTGTGAATTGATTGGTTAAAGTGGTCAGATGGGTCACTATATTCACCTACAGTTTTGGCTTAATGTCCCTGAGTGCATTCTCAACAGGGGCAATATCACTCCTTAGGGGACAGAAATTAGTTCTTGTGGCTGGCAGAGGTGAAAAATCTTAAATATTACAATAGTTTGTGGCTCTCTAAAGTTCAACCCCACCCAAGAAAATCTTATTCTTTAGTATTTAATCTTATGGGGGTGGGGTGCAGGGCATGGGGTTCAAGAGAAAAAAGTCTAAAAGGGCCCAGTAGGGAGGTGATAATGAAAAAAGTGAGAAACACTGGTTTAATGCTATGGGATGTTGGGACCCAGGAGAGAAATGGTTATGTGGGAATAGCATGATAAATGTAGGAAAGGAATCCAGGAATCGTTGAACTTAAAGAGGAATTCAGACTGGCCTTTCTCTTTCACCTCTGTAACAGCTGCATCCCTCTGGCCTGTGATCAGATCTCTGTTAGGTACTTACTCTGGGGAAAGCGGGGTGGGTTATCATTGACATCTGAGAGGGTGATGTTGACTGTTGTGGTCCCAGCTAAGCCTCCAAGCTGCCCTCCCATGTCCTTGGCTTGGATAATCACTTCGTAGTATTCTTTGGCTTCTCGGTCCATGTTCATGAGTGCTGTCCTAATTACACCTGCAGGATAGAAATGACTTTGATTTTAAAGACAAACCACAAAGCCAGTTTTTAAGATTGGTTTCTAGGTTTCCCCCTTGTGCATTGTTAATGTCTAGAGTTGAGATGCAAGTCACCTGTGGTCTATTAAACTTGAGGTCAGAATCCCAGCTTCAAAAAAGTGCTTAAACAAATGGTGAATAATTCCTATTCCAGCAGGAAGAGCTTAGAGGGACAGTTTCCTCTGGCAACATTACCAAGAGAGAACGGGAGGTGGCAGCAATGGCTCTCTAACAGACTTGGGGAATCTAGAGTCCCAGGCAATTTCAGGCTGCTCTGTCTCACCAAAGAAAACTGGGGCTTTGGGTCCAGAAAACAAAGCCTCACATGTCTGCAAAGCTATGATTTTAGATAATTCTCCTGCAGCTCTTTCTTTCTTCAGCCCCTAGAGCTCTTGTGGTGCAAATGACTCTTCTTTAGGCAACTCACTCCTAGTCTACTCTTTCCAGCCTCCCCAATACCTGTTAGCATGGTTGAATTCTGATTTGATTTTCCTTTTGTTATATATTCATTCTGTTTTGTTATGTTCTGCTTACCTCCGTGCTTCACTGAATTCTGTGAGCTAGGACATGAAAGATGCTCTGTGAGTTGTTTGTTTTTAAGACGATAAGGGATGGAGTTCCCCAGACAATAAGTAGCAGCATCGCCGAGTGCTGATACGGTTTCATTTAAGAAGAGGGGTCTAAATCAAAACCCAGTGAAATGTGTTGTTTTGATCCTGCCAAGGATGTGCAGTAATGTTTTATCGCTCTTTTACCCCTTCCACTTAGAAAAGTTGACTTCTATACGCTCTAGGCAAAGAATAAAGGCTTGTTTACTGTAAATTTACAACGTGACCCTTGGCTAAATAGACCTTTGGTATGCAAAGGGAAGGGATTGGGAGCCTCAGATCTGTCCCCAGTTTACTCCTATAATGTATATATTGCACTGTAGTAACAACATTCTGAAGTGAAATATGCAGCATTTTCTTTTTTAAATGCCCTATGGGCACAGCAATAACTATCTTTTCATGTGTTTTTGACCTTAACACTAAAGATGCCTCCTGGGAACTGTCAAAATAATGTAAGTTTCCTCTGAGGATATAAAGGACATGTTGCCCTCTTCCTGTCTATATTTTTCCTGCCTGTGGGCACCCCCTCACTCTCCCTCTCCCCATTTGTAGAATTGTTAAAGTTACTGTTTTATGGAAGTCCCTAACTGCAATCTTTTTTCTTTCCTCCTACTAATATGCACTCCCTCCCTTTCTACTTTTATGATATAATTTTCTAAATGCCTGGTTCCCCTTAGGACTTCCGGAAAAAAATTCTATTAGATTGCTAGTAAGAAATATATTTTTCCTCTTTCAACTAGAGGTGACTTTGAGTGTTCACCATTGACTTTAACTCTGTGCCTGTAAATTTCTTTACTCAAGTTCTCTGTTAATTACTCTTAGGTTTCCAGTTTTCCTGTATGTAAAACTGGAATAACTACTTCCATATATTTCATGAGTTCACAAGATTATTGGCAGGCTCAAATATGGTATTGTTTGTGGAAACAGAGAAAGCCTGACACAATGCAAGATAATAATGATATAATTATCACTCTGCCCAACTCAAAAGTATTAAAGGGACTTCTTCATAGATAAAACATGCATATTCTGTAGTTAAAGCTTGCTAGTAAAATTGAGACAAAATAAAACAAACAAAAAACCAAAACCAAACTTCTGTTGGTTTGCCCTTTTCTGCCACACTGCTCCCTTACCCATCTGGGTCTCTATGCTGTCCTCCCAGTTAGAGCCTCCCACTCAGCACCTGTCTGTTTTGGGGGCCACATCCCGTGCTCTGTGCTGTTTCCTCCCTCCTCAAAACCTGTCTGTCCCAGCACCCGTTCATTCTAGCCTCATTCTCTGCTTAGTACAGGGTGGTTCAGGGGAAAGAACATCAGACCACACATCAGGGGACTTATCTACAACTAGATGCACTTGTTAGGTCTCAAGTCCCAGTTTCCTTATCCATTAAGTGAATGGTGAGGGACTGGATGACTCCCCTAAGGCTCTTTCCAGTTTCAGAATCAATGATTCCAGTTCTATTGTGAGTCCAGGTTAATGTGTCAATCTTCTCAGGTCTTCTTGGAGTGATAAAAGACCTTAATCCCTGGGGATAAGTACAACCAGAGGACATTTTGAAGGCTGGTGAGGAGGTACTTTTGTGGAGGCAGGCCTTCTGGCCTCTCCAGTCAGACCCTGTACACTGCCTATACATGGTGCTGCTCTTGCCCACCAGGGCAGTGCTGGTTTGCTCTCTTAATCCTAAAGCTTATAACAATCACCTCTGGTTAATACTCTCCCTGGAGAGTCCTTGAAAAGGAGAGTTGGGTCTGTCATAAGTAGCAGTTATAAATTATTAAGGAATAAAGCAAACACTTCTGACTTGACTGTTGCATCAAATACCTGTTTTGGAGTCCACAGAAAAATATGGTTGGCCCTGGAGAATGCTGTACACGACCCGGGCACTGTTGCCGTAGGTTGGATCATCAGCATCTGTGGCTGTCACCTGGATAACAGAGGTCCCTGAGGAAGAGATGGAGGAAGCCTGTTCAAGTTGAATTGCTAAAGGCTGGATGCAATCCTGAATGGGCAATCTTAGAGCATTTGCAGATATTATGTTTGCTTTCTTGGGAGGGTCCCCTTTCTAGGTCAAACTTCCATAACAACTCTCTTGTACTCTGTAATGGGAACTACTTGTGTTTTAAGTTCTTAATAACCAGTAAAGACAACACAGCCTTTGGGCTTTTCATTACCCTTTGGATCATACTAAAATGCTTCTCGCTTATGAATCAAACATGAGTGATAGATCATTTATCTATCATCTATCTTTTGTTTTACTTTTAAGAATCAGAACTGAATAACCATACTAGGCTTATTATTACTATTATCTTTTACTGTGGCTGATTCCAATGTCTAAGTAGCTTCCTGCCTAAGGACTTGGTTGTCATTTTTGTTTTTTATTATTTGTGAGCTGTTCTGCACATTCCTTTTCTGCATATGTACAGGAGGATCTTCTGTAGAACAAGTGCTGTTTGTGAGAATCAGTGAATCTCCACCTTACCCACTGGTGACATTTCTGGCACAGTGGCGACATAAGGTCCATCTAGGAACTTGGGCTCATTGTCATTGATGTCTTGGATCTTGATGATGAACTCTGACTCTGGCTCCATCGGCCTGCCTGTCCGCCTGTCTAGGGCTTGAGCCCTTAAAGTATACTGGGCTCTTTCCTCTCTGTCGAGCCTCTGGATGGCATGGATGTCTCCAGTGGTGTCATCGATGGTAAACACAACACCTGCGCCTTCTCCTGAGAGGATGTATTTGATGGATCCATCTCCCCTGTCCATGTCTGAATGGAGCTGAGGAAAAAACACCGAAATCTCATTATGGAGATGAATAGGTGTTGGAATAACTTCAGTTTGGTCCCAACTTATGACCTCCTTTCAGACAGTAAGATTTTTTTTTTCACTTAAATGTTTAAAACGTCTGTCTACAAAGAACTAATATACTTGAACATGCTTGTATCAAAGAACAAATATAGGTGAATAAGTAAAGTTTGTTACTTTACTTGATGAATAAGTAAAGTTTTTCCAAGTCACATTCAGTATTCTGAACTTACTATTATTTTAAATTCTTCTCCCTGAGAAGTATAGAGAACAGGACTTCTGGAAAGTGTAGGTCCCCATCGTGAGAAGAGGAGCAAGCCTGATAAGGAGGAACCCAACATTTCCACTTAAGAAAACAAATGGACAGGCTTAAACATATTAAAATAAATAAGTGTTGATATAAATTAGGTTTTGCAGTTTTAAAAACTTCATGACCATTCAAGTTGGCTGAAAACCTAATGAAATGATTAATAAATAGGCTACTCCAGTGTACGGGAAATAGTCAGTGACCTCCAGGGGCTCTTGCAGCTCTGACTCTGTAATCCTGATTCCGTTGTTTCATTCAGTAGGACTATGCTTGCTTGTTTCAGGTGTCAAAACAGACTTTCACTGCTAGGTATTATTCTTTGCATCAGTGTGTCTTTCCTTTTGGTGGGACCTGGGCTCATAATTATCATTCAAATCTACATATGGATGGTTGAGTTAGGGACATGCTTTCATCTACCCATCCAACTATATTTCCTCCCAAATTACTTCGTAGTGATTCTCAAAAGGAGTCCAGGGGCACTATTTTTATATTAAGCCTAGAAATACATTTCTGCATCTCTAGTTATAGACAATGTATATGGGTGTCAAGAATCCTGGAATTTTGTGCTATCTTTTAAATAACAGTCTCTCTCTAAAGGGGGCAACAAAAAATTAATTACAGTTAGTCAGCCCCCACTAACTGTTGTTGCCTGCTTGGCACTTTGCATAGTTCAGTGTCGAAGTTCCTAAGATTTAGTTTATAAAATAGACAACCAGTGTTAGGCTTAGGTTAGGGAGGCAAATATATCTGATCTGAACACTATCTATGTGAGTTATAAATTGAGTGCCCTTGACAAATTATTTAATGTTTATTACTCCCAAATTCCTCAAAGTGTAAATGTGGAGAACATTAATACTTACTTTGAAAGGTTGTCAGGATCATTAGAAACTAATGTCTGTAAAGCACCTAGCACGGTGTCTTTCCCATAATAAGAACGCTATAAATGGGGTCAATTATGATGATGATATGCGTGCATAGAGAAAAGGGTACTAACACGCCCAGCTCTTCTCTGCTCCCTTCAAGCCTCCAGGAGTGTAGCAGAGATAGCGAAAACAACTTGTTGCCTTTTTTCTTGTGCATAGTCCAATGGTAAAAGCTGCAGAAGGCTGCCTGAAGCTTTGCTGGGACAGTGTTAGTCTGAGGATTAAATGGCACAGACACTAAGAAGACACCTGAAAATGTATTTGCAACATCCTCAGACAAGGATGGGTTTGGAGGTTGTGGCTGGCTTTGAGCTGATCTCAAATTGACTCTCAGCCAAATCACACAGGCGACCATTTTGCTGCCTAGAGGAATTCAGCTGTGTCTTATCTAGAGAAGGGAAATAAGAGAATAAAATTGACCAAAAAAATCACTGTGGATTTTTTTCTACTTAAAGAATTCTATTTAGAATATGAAGTTCTCACATTTCCTCATTCCATATACAGTATTATTATTTTTTGCCCCACAATCCAAATCATCTATTTGTGCAGTTAAAAAAGCAGAGGTGCCCAGCTTTTATTGTATAGAATAGAAAGCCATTTTATTCGGACTTGGCCACAAAGAAATGAAAGTCCATTCTGTCTGGAACTGTGTTCCCAGGCAGAGGAATGGAATTGGAAGGAGGAGGACAAGGATCTCAGGATTTTTTTAAAATTAAAAATATGTATATTTGTGTGTTTACATATATATAGATAGATACAAATATATGTGATTTTAAGGTGTGTGGCATAGGACTTTCACTTAGAGTGAAATAGGTTAATTTAGGGCATGGCAGATTATCTAGGGGAAAAAGAAAGAATAGAAGTTGACATAAAGAAAGTACCCAGGTGTTTTGAGGTGTTCTATTTGTCATCTAAAAAGTTTTGTCCTATGAACCTTGAAAAAGCTAAGCATACTTGTGATCCTTAGTGCTCTGCCCATGGAGAGTGCTTAATAAGTAACAGAAGGCTAAAAATCTAAAAATCTCCTCTACAGCAGGAGATTCTGGTTTCTCAGGAGCCATCCAGCTGGCTGATGTCAGTAGAGTCTGGGCTGAACCTCAGATCTGTTGTCTTTGTTTTCGTCTGTATTGGGAGAAGAATTTCAGGAACTCTGGACTGTGAGTTCCTTGAAGTCAAGAACCAGGTGGCTTTCATCTTAGCATGGGTCTCACATGTAGTAAATGTTCAAAAAAATTTTAGTGAAAGAATGGTGTAGGGTGTAGGATTAGTGTTAAAGCTTTTTGTGAAATCATTTTACCTTTGTTTGAAAAGGGCTAGCAAGAATCTTTCAGGTAGCTTCTGAGTGTGTTTTTGCATGCTTTTGTGCATGCATGTGTGTGTGCAGGAGAGGGAGGGGGAGGGGAAGGAGAGAGTGAGGGAGAGAGCGAGAGGATGTCCACAGAGAATCAGATGGGGCCTCTCAGGAACAGGAAGAGTACCAGCTATGAAAGGGGCCAGGATCTGCTTACACAAAGCTGATTTCTGAGGAGTATAATTGTATCAGTTCAGGATGCAGTCAGGGAACAAGATCTACACCAGTTATTGTAGCAGAGAGAATTTAATAAGGAAGCCTGAAAAGGCAAAAAGGGAACACTGAGGAATAAGAGAGGTAGTAATTCCAGGAAACAGTTAGTGCCCCTCTGGCTGGGGGAAAGGAGGGCCAAGGTTGGGGCTCTTGGGACCTAGATGTTTGGAGGAGGCAGGCCTGAGACCTCTGAGGAGAGAGTGCTGTCCTCTGGGGCTGGGGGTTCAGGAGCTTAGAGGAGGTGCCCCTCAGCACCCAGCTCCCATGGAACTGAGACTCGGACTTCTGAGAAGAGGTGTCATCCAGTAGTGCTGGTATTTCTGAGGGGGTGTGGTGAGGCTGGTTCTGGGAGTGTGGAAAAAACCCAGAAACTGGAACCAACTGCTGGCCAGGTAAAAGGAGCAAGGTCCTTCCCTCTCCTCCTGCCTCCTGTTCTCCCTCTAGTACATTCTACTGTCTGAACCCAATCAGGGAGATAGTTGGAAAAGGAGAAATGGTGGCTTGCAGAGTCCCAGCACCAGTGTCACAAAGTGGAGTATGGAAAGGTGAATATATTGCTGAGAGACACTAGCTTAATAACCAGCACAGTATTGCTCATTTAATATCAGGGTTTCCCAACCACTGAATACACATTTGGTTGTGAAAATTGCAAAGAAGAGACAGTAACAGCTTTTCTCAGCAAATTGGCAGTTTAATAAAAATGTGTTTTATATTTATCTATATTTAATTCAACTAACACTGATTGAGCATCAGCTCTTTGGAGGAAGGTAAGGAGCTTCTGGAGTGGAGTTGGCAGCACATAGTTATGTATATTTTGGGAAAACATTTTTTTTCCTCCAAAAATCTCCTAGACAGAATAAGACAGGTGGATATCCTACTTATCCTAATAATTCTTTAGTCTATAAAATCTTCAGCCAAAGAAGTAGTGAATGATGGAAAGTACATGCAGATTATGAAAAATCTTAGTTGATTTAGGATTTTAAAAACAAGGGTGATTTTCACTCCTTTTGTCATCTTTCATAGTGCCTTGTATAGTTCCAGGAATGCAGTAAGTGTAAAATTGTGGTTAGACAGCTTCCCTGTGGTTGTTAACCTCAGAATGACTTGGAACCACAGATTCGTGCACAAGCACAAGCCCTCTGCATCCCCCTCTTTGCATATGTCAATATAATCCAGCTTTAGCTAGACACTGCCTTGTCCCTGGAAAGCCCAGTGTGGATTTTATAAGGCCATACCAATTACAGCTGATAATTGTTACCATACTCCTTTCTGAAATAAGCAAATACTCAGGCAGGCTCTCTAAACAGACATCTTCCAGAGCTCAAGGTGACAAGCTGAATGCCCCTGGGGGAGAGGGAATGAAAGGTGGATGAATTCTCTTTCAAAAGAAAGTAAGGGGGAAAAGTGCCTGGGTAAGTAAATATGTAATTATCTTCCTCATGTGGAGGTAACACACCCAATTCAGGGTAAAAACTTTCACTGGTTGCTGGTGTGTTGGTTGGACAGGATGACTGTAGAGATGCACAGGGTGTCCTGTGTCCTGAGTTGAGGTAATTAGTGAAGGGTGAGCACTAATTGTGAGTACTAGAGGGTGCTACACAGCTAAGTACTCCCAATGTCAGGAAGCAGTCAGGCTTGGTTAGATTCCTGGTTCCAACTCTAAAACCATTGACCCTTCCGTGTATTTCTCAGTGCTAAGTCTAAAGTCATGGCCACATGGGGGGCAACATAAAGGAAAGCCCATGGCTTCAGTGTCAGATTTCCTGTTACCTTCTGTGTAACTTTGGGCAACAAACATAACCTCTCTGAGCCTAGTTCCCAAGTGGTGAATTATACTTACCTCACAGTGTTGTTACGATGATTACATGATCTGTTCTATGTGAATGTGACTGGCACATAGTACTGTGGTAGCCCAGTAAAATGTTAGGTACCCATGTCTTTCTGCATTTTTGTATGTCCAGTTCTGTGCTGGTACTCAGTGTTGGCCAGCTTTAGGGAAGGCAGGGACGGTGTTTCAGTTTCTACCCTTGGAAGAGGAAGAGGGTTCTAAATTGTACATGCACATAAAGCAATTACTGAATACAAATGTATTTTCTTAAACTTTTTTTAGCAGTAGCTATGTATGTCTAGTTGAAAGAAATGTTTTTAAAATGTTGAGTAGCTAGAAGTCTCTGGAATTCTGAATAGATGGAAGATGTGCTCATGATGGAAGTGGCTTTTAAGCTGGGGCTCTGAGGAATTTGAATGTGATGGAACAGAGAGGAGGTGACAGCGTGTCCTGGGCAGGGCAGTAGCATGGGCATACATCTGGGGTAGGGACAAACATGGTTTATGTATCAGGGCCAGTAAGGAGAGACAGCTTGGCTGAGATCAGGACCAGATTTGAGAAATTGTAGGAGGGGCTGGATAAGGGAGGAGGAGTCCTTTTCTGGAAGTCCTTGAACCATATGCTAAGAGCTCTGATAAGCATTGGAGAGCTACAGTGCTTTCTTAATCAGAGGAGCGACATGATGGAAAGTGTGCTTCAAGGAGATAAGTGTCTTGAGTTCTGGCGGAAGGGATGGAAGAGTCTCTCTACAGGGACACAGGCAGCATCTACTTAGTTAATCTCATCATGAAGAACAGAAGGACCACAGTAATGACAGAGGCTAGAGAGGATGAGGTGAATCTGAGAGAAATTGGCAAGGAGATATTCACAGGATGAGGTGACTGGTTGGGCAAGAAGGAAGGAGAGAAGGAAAGGGAGAAGTCAAAGAAATCTCACAGATTTTTGAGGCCAAGAGATTTGCAGCTGCCTTAGGTATGCATTACTGTATGACTACTGCTACTACTACTAAAATTACTGCTACTACTACAACTACTCAATTATTGCTACTGTTACTACTACTACAATTACTATGGCAATGGCAACTACTACAACAACAACTACTACTACTATTTCTTACTGCTACAGGGTAATGATTATTTAGATCTTACTTTGGACCAGACACTGCACTAAGCACTTTACATGTGTTAGCTTATTTCATCCTTATTACACCATAGAGTACTCATTCATTAAATATCTTTTTTGAGCACCTTCTGTGTGACAGGTGCTGGGTTAGGCCTTGGGGATAAAATGGGAGCAATGTCCTTGCCCTTATTGAGCTTATAGTCTAGTCTGGGGTTTCAGACAATACAATGTAAATAAAAAAGTAAGTTAGATATTATGGGTTGTGATTAGAGCTGTGAAAAAAATAATGGTAGTGAGAGAATCTAACAGAGGGGCCTGCCTGCCTTAGAGATTGGTCAAGGAAGACCTAGATTCCAAATGAGCCCTAAAGGATGAGGAGGAGCCAACCCTGAGAGAAGCCAGGGGTAGGGCATTTCATCCTGGGAGAACAATAAGGCAAAACTTGGCAAGTTGTAGGAACTGACCGAAGGTTACATCCCTGGAACACAAGAGTGAGGGCAAGAAAGAGTAGCATGTGATGTGGTGGGAGGCCAGGAGGCAGGCTGAGTCAGAGAGGAATGGCCTTGTAAACTGTGGGGAGGAGACTTGAGGATTCAAAGTACAACCTCAAGACACTAAAGGATGTAAGCAGAGTCACATGGTCTGACCCACGTTTAAAAAGATCCTGTATGGAGAATGGATTGGAAGGAAGTGTGGGTAGAAGTGAGGGGACTGGTTGGCAGTCTAGGTATTTGCACAGGTGAGAGATTTCAGTGGAAGAGGAGATGAGAGAAATGAAGGATTTGGGATTTGTTTTGGCATAGGGCTAACAGAATTTGCAGGTGGAGAGAATGTGTGTGTGGCGGGGGGGGGGGGGCGGGGGGGGCAAGAGAAAGGGAGGAATGATCACCAGATCTCTGCTTTTAGGAACTGAGAGATGGCAATGCTAATATAGGAAGACTGGGGGCAGACTCAATTTGGGAGGAAAAGCAAGAGTTCCTTATTGGATACGCTGCACTGGGGAGTTCTGTGAGTCGTAAACGTGGAACTATCACCTATGCGATAGGGTTTATGAGCCTGAAACTCAGACAAGTGGTTTGAGCCAGAGATGGAGAGTTTGGATTCACTGGTTTAGAGGAGGTGTTTAAAACTATAGGAGGGCAAATCCACTCAGCGTGGATAGAGAAGAGGTCCAGGGCAAAGCTTACGAGACCATGAACAATTGGGATGAGGTGGAGGAAGAGGACCAGCAAAGAGGCTGAGATGGAAGGAGGAAAAAGGGGATTGTGAAGATCTTGAAACTGAAAGGAAAGTGAATCAAGAAACAGGGACCAGTCAGCAGCATCCAAGGCCACTGTTGGGTGGTTCCATAATATGAAACCATTGGATTTGGTGGTAGGGAGGTCCTTAGGAGCATTGAAAACACAACATCAGTGCAGTAGTGGGGACAGAAGTCAGATAACTGGATTAAGAAGTGGGTGGGAGTTGAGGAAAGAGCTTATGTAGACAACTCTTAAGAAGTTGTAGTTCTCTTATTATCCCTGTTCGACATTTGAGGAAACGGAGGCTAACAGGGCTTAGTGACGTGTCCAAAGTCACTCTGGAAGCAATTGGCAGCGCTGGATTTTGAACCCACATGTGTTTGACTCTGAAACCCATACTCTTCACCTCTGTGCTAACCAAGTGTTTAAGTTGTCATTTGAATGAATTATTTATTTTCTAATTAGTTCCTTGTTTCCCATTTTCTCTCACTTGGTTGCTTTCATGAAATGATCTCTGATTAACATCCAAATAAAGTAAACATAGGAGAAAGCCTGGATTAAAAATGATATGATGATAGGTAAATCAAGGGAATTAGAGTATAAAGTTTATAAATATATTCATCGATTGTCTCTAACTATCCTAGCACATGCTAGGATCTTCTGAAATGAAGAATGTTTTATTCTTTTTTTTCCCCCCCCATTGAATTTAGGCCTTAGGCAACACCTGTGGAAATGCTTTAAAAAACTCCACAAAGCAAAAAACCCTCTACTTCCCCCTTTGTGTTTCCCAGTTTCTTTTTTCCCCATCCTGTCATTCCACGGGCTGCTGCTGCCTCTTTGGGGACTTGGATAGCTTTCGCTGGGTCTGAGGTTTTTCCTCCAAAATCCAATTCCCTGTTTTTCCCACTCAGAACAGAGGCAAGAACAAGGAAAGAAGTCTTTCTTTTCTGACTGGTATCTGACAAAGCAAAAATTAGATTTCAACTTGCTGTCAAATAACATACCACTAGTTAAAATTGTTCTCAGGCCTCAGACACAGGCTAGGTGAGCTTTCATATTCAACTCATATTCATATTCTGTTTCAATATTCTATATCTGATAATTTGTCTTTCTGTTTGGCAGTTCTTACCTTGCCCACATACAAAGGGTCGGTTCCAGTGTACTCTTCCAGAACAAAAAACTGGTTCCAAACCCAGCTCCTCTTTGTCCGCAAGTGTGACTGTGGCTTGTCTGACAGGAGCGCTTCTAATTCACCTGGCGGTGTTGGTGTACCCGAGAGAACGGTGGTTGTAAGGTCCATCAATCCCCAGAAGTACAAGGACATGCCAAGTCCAAGCCAGCTCTTTGCATTGCTCATTCTACCAGAAGTCCACATGGGATTGCCAGTTTTTCAGGAAGTAAAGTACAGGATGATAAAGCCACTGGAACTTGAGTGTTTTCCAAATGAAAAAATACAACGCAGTGTGTTGGGCACTTAATGCTTCCCAAATGAGATCCCAATTCAAGTCAATCTGCTTGAAGTTGACTTCCTGTCAAGTTAAGGAAAACACAGTGTGATGATGTCACATCCTTTCCTGTGGGCTTGTAGCAAGTTTTCAAGAAATGTCAGTAAATATTCAGTTTTCTACTCAAGGAGTTAAACAGTCATAACATGTTATTGCTTTAGAAATGTTTGAGTAATAAATAATATTTTGATAAAAAGAACACAGTTTATCTTGCTATAGTCAATCCCAAACCTTTGGATATGGATTTCAGCAGGAAAAACTAGTGAATAAATTTCTTCTCATTGGTAATATAGCTGGAGGGTTGTGCTGTATTATTGATTGGCTTGAATTAATAGTGTGCTCTTTGAAATATTTATGATCAGACGGGCTCCTAAACTCTTAAAAATAGCATTCATTTCCAAAATTTACAGCTAATAACTAGTATTTTCATTAGCCCAACTGCTTTTCTTGGCTCACTAAAGAACCAAAAGCAAAATCTAACTATCTTTTTTGCCACCTATAATTATCTTGTGCCTACCCCATGTTATTGATAATATTAGGAATCCTGGACTTCATTTATAAGTTGCTATGGATCACTTCTGACTTTAATCATTTTCTGAGCTGATGGTGAAATTCAAGTTACACACTTTACTGCATTGGCCTGAAGCACTGATAGGGGCTGCTTATGTGACCTTTGTAGGGTTTGAATGGTCGGTTAATCATTATATTCTTCACGACAGACTTTAAAGTGCGATTAGTCACATGTTTCTGTGGGCTAGGTAAGAGTCTAGCCAACAAATATTTTTCCTGATCTGAAAGACTCATTTAGGCAAAGGAATGTTGACTTCTACCCTGGGGACACCTTTTCATCAGTTAAACCTCTTTTTTTGCTATGAAGTCAGATTAGCTGGTGACCTCACTCCTGAGCTATGACCTCATCAACCATTTCTTCCTTTACTTTGGCTGGGTTTAATGAGATGGCATAGCACTCAAGCCACTCTGTCAAAACAACCAAAATGTCTTCTGTGGGCTTAATATTTTCACTGTTAATGTGGAGAACTGCTGTCGTCTTCTCAGAACAAATGTGTGTATTTGGGGATTTCAGACCCATGCAAATAAATAATGCTCCCTTCCTACAAGTGGTTTAAGATGAATGCATTAATGCTAACTCAATTGCCACCTGCCACCTGTCATCATCAGAACTCATTTTAGCTTCCTCTCAAATACTCACTATTGAAACGAACAAAAGAATTCAAAAGATGTAATCATTTCGTACAATATGCCATTTCATTTCTGCATAAGAAATCACTTCAGTGAGAACTGATAAAGAGGAAAAAGGTGGAGGAGATGATAGAATTTCTGTAACAGAATGGGAGGCTGTGCCTCTTAGGAGTTCTAGCTGTAAAGGCAGGTTGACTGTTAAGTAAAAGCAAGCCAGGTGTGCCTTATTTAGGGTGAAGTGTTTGTTAATAAAGAACAGTGTGCTAGAAGGTGCGTTACCGAATATTAGCAGTTCTCTCTGTCTTTGGACTGATAGAAGCCCAGTCGTGTTTCTCTGATCTCTGTCTAAGGGGAGATGTTCTGGAAGAAGGAACTCTAGCCTAGGAGATGAACTAATGAAAAAGATTGGTGAGACATAGCTATGCTTTTAGGAACCTAGAAGATGGACAAAGGGCATTACCAAAAAAAGCTATTGCCAGAATACTGTGATTGGTAACTACAAAGGGAATAGTCCGTATATTGTGAGACACAAACCTATCTGTAACTTCCCCAAGGAGTGCTAGATTGCGTCAGACGCTGTGGTTCTAGCTTCATTTCCTCTGACTTGCTCACTTCTATGAACTATCCTTCCTCATAGAAAGCGAGGAACAATAATAGTTCTTTTTCCCCCTACCTCACAGGACTACCGTGAGGCTCTGTTGGGATAATGTAGGTGAAAGTGCTCTGTAAATGACTAAAAAGCCAACTGACATTTGCACAGTCATGTAAGGAGAAATTACCTGAGTTATGTGTAAAAATAATGAAGCTGAACCTGAAACATATTTTGTGGGCACTTTTTTGACCGAAATTCTGAAAAGGCTTAACATATATGTATTATGTCACAGATCTCTACATCTGTGATAAGTACCATTGAGTAGAAGATTCTAGCCCAGCCTAATTGTATATAACCAAACACTGTTTTTCCATATGAGGAAACATAATGAAGGACTAGCTATTAGAAAACCCTGTAGATAGAGAAAATTTTTTAGGATTGCATTTATCAAAGATAGAACTCAGTATATATACTAGATTTAACATATTTCCTTTAATGTCTGTGTGTCACGTGTACCTTTTGCCTAAGCATTATTTTCAATTATTTTGATTATTTTCTCTGGCTAATTTATTATCTTGCTTTTGGATTCTGAGAGCTCAGGTGCACGTGTGTGTGTGTAGGGGGGGGGGAATGCTAAGGTTCCCTCTCCCATTTCCACTGTCTACATTTTCTGGAGAGAATAAGATTTGAAGACATTTTGAAGAATTTCAAGTACTGTCCCTTATACTCTCCCATCTCTTACAAACTAAACATGCATTCTTACCAATTAAACCCCTCTATCTTTAACTATAGGTGTGACCTGAAGAGCTAAAGGGAAAAAAAGGCGTTCTTTGGAATCTTCGCAATGAATATTTTGTAGGTGGTTTGGTTGCAAGAGCTTTCATCTCTTTCTCCTACCCTCCCACACGTTAGTGCAAAGCCCTCACATTCTTCTCTTTCACTGATGACATACAAAAGTGGCTTTGGGATGTTTAGGACCAGTGGCGCCCTTGGAAATCCTGTGAAAGCTCTGGTGGTCTGTGTGCCCCTCTCATTCTCCCCCCTACAAACTTGAGGTATCAGAGCCCGCAGTGCCTGTACAGTCTTTCTGTGTGAAATAACTTGATAACTACAGTTGATGGAAAGCACTTTATTCCTGCTTCCTTAGGGAAGAATGCATGAAAAATACTCCCTGCCTAACTTTTTAGAAAGCAAAATCTGGGTTATACAATAGTTATAATTATTCTTTTCACAATTAGAGCTGTTTTTATACAAGTGAAGGGAAAATCAGTTCTATCAGAAATACTAACCAGTTTGTAATTATTATAAATAATATGGTCTCATATTGATTTTTTTTTTCCCTACAAGATAAGAATAGCAATGATGTGTTTGAAGGGGGGCTAATTTCTGTTGTTCTTATAAAGGAAGAGACTAATATCTGTCTATTTGGATATACAGATCAACTTTGGAAAACCACATATGCCACACGAAGAATACATTAGTGGAAATAGAGTTCTGTGTTAAATGAATCTTTTAAAAGTTTTCCCCCCATCCTGCCTGAAGAAAGCAAACAGCTTGGTAATGAACACAGTAGGAAGAAATTAAAGTTGTACATAAAGTGTGTTCTCAGTGAATTGTTTATTTTGTTACTTAAATTCATGTGATATTTAAAATGTAGGGGGAAGAGATGGTTACTGCTTTCTCCTTGAAATGAACTGGGCTTTTATGGTCTCCCCGTGATTTCTTTCATTACTCCAGTTTTCCTGAGCTTTTTATGGTTAATGGAAGTACTACTCAGTAAAGCTCAAATGACATCTCTATAGAAGCACAAAGTCGGTTGCCTATGCTTGTGACTCCCCCTATGAAGGGGGGTGTGTTTTAATTTTCTGATGTGTCCTCATGCCTTTAGAAAGGTGAATATAGACAGTGGTGTTGCCGTTTTAGGCAGCTAAACTTCTTAAGCTATCACTTTTACTTATAGAAGAAGCCTCAAAAATGTACTTACAAAGAAAAAAGAAACTTTGTGAAGATCTTAGATATCACAGTGAAATATGACAGTGTACCGTGAGGTGCATCAGCATTAAATCGGAACACAGCTCGGTGTCACAACATTCTCTTTTCTCTCAGTCAAGGGTTTCTTTTGAGAAATATGAACAGATGCATTTTACTTAGGAGTAAAAATTCTTCAGTATAGAGTATAGAACCCACAGAGAACAGAGCAGGTGGTTGCGGGTATGAATTGGAGTGAAAAATTCATATGATGATGATATCTCTGAAGACGTACAGTTCACAAACAACAAGATTCTTATTGTGGAATCCCATAAAGAAAATATTTTCAGTTCTTCTGTAAACAAACTTTCAACATTTCTGAGTCTGGATGTGTATGTCTGTGCTACTGACCGAAGTCTACCACTGGGGGTCTGTTTTGAAAGGTGTGTAATATGGTTTTGTATGCTGAAAGATGAGACAGTTTTCTGACTTGAATTCTTTTTCATTTACTACAGATGTTCCATCTCAGTTTTCTCCTGGGCAGTCATTAAGTGAGTAGAAGGTCCATACTTCCTTTCTGGCCATCAACTCTGTAGCCTACCCAAAGCCACCCATCTACAGGTGCAATCAACTCAGCAGAGCCAGAAGAGGTTGTCCAGGTACTAGAATTCCTGGATTTGGGTTGTGCTCTCACTTCCACTCTCCTACTCCATACCTCACCTGCCTCATGACACTGTCCCCAACCCCAAGGTTAACATTTCTGAAGTGGGATATATCTTAAAATCAATGCGTACATTTAATATGGTCATATTTCCTTCTTCCACTCCTCAGAGAAGCTGTTAGTAAGTTGATGGTGTGTTTAGAATTGAGGAATTATGGTATTACCTTTTCTTAAAAAAAAATTGAACAGAAGAGAAAAACTAAGAATACTTAATTTCCATGGAGATTTCTTAGAAAAGGTGTTTATCACTCTTGCTTATTCTAATTTTGATTATTTATTTTTCTATGAATTTCTGCTTCTCCAAGTTCCTCAAAAACTGTGGAAATCCTGAGCCTAAAGGTTCATTCTTACAGCGTTCACTCAGCTATTATCAGTCTCTTAATCTTCCTTTTCTCACCACTCGTTCTTTCTGTTCCTCATTTCCTTCTCACAACCAAACTAGTCTATGAGAGGGAGTGCTGTTTTAAGAAGTTCAAAAATGGAACTGTGGGGTGGCGGTGGCTGAGGGGGAGGTATAGGGTGGCCTAACTGAAGAGTTTAGGAACAATATCTGGTTTTATGTAAGGGTAGGGATGTGTGTGTGTGTGTGTGTGTGTGTGTGTGTCCATGTGTGCAGAAGAGAAGTAAAACAAAAAATGATGGTAGAAAGCTTGAATTATGTAATTAAGAGCTGACTTTGAAGAACCTGATCAATTCCATAATAAAACCTGCTTTGTGTATCCTGTATAGACACTGACCCTCTAGCTATAAATTCTCTAGCTCAGGTCATGAATAAGGGAATTTCCACTTTAGAAATCCTTTTGCTAGCGTTCGTGCCCACTTCCTCTTTTCTTTCCATTCTCATTATAATCAATTTTTCCAGTTGAGGGTGCCCTGTCTTTCTTTCCATATCCTCCAAGAATGGCAAATAGATTCTTACTGATCTTTTCACACATACTTAGTATCTACTAAATGTTTTAATCCTCAAGGAGTGGGGAAGTTTTTGACCTACTTTACCCTTCCTCCAGTTTTCACTTTTAATCAAGCTAATGAAACTGCAGTTCAGTCTGTAGGCAATTTCTTTGACTTACAGTTAGACAAGAATGATCAATTTTGATTTTTCAGCATTGTCTCACATGCTCACTAATTTCTAGTCTTATGTGACATTTATAATTGCATTAAATTTGTGCTTGTTCATTTGGAAAAAGCATGTGTTTTAAATGTAATTCTTTGGCTAAGGTTCTTCTTTGATAAGAAGTTGCAAATAATTGCTACTTGGTATTTTCTCTTATAACTTTACCTTTGTACAGAACTTTAGGCAGGTAGGACAATTCTATAGTCTTCCCTGGACCATAAAGATTAATCCATAGGAAGAAGGGTTTTTGGCAAAAGCAAGTTTGCTATCTAAAATTAAGACAATTTATTAATTCTATAAATACTTGAGCATCCAGTATGTTTAATCAAATATGTTAATATGTTGGTTTGAGGCCAAACAAAATTGAGTTTCAGTTTTAGCCCTACCACTTCTTATCTTGCAATCTTGAGTAAATTAAACTCTTTCAGTCTCAGTTTGCCACATGAAAACTGGAGATAATTATAGACTCTCACCGGGTGATTGTCAGAATTAAGGGAGAAAGTATATCTGAAACTCTTAGCACAGTGTTTGGTGGATGGTTAAAGCCTCGTGCTTGAAAATAGCAGGTGCTTAAATAAATATTAATTCCCTTTCCCTCCTTCAAGGAGTTTAGGGTTTAGTGGGGGCGATGCTACCATTAATACTAGTAGTAGAAGTAGTAGCAGGAGTAGGCGTGGGCATGATACCATTACTGGCAGTGGTGACAATAGTGTTGTTAGTAGCAGCAGGAGTAACAGAAGCAATCACAGCAGAAGTAGTAACATGGAGTGTTTACTCTATGCCAGGCTGTGTTAAATATTTTACATTTACTTTGTCATTTAATCTTTACAAGAATGCCACGAAAAGGTTTTCTTTTCCCATTTTACAAAGAAACAAAGAATAATAGTGTGCTGGAGTTAGCTCCTACTGGCTGTCACGAGAGCCGATTTGCACATCTCTTCCCAGCTCCTTGAACTCAGCCATGGTGTGAGTATTTCACCACAGCTCTTGCAAATGCGACATATCATGAAAGCAGATGAACTGGGATTCTTCCTCAGGAGCCACTCTGCAGCATGTGCTTCCTAGACGACTGACTATAACACGGATCTATTTGTGATAAGGGCCACAAGAAAACAAACTGCTAGGCCAGGTTGGAAGAGGGAGAAATGACTTCTATCAGGGAGGAAAAGGTTAAGGTAGTATATGAACTAGACCTTGAAAGGTAGAGAGGATGGCATTCCAAGTGAAAGAAAATGTAAGCGCAAAGGTGCAGATACAGGATGCAAAGGGCCTCTCTGGGAGAAGAATAATTTAATCTGCTTGGAGAATGGGCTCCATTTGGGAAAGTAATGAGAGATGAGGCAGGAAGTACAGGCAAAAAACAGTAGCGAGGAGCTTTAAATATTGCTGGACTGAAGTGACTGGAATATATTTAGTTGTTCACGGTGAGCAGTTAAAGGTTTTTGAGCATGCAAACGTAGCCAGTCAAATCTCTGTGTAGTAGTGTTGCTGGAGGGGAGTGAAGAGGAGGTGGGGGATCAGTTGAGAGTCCAGGGAAAATTAGTAAGGAGAACTTCAACTGGGGAGCCTGGGGGCTGAAAAGATGATTGGCCCCATGTCTGAACTCTTGAGGAGGCAGAGTCTCCAACACTTGCATACTGAATAGATATGGAGGATGGTGGGCGCGGGAAAAAATGAAAACAATGACAAGGAACTTCTGTGCTTAGGTTATGGCAGAAAGCTGGAGGAGGCATTAGTTAGAGGCAAGGTAATAAATTTGGTTTTAGACTTAGGGATAAAAAATTCATCCTTCTATGCCTGATTATTTAAAGAGGCAAGAACTTTCCTTCTCTTTTTAGTCCAAAGCTTCAAAGTAGCTTTGGGCATAAAGAATGTGAGCTCTTTCCTCTCTCTTAGAACAATTCTTGCGGAGCACACACACTGCATTGGAGCTGGCAGACGCTTGCTGACCTGGGGCTGACTTGGTGAAACTGATCTGGAACTTCAACTCAGGCAGGGAGCTTTTGACCTGTTTTGAGTTCTCAGGTATTATTCCTTTTACAGAATCCCCACTCTCTTATTGGAGTCGTGGGTATTTTATCTTTCTTTCTTCTAATGTGTAAGGAATATAAGAAGGCAACTGGATAATCTGTTCAAGAAAAAGGAAAGACAAAACAAAAATCTCATTGATATTTATTATTTCTTCTGTTAAAGGAAAAGAGAAACTTGTCTTCCAATACATGCTTTCAAAAAAAAAATCTCTGTTTTGGAGAATGGCACATAATTTGGAATCAGGACATCTTGGTTTAAGACCATTTCCAGCTCTGCCACTCAATGTGTAACACTTGGCATTTGCTTAATCTTTTTGAGTCTCAAATATGATGATAACAATCTTCTTTAAAGGTTTATCACAGATTATCATGACCTAATATTATAGATTAAGTTCTGTTAAAAAAATTATTTTTACTTCTTTGTGTTTCCCTTTTCATCTATCTTCTCAAAGCACTGTGTGCGTTTCCTGTCATGGCTCTTCATTATTCAGGATTGTATACGTGTCTCTCCCTTCTCCATATTGTAAGCTCCCTGAAGACATAGCTCCTGTCTTTTCTCCACATATCCTTGATAACTAGTGCAGAATTTGGCACATGATAGGTGCTTAGTAAATATTACCTGAGTGCTGATGTATTTTTAAGCTGTAAAAAGTATTTAACAGTTTGATATTATCCTTTCTGCTTTTCAGGCTTTTAATTTGAGTTAATTAATATTTTTAATGCTGATTTTAATATCTGTTCTTACCAGCAATGTATTAAGAGGCATGGATAATCAGTATAAAGGCAACAAAAGTCAAGAAAACAGTGAGTTTTTACAGATGATATTTTTGTTCTTGGACAACAAATATAATAAACTGTTACATATCAGATGTACTCTAGACCTTGGCATCACTTATTCTAACATAAAGTTGAAAAATCCTTTGTAGAGATGCTTGGAAACGAGGGAATTGGGATGTGAAAAATTACAGTGACTTAAAATTATGTGATATTTTTTATTGTTTAGTTAAAGGCATGTGACCATGAAGTTATCTCTGGTGGTTTAGCTTCTTACCTCCTTAATTCGGGGAAGGGGGCTGATGTGAGAAGATCTTTTTCTCTAATTCTTTTCCAGGTCGACTCGCACCTGTTCCTTTGACAATCCCCTCTTTCTTGCACCTAGATCCTCTTTATTAGTCCAGTCCTCACCATATGACTATATTTACATTTCCTTTTAAAATGTTTTTATTAGTCTCTGATTGGATCATTGAATATATACTTATGTTAGTATTTTTCTTTTGGGGAGTTCCACCATGTAAACAAGGGATATAAAAAAAAAAGAAATTCCCAAATGGCCCAAGACAACTTGGTCCCAAACTAGGTCTTTCTAAGCAAAGTGGAGCCATCATGGGTCCCAGAAGTGACTGGCATTCATGGGGAGTGAGAACTGTTCTGAATTCAGGATCTTCTCAGTCATTTCAGGCTCATCAATCCAATCGAGGCTTCCTGGCATCAAGGTCACCAAATAGCCTGAGGCCTAGATCAAGAGGCACAGATGTCTCATGCAGTGAGGAAAGGGGGATCTGATCCACTGATCCTCCATCATTTGATTTCCTACTGAATCATTTTGGCACTAATTCCTGTTTTCTGGCTAGCTATTGACATGAAATAAATCACCTCAAAATGTAGTAGCTTAAAACAGCAATCATTTTATTAGTTTTTATGGTTTCTGTGGGTCAGGAATTTGGATGTGTCTTGGCTGAGTGGTTCTGGTGTGGGCTTTCTCAGGCATCTGCAGTCAGATGGTGGCTAGGCTGAGACAGCAGAGGTCTGGTGCAGCTGGAGGCTGGGACATCTCTGTCTCTTCACACAGTCTCATTTAGTACCTTTATGTGTGATTTCCATGCAGACTAATTTGGGCTTCCTCACAGCATGGTGGCTTCCAGGAGGGCAGTTGGAATGTGTACATGGTCAGGGTAAATGTGAGCGCTCCTATTCTCAAAGTAGAAGCTGCATGATCTTTTATGACCTAGCCTCAGACTCCTCTCAGCTTCACTTCTGCTGCATTCTGTTGATTATGAGCCACTCAAAAATCTGCACTCACAAGGGGAAGAGAATTAGACTCCACCTCTTGACAGGGGAGTGGCAAGGCTCCAGAAGAGCCTGGGGGATGAGAGATATTACTGTTACCATCTTTAGAAAATACACTTTGCCACGCCTGGAATATCAACCAAGCCATCCAGGGCCACTGAGTTCAGTGGGGAAGAACTTTTGTAATCTCAGAATAGAAAGGCAAGTTTTTGTGTTTAGAAGGTCATGGAAATAGCTATTCTTTGGTTTTAAAAAACATATAGAAGAAGTTCTGTCTGAATGGCCAATTTCTATTTATGTTGTGACGGAGACGGGTGTATCTAAGGGAAGGAGTTCTGTGTAAGCTGTACATATAAAGCTTTTGATTATGCCTACTCAGCCATAACAAATTAAGAAATATGGCTCTGACTGTTCAGTACTGAGTGACTAGAGAATTATCATCAATGGATCACTTTCAACTTTAGTGCAATGACAAGTGGTATTTTATAGGAGTAAGTTTTGTGTCAAGTGTTTAATATTCATTCATAATTTTAAGGATATCTAAAGTCATGATTACTAAGCATTTGGATTTTTCCAAAGTGGAACAAATTGAAGTGATGGTGGTAAAGGACATGGCTTGGCTTTAGACACAAGGCTCTTTGGAGAAGCTTTAAAATATGAACAGAGCAATAATGAATAAAATAAAATCTAGTAACATCTGGAGATGAGAACTCAGTGAACAAATAAGATTGGTGGGTCATAGTGGATATCATTTCCTCCCAGTTTGACTTCTAATTTTTTCTTTGTTGGGTCTCTCTTACTTTAGCCGGGCAATGAATGGCTCTTCTAGCCATCCGAGTAGAAATCCAGAAGATTCCTCCCCCCCCGCCCCCATAAACTTCATACCTTCACCCCTGCTGCAACCTAACTGGTGTCCCTGTTCTAATCTGTTATCAGCCAGAGGGATCTTATCAGGTCACTCACCTGCTAAAAGTTCTCTAATGGCTTCTCATTTCTTAGCTGATAAAACCTAAATTCCTTGACAAGGCACTTAAGGACCTACATGATCTGGCTCCTACCTTTCATTCTAGCGCCATCTCCTGTCCCTTCTCCCCTCACATTTTTTGGTTCATCTAAATAAACTAAAGACCCTATATTTTAACACCTTCATTCTTTTGTTCAATCACGAATACCTTTTCTAGGCCCTTTGCTTGGCAATCTCTCTTCCAGGAAGCATTTATTGATCACCAGGCCTATCTTCTGTGCCCTCATGCCACTCTGTCCATTCCGCCAGCACAGCCCACATGGTCTGCTTTCCCCACTAGCCTGTGAATTCTCTGAGGGCGGTGACTCTCAACTCTGTATCTTCAGAATTAGCACAGTGTTGGCACCAAGCAGGAATTTAATAGAACTTGGAATAGAATTAAATTAAATAGAAATTGAACAATGATTCAGCAATACAGCGTTTAATTTCAAAGAGAATCATGGCACCTGTATGGTAATAGTTACAGAGTAGGGTCCTGAGGAACCACCAGGCAAGACTGGGATTCTTTGTCAGTTTCTGAGAGCTACAACCCCAAGGGGGTTGGAGTTGAGGATGGAACTTGGAGCAGGTACAGAGGAGTCCACATGGGCCTAAAGATGAAACCTACAGTGTCCAAAGAAAAGGAATCTTAAAGGCTAGTGGAGAAAAAGTCAAGGTGTAGTTTAATGAAGACATCCAAATTTTTTAAATTCGTTTTCACCAAGGATGGACATCTCCTAGGAATCAGGAGCAAGGAACATAGCCATAATCAGTAGCAGAAGAGATTTAAAGAAAGACAGATTTCCTGACAGTGAAGCTTATAAACTGGAACAGGTTGCTTATGGAGATTAAGAAATCTCTTGCCCTTTCTTGGGCAGGGGGAGAAGGATGGGCAGCAGACTGCAGGGGAGGAAGTGTCCCACTGACTTAAGTGTAGATCTGCCAAAGATGGGGGATGGAACCAAAAGGCCGTAAGGTCTTTTACAAATCCTATAAAACAACGATATTTTCAAAAGCTTACTTTTCATCACAGTAAGCATTTACAACATTTCACTCATTTTTGCCTAGGGAATATGACTTTACAAGCACACAGTGAAAAGAATTAGTGATCCCTCCAAAGTGCATCAGTTGATAATGATGCTTAATTCTAGCCATCTCTACTTTTACTTGCTGTAAGGTATCGGTAAAACAAACAAACAAACAAAACACATTCTTTTAATGACCTGCTGATTGACCTCAGGTAACACTTGTGGCAAGATAGGATTGTTAGCTCTGCTGTCTGGAAAAACTGTATTCCTCCTCTGCTTTTATGCCAGCACTTTTCCCCTTTCTGATATTTAAATACCATATAGCAGTGCCACAAAGATGTTCAAATGTTACCAGTGGAAACTGCATTAGCAGTTAAAATTCATGTATATTTCTTTTCTATCTTGGTAAAGGAGTTGGGTTTCTTTGGAGTGGAAAATGCTGTTATATGTCATTTGCAAAATTTATTATTTCTTTCTCCTATAATCCCTTTCATCTTTCCTCTACAGTAAAGAATGGTTAAAAGAAATCCATATAAACTCTACAAGTTTTTATTCTTGTACTGTAAGGCTAAGCATAGTATAACAGGACCCAATCCACATACTCTAATCCATATTAAGGAAAAAGATTTTGTAAATGTTTCTCTTCAAAGTACTAACAGTAAATGTAGTTTAAAGAGAGAGGCTACAAAGAAAGCCTTATTAATGGGAAATACATTCTGATAAATCAAACTGATTCCAATCTTAATAGCCAATTTAAATAATGGAATTGGTTAATAGCATCAAATTAGGATTAAAGAAAGGGATAAAAATCTATTTCCACAAGTTGTTCCAAAACAAGACATTCACTGGCTGATGCCATATTATATCAATCTGATTATACTGTACATAATAAAGCCTGCCCTACGATGAAACCCTGCTAGGAGACGTGTTTAATAAGATGCCTTTGATATTATTTGAGTGAAAGCTACTTTGGACTCTAAAGAATCAAAGAGAAAAATCTTTAGCTCCTGCAGTCAGTCTTAATCCACAGTGAATGCCAGTGCTGTATGTACACCCCATCCTAATCTACTCCCAAATACAAGCATGAGCTAACTAGTTGGGATTTCAGATTTGTCCTTTCAGAAGCCATGAACAGAAATTTGTTTTGCTTAATAACCATGTTCCACACCGACTGTTCATTTCTAGGCTTATCACAAATCAAGTCAAGATAAAGATTTTCTGTTGGCAGGAATTTTAGTGGACACTGGTGACTACAATTAACAGCCACCAAATAATAATTTAAAATTACTATTTTAGATGGCTTTGTTTGGCTCCAGCAGGAACTAAATCAACACATTCCTTTCCCAAGACAGTCTTTCTATGTCACTGACCAATTTTAAACCAAATTTTGTGAAGGTATGTCATAGAAATAACAGACGACATAAAAAGTTTTATAACTTACTTTTCTCCTTCTTCCACGGAGTGCACTATTTTTGCATTTTCCTGAGCTTGTCACTTTAGTTGCGGAGTTCACTTCATGCTGCCAGCTCCCACTGTATGTCAGAACAACTTAAAGTGGTCCTCCCTTTGCCAGTTTGAAATTGGTCCTTAAATTATAATCAGCTCTAAAGGAGGCTGTTGGATGTAGGGACTTTAGTCCCGTAACTTTGAGGGGAGAATGCTGCACCCAGTTAAAGCTTTCCTTCCCCCTCTGCTAGTGCCATGGGTGAGAACACATCTCTTGGGGGAGATAAGATCCAGCCAGCCACCAAGTTGCTGATGCAACCTAAAGCTACTTGGGAAGCAAGTGAGAACAAAAGGCATCACTTATGTTAGGTGATTAGCGGCAAATGATGTATGGGGGTGGGAGGGAGCCTGGCGTATACAAGGAAGGCGGGCTGGCAGTTGCCCTTGTCTAGAGGGGGGAAGGACAAAGAATGCTGTCCCTGAACATTTGAGGCCCTGGGGGATTTCTTAACAGAATCAAACGGCAAAGGACTGTTAGCAGCCTTGTACAGTAAGAGCTAAAGTTCTTTGGACATGTTGGCCTCACAGACAGCTGAGAATATCTAGTGGCAAATACCTATCAACTACTATGTATTTCAGAAACGAAAGATACATAATGGGAAGGCTAACAAATTGCATGTCTTTTCCACTTACCGCTGCTTAGTAAGTAAATGCAGCATCTCAGTTTCCAGTAAGTAAATGTAGTATCTCAGCTGAGCTGCTCTTTCACATTATTGTTAATTAAATAATACTCCCTAAGAAATCTGTCATTACTGGCAGCTGGCAATGGGTTTGTTGAGTTTGCCTGAGGCTGTTAATGCTCCAACAAACGGGCTCTTAATTGCCATAAGAGGTAATTTCACTGGGGATTGTAGTTCACTTTTCCCAATGATTTTATAGTATGTTTTATATCTTAAACTTCCTTTTTGTTTCTATGTCTGGAGTTCCATAAGGCCAGAGGGATCATTCTCTAATGATTCATCCATTGAATTAGCCATTCTCCATAATGGAAAAAATGCATGTTGTTATTGAATCTGTAATTTTTCCCTCTATTTCCATTATGACTAAAGAAAAGCAACTAATAAAAGACTTTAAAATTAGCTTAATTTTCCCCTGTTCATTTCATTACTTATCCTTTGAAATAAGTGAATTTTACTGGGATAAATGATTTCTGGTATGTCATAGATGTAACTCTGACATTACTTCTTGTCAACTGTTTTCCTAGTAGACAGGAGTGTTGGGTGAGTAGAACAATTATGAGTAGATATGGTTGAAAGGGGGAAAGATGAGGGCATTTAGCCCCAGAGAAGAACATGTGCCATGGCCTAGAATTTAAAGCGACCTTATCTTCAAACGTTTTCCTTTTGTTCATGAGCAGAGAATAAGGACAAATATTCAGAAAAAGTTACCTTTTTTTCCAGTGCTATAAAAGCTTCCATATGCCATTTCAAAAAGAAGTGCTATTTCAGCCTTTTCTTAAATGACCTCTTTTTCATTATAATGTAATATATTTTTTCACCTTTTGACTGGTACTTTGGTTTTTTTAAATAAAGTTACATACTTGTTTCAGAGGAATTACACTTCAGAATGCATCTCAGTGGCATTTCATCCTAACAGTTTCGTTTGGTTGAATTAATGTGCAGCTGTACCCTAGTGAAGGAAAGAGAGAGGCAGAGACAGAGAGAAGATAGGAGAGGCTTATTTAATCCAACCTCCAAGCATAACTTTCTTCAATTTCACATTTCAGCATCATTATAGTAAGCTTTATTTGTAATAAAAGCTTAATTTAGCTGGAGAGTACTAAAACATATATATCCACATTATATCAGTGATTTACTGTCCTGTGGTCAAAATAGTTCCCTTTCTTCCTCTTCACCAAGTTCACGTTTTGTTGTCTGGTGTCACTTGATAATCTTTCATTCTCCTGTTTTTTTTCTTTTTTTCAGGTTCTATCTCTCTCTTTTTCCCATTAAGATGTGAATGGGCAGGCATCTCGGCCAATATGTCTATACATGGCTGAATACACTTGGAGAAAAGCGGGGTCTCCTTTTGTCTGGACTCTGGATGGCTGCGTGTCATTCCGCACCAACGGGCAGGGCCTCCCTCACAGTAGGAACTTTGCAATAATTGCCAGAACAAATTGAGCTCAGGCTTATCAGTTCCTTTCCCTTTTCAGTTGGAAAATGGAGGGAATGGGAGAACAAGGCCATTTTTGACCAATGACAATACAGCGTAGAAATAGATTGGATACAGCCAGTGCCCACTTGTGCTACAGACAACAGTTATGGGATATATTGTGTACAGGAATGATAAGATGTGACCCTACAGTCACCAAGCTCACCGAGCCTTGTTTTCCCCACATGCCCTGAGCATTCCTGTAATTACGAGCTGCATATGCAGCAGTTGGCAGGGGAATTAGTGGAAGTTAAACACATACAGCCTGCAGAGGTGAACAAACATTGATGTGACTGCTTGGTGCTTGTATTCTTTTTGCATCTGGTAGAGACCAGCAGAGGCAACACTCAAATTGTTTCCAGCAGGGAGCAATGAGAAAAATGGTCTTTGGTGAGAAGGCTGAATACAGGGGAAAATACTCATTTAAAAATAGCTTACATTTTTTTCCTATACAAATTTTTATCAGAATCTCTATGAATCATTGACGTATTTCATATGTGATATCTGCAGTGTATCTAGCTCTCTGTTTGGTGTCTATGTACGTATGTGTGTCTGCATGTTTTTATTTATTTATTAATCCCACTTGTATGTAGGTAGGTACAAACTATAATGTCCATTTGTAAATGTAAGTGAAAACAGATGTACTAGCAGAGGTGATTTTTTCTTATATATATATTCAGACTCCCAAGGGTGATTCAAAACCTAGAAAATACCACAAGCTCGTGTCCAGAAATCCTTCCACCTTAATAGAAGACGATTTTGGGCTTGAGGGTTACGTGCAAAACCAAGGCTGTGTGCTGTGTTGTCACTACAGGACGGTTGGGAGGCAGGGCCCTCAACAAACTGGGCAGCCAGCCTAGTGTTTCAGAACCGTGAAAGCAGTCAGACCACCTGTCCATGTGACAGCCGAGACTATATATTTTTAATAATGTTATTTAAATAAACATTTGGGGGGGTGTGTGTGTGTGTGTGTGTGTGTGTGTGTGTGTGTGTGAGTGAGTGAATTCTCATTCACAGGGGTTAAGCTTTGTTCAGCTGCTTCCAGAGCAACTGGAGGTAGACAAGACAAGGCGCTACGGCCAACTGAGTGGCTTTCCATCTGCCCTCTGCTTTGCTTGGAAATAACCAGCCAGACCAACGGTTTTGCTTTGTTCGGCTTTTTTCTGATCTGAAGCAGAGGCTGACATGAAACAAACATGGCATTTCCTTTTGAAAATTGGATTCTGAAATTGGCTTCATCTTTCTAGAAGCACCGTGCTTTAGCAGTTCCTTCCCAGTTTTGTGAATGTCATATAAACAGTTTGCATATAAAGTTCCAAATTTGGAGGAAATTACCACATTAGGTTTTTGCGATTTTTTGGGGGGAGGTGTTTGGTTTTTGGTGGTCATGAAGGGATATGTTGTAGTGGGATGAATGGGAGTGGTTTCCCCTGAACAGAAAGGGATGAAGAAAATAGGGGAACAAATTAATAGTAGAGAACACGTTTGCCAGTCTTTTATTAGCGGTGTTAAAGGAGACACAGCAAATGTGAAGTCATGCAAATGTGGCTTCTTGAAGAACTTCATTAGCATCACCCACAAGCTGTAGTTTACAATAAATGGCCACGGGGACCCCCGTAGGTCATGGCCCATGGCCAGCTCACTGCAATGGAAATGACACTTACAGTAAGGCGAGTCCCCTGGACATGATCTATGAAGTATGGATGACAGTACGTTATCTAAGCCAGTTGCACTGTAGTGATTTGAAATTGGGAGACTTGTAATGGAGCAAGCAAGGAGAAAAGAATACTAGAGGAATGCAGTCTCTTAAAGATCTCCTAGCAGAGAGAGACTGCATATGCTTATGCTTGAAAGGAGAGGTAAGAAAAAGAACATTCTTAGAAGAGAGTTAATAATCTTCTTTAATACTGACCCGTCCCCCTCCCCAAACACACGCACACGCCCACACACCCTGCACATAGAAATGAAAAGAGATTTCCCTTGCTCATAACATCCTTAGCATACCTTGATATCTTGAATCTTTAGGAGATGTAAGGAAAAAGAGCTATTTTAGGGTGAAATAAGGATTTGAGAATGCTGGCTACCAAGACTGTCATTTCGTTCTCCATGCATGCAATGTAAAGGGGAGCTATGCAATTTTAACTTGATTTTACTTTGAACTTGTGATGGAATCATGGCTGCTCTCACAGACACAGTTGAGACATATGGACTTACTAATGAGAGCACTCCCCAAGAAGGGCCCTGTGCTATCTACAGAATCAAAACTCCACTGGAGGCAGTCAGACATGCTGTGCAGCTGGATTGCCTGGGTTCCAATCTCAGCTCCACCCTTTACAGGCTGTGTGAACTTAACTTCTTTGTGCGTCTCTTTCCACATCTGCAAAATGGAGCTGACAGTAGCAGCAGCTGGTCATAATCTACTACCTAAGTCAGTGTATGTGAAGCACTGGGAACGGGGCCTGGGCACACTGTCGGTGCTCCATAAATACTAGCTATTCGTATTAGTGAGAGAAACACTATGGGCTATGGCATCAGGTTTAGATTCCACTTCTCTGTGTTTTTTTTTTTTCTGTGGCAAATTATTTAATCTTTCTGAGCTCAGAGAGTTATTCCAATGTGCAGAGTTGCAGGCTTGCTCTAAGGAGTAAGTCATCTTCTACATGCACCATGCAGAGCATTGTGTGTGGAGCATCATAGATGATGAATAGAAGTTTAATTCTTTCCCAAAGTAGAAAAGATGACACTCCTATGTGCAAACTGTAATGCTAGCCTTGTCTTGTAATTGTTTGGACCTTCTCTGAGTTTTTTTGAATGAAACTTGGGATTTCACATCAGTTATTGGTCAGCAGTGGTGATTTCCCCGAAGCTATTGAAATCACAAACCCTGTACTTGGTGGATAGTAGGAAATGGAAGCTTTTAGAATGGGATGTAAAATTCTACTTGGCTTGTCAAAAGGACACTCTATTCCTGACATATTTTTTGGGGAAAAACAGACTGAAACACCACAAATGAGCTCCTTCATTGTGCCTATGTGCAAATTGTCAGATTCTCAAGAAGAGAGGAAGGAAAGTTATGCCATAAAAGTCTCTCAAATATAGAAAGAATATGAAATATATTTTCCAATAAAATACTTTGCACATAATTCTAATGATAGAATCTGACTGGGGATATCTTAGCAATATGTCTCCTCGATGGCAGACTCGCCATTGTCTATGTAGCCTCTTATTAGAAACTATTGTAGGGGCTGGCCTGGTGGCGCAGCAGTTAAGTGCACACGTTCGGCTTTGGTGGCCCAGGGTTCACCAGTTCGGATCCTGCGTGCAGACATGGGACTGCGTGGCAAGCCATGCTGTGGTAGGCATCCCACATATAAAGTAGGGGAAGATGGGCACGGATGTTAGCTCAGGGCCAGCCTTCCTCAGCAAAAAGAGGAAGATTGGCAGCAGTTAGCTCAGAAAGAAAGAAACTATTGTAAACACCTGTTGGGGTGCCAGTGCAGCAGATGTCTAATAACAAGGCCCCCTCCCCCAAAGGATGGGCCCCTGCAGCCATGTTTATAACAAAGGACTTTGTCCCTCTCCCAGGCCAAAGCTGTTTGGAACAGAGTGGACATTTGAGTCAAGGTGGGCCAGGCAGGTTCTGTTTCCTGGGAATGTGGACTTGGGATGTGCAAAGATGGCTGGCGTGCTGTGTCCTGCAGAGGCAGTGCAGAGGAAGTTGGGCAAAGAAGAGAGAGAGCCAGGGAGGGCAGGGGAAGAGAGATGGCTCTTCCTCCCAGCTCCTGGGCCTCGGCAGGCTGAGCTGAGCCTCCTGCCTTTCGATTCTGTGCCATACCTTTGTAACCACGCACTGATTTCCCCCTTTTCTTTAAAATCAGCTTGAGGGAATTTTGGTTCCTTCAGACTAAAATTTTACTAGCAGGAGTTCTATCTATCTCATGGAAAACTGACCTCAAGTTGTGGATCCAGGGAAAACAGTTTTGAGATCTTGATAGAGTTAATCCTCTCCCCCAACCCCTAGATTGTTTTGAGCACCTTTATTAATAAGGTGAACTGCAGAAGATAAAGTCATAACAAGATGGCCTTGGAAGAAATGGTGGTGATATCATGAGCTGCACATTCTGTAACTTTCCATTACTGGAACTTCATGTCATAGAAGGATTTATGAATACTGATTTTTAAGAAAATGCACTGTGATACAGCATTTAAGTGAAATAGTAAGTTTCTATTGTAAATGTTAGAAAATAAGTTTGAACATTGGTGAGATAACTAAGGTAGAATTCTTTTTCTTTTTTGTATAAGGGTAGGTAGAGAATCACTCTGAGAATTATTTACCTATTGTAAATCTTAGATTTGTATTTATTTCAGAAAGTAATGGATTGCTCTTCAAACAATGAAAAGAATTGTTTGCTGCTTTTAAGGAATATGCCTTTATTTATATTTATATTGTTTAGGTGACAAGTACAGCGGCTTCTCGGGGCAGATCCCCGTGTATCTGGGTGGGTTACTGGAGTTCTCTGTGGAATTAGAATGAGGATAATTTTTGTTGACTTTACACTTACAAATATCCCCTTCCATCTGTTTTCTGGATGCTTCGATCCTTCTTGTTTCATTTCAATGTTAATTTTCAAAATGGGATATTAAAATTCACCTGGTATGATAAAATTCCAGGCCATCATTTTCTGAAAGTTAAGAATCATTTTATTTCCAAAATATTAAAGTTGAAAAATGTTTTGGAGATCAAATGTTGATTCAGTTTTGCAAGCCTGGTAGCTCTAACCAAATCCAGGATTCTTATTGCCATTTCTGTTTTATTTTCTTCATTGCGATGGGAAATATGTATTACTAGCAAAAGGTCCACACAGTTAGAAGATGAGAATGGTCCCGTTCTTTGTAAGAAATGGTGGTTGTAACTGTCAAATGCAAAGTTATACTTGAGAGAGGCCAGGAGTCCACAGGGTGACTAGACTTAATAGATTTGGTGGTGGTGTTTGCTTATTAGTGGCCATAGGAGTACACATGTGGAAAGTAACAAGTGCCAGTGCCATTGTTGATAGTGACCCTATTTTCAGTTTCAATTTTAAAAAATATCAGGGGATGTTCTTGGGCAAACAGGCCAACTAATTTATTTCCAGTGAGCTCTGTGATGATCATGTTTAAAATATTCCCTAGGATTTATGTGGGAGTTGAAGTTGTTTGCTATTACCAGGCTTATTTTGAAATGATTGATTCCATTTGTAGATATTGTCATTTCCTGAAGTTAGTTATGAATCAAGATTATTGTTATACAGTGATAGATACTGTTGAGGATTTTCTAAATATGTTCAATGACTCCATAGCGTTTTTACAAGAATAATTCATATCCAGACCATGATGGAGGGTCCCAGCTAGTCTCCCTACAACCTCAACTGCCACTTCAGCTCTGTGTTTGGTTCATTAACGTCTGCTTTCAAGTTTGAGAGGTCTGGCAATTTTCACTCTGATGCTAATGTTTCCTCCTAGTCCCGGATCCTGATAAATGGGTGTGGTTGCTTTCAGCTCCCTTGTGGCATCACGCACAGCCCACATTCACTTCTAGGCAGTGTTTTGATCAGGGGTTCTGTAGTGAGATAGTTTTGACAAGAAACTGTCAGCTCCCGTTGCATGCTGTGTCCTAGCTGGTGTTTCCAGGCTGGTAGGGTTGAACAGTGTATGAATCAAAGCATCAGAAAACAGATGGAAGGGGATCTTCCTGGAGATTGCCTGGTCTTTGCTAGCAGTGCAGTGAGGGCAAAAGGAGGCATTGTTGTTTGGAGCGTAGAGGGCAGCAGGTGGGTGGCAAGTACTAGGGTTGAGGGCCGCAACTGGGCTAGGACAGGAAGAACAATGAGGAAAGTGACATTTCACACTGCAGGAGGAGTTAAACTTTTTTTTTTTACCTTGTTAAACCACTAAACTTCTTCCCTCAGATGTTCCTTTTCATTTTTCTTTTTTTAAATTAGGAACAGATTACCAAGCCGCATAAGCAGAAAACTCTGAGCTTACATAAAGCATATAATGGTGTTATCAATAAAATTTAAAAACCAAAATTACCATAGTGGTACATATTTAATTACATGCACACTCCTTAATGTGCTATATGGTAATAATGGCAAGTGAATTGCGAACATTGTAGGTGGTGTTACTTTTAATAGGGAAGGGAACTAGTATTTATCGACTCCCCAATATCTGCTGGGCTCCATGCTGGGCGCTTTACATGTCTTATCTCATTTAATGTGCAGCTAAACAAGGATTTCCAGGGGCTGTTGTCGGGGGAGGAAGGAAAAGTTACACTCCCAGCCACTTCGGAAGACCCAGGATTCTCTTTTCTTTGGCAGGGGCTCTCATCTTCCTAATGGTCCAGGGACTTTTACCCTCTCCCTAGTTTGGACTTTCTGGGCCCTGGGCCCTGGGCCCTGGATCTTAGCCACGGTTGGACACAATGAGAACATAGCTCCTGCTCTGGATATCGGATCTAATCTTACCTTCAAGTTTCACTAAGGGCTGGGAGCTGACCAGACAGCCTGTGCTCCAGCCTCCAGATTGGAATTCTATTTTACTACAAGGAAGCAGAACCCAAGGCAACTCCTCCTTTGAGTTTGAGGGAATGTGAGTAGAACCCTCTGCAGCCTCCTGCTCTGCTGTCTCCTCCTCCCCATGAACAGCCTCACAAAGGGAAAGGAAGAGAGCCTAGTGGTATGCTTTACAAGGAGGAGGCCCTCCACCCCACCCCTCTCAAACCCTTTGAAACATGTTTATTGACAGTGCCTGATATTGCAGTATTTAGAGTATGGCTTTTTTTAATCTTTTGGGATTAGGGAATTCTTTGAAAGTCTGATAACAGTCTTGACTCCACTCCTCAGAAAAATGTACCAATATTTACACTTCAAGTGAAGACAACTTGATTTAGGATTCACACACTGCCAAGGAAAACCTCTGGGAGGATGAGGAGGGTGGGTAAGGAGAGTCTTATCAGCCATTTATTATTTAGTGGGATTGTTTTATTCACTTGTTTACTTGAGATGTGCTTAAGGCAACAGGACCTGATGAGAGAAGGTGGGTGGTAGTGGTAAGAGATCATTTTGAAGTATGAGATCTTGTCGGGGAAGGAGGCCCAAGTTGGGAAGGTAGTGGGGCTTAGAGTGAAGGCCATGGAGGGCAGCCAGTCAGGGTGTACAGCCTTGCTACACAAAGTGTGGCCCATGGTCAGCAGCCTGGTCATCTTCCAGGGGCTTGTTGGAAATGCAGGATCGCGGACCTCGCCCAAGACATACTGAGTCAGAGTATGTATTTTAACAAGATCCCACATTCAAGTTTGAGAAGCATGGATGTGTATTGAGGACACTAGGAAAGGAGTGGGGAGCCAGGGGTGAAGTTAAAGGAAGCTAGCAACCAGAAGAATGGTGCTGAGAGACGCCCATGAAGGTGACCCTGATGGCCTACAAGGGATAGAAAGAAGCTCAGACAGGAGGAGGGGGAAGAGACAATGGAAGGGGCCCTTGAAGTGGTACTCCAAGGGGAAGGTGGGAAAATTGTAAGTCTGGGAAGGAAGTGATGTATTTAAATACAGGCACAGAATTGTAACAACAAAAAGAAGTTGTTTACTACAATATGTTAAATCATGAATGGCACCTACGTAAGTGTGAATTATGTTTTCTAAACATTCAATTGGTATCAAAGAATTGTCATGCTAAATTATTTATTTATGGAGTAAATGACTTTAGGCAGGCTTCTATCTCTTTCCCTTGATGAACTTTTGAACTTATCATAAGTTTGTTTTCTAAAACCCTATGCCATGTAGGCAGTTGAATTACTTGAAAATCTCAAGATATGAAGTCATTCGCTCCTATTATTGGTGCAGCCATCACCGACATGCCCTAGATGCCCTTTTCTCTTTTCTAAGAGAATTTTTATCAAATGCTCTTTGGACGTATTACATTAGCAATTATTGCTTGATTTCTAACTGTTCTTGTGTTTTCTGAAGGCAAGTGAAAATAAATTATAATTTTTGAGCAGATAGAATAATACTATCATTTTGGTAAGATTGTGGGTTATATTCCATCACTGAGGAAATACTAGCCATGTATTATGGATTGAGTTGTGTCCCCTCCAAAAGATATGCTGAAGTCCTAACCCCTGGTACCTGTGAATGTGGCTTTATTTGGAAATAGGGCTTTGCAGATATAATCAAATTAAGATCAGGCCATTAGGGTGGGCCCTTAATCCAATGTCACTGATGTCTTTCTAAGAAGAGGAGAAGACAGACACAGAGGGAAAGTGGTCCTGAAAAGATGGAGGTTGGTGTGATGCTGCTGCAGAGCCAGGGAACTCCTGGGGCTACTGGAAGCTGCATGAGGCGAGGGAGGCTCCTCCTCTAACGGCTTGGAGGGAGCACAGCCCTGCCCACACCTTGATTTTGGACTTCTAGCTCCCAGAACCGTGAGACAAGAAATTTTTGTTGTTTTAGGCCAACCAGTTCATGGTACTTTGTTATGGCCGCCTAGGAAACTACACTACCATGCTTAACTATTCTGTAGTTAGTAATTGTTTTGATCCAATTTTGAATGAGTTCATTAGTTTTGTATACTTCTGTTTGAGATGGAATAGTCATTATAGTTATTAAAGAAACTAAAACATTTTCCCAATTAATACTAAATTAAAATCCCCTACTTGTATAATTTTTATTTCGTCTGTATAGGCTGTGGGTCAAATTTACTTTTCATGAAATGCCAGAATTGCTTTTTCTTTTAAAATTAAAAAACTCATTTGTAGTATCTTAGTGAAAAAAATAAATAACAATGTCATACAATTCATTAGTACTTACTACATGAGATGTTCTGAATAAGATTCTGATTAAAAAATATTGAAAGATATATTTACTTGTAAATCAATAAATTATTTGAAAATAAATGAAAAAAGTGTATTTAAATGTTATCTGATGTTAGCAGCTACAGGTGTCTAGGATATCTGTATCTTGCAAAAAATGGCAAAAACATGAGGAAAACACAAATGGCTAAGGAAAAAGGAAACTCTGCAAAACAGCTTATGCAATAAATACACCATATGGTCAAGGGATGTCAAAAATCTCAAATTTATTTTGCGACCAGAGTCAGTCTGATCCTGCAAATTACCTTCATTCAGGCAAGGATGGCGGAGCTGCCAGTCACGCCCATGGATGTCTGTCTTGAGTGTGAGGTCCAGGACTGTGTTAAACTGCAACGAGGGCAGCCGATTCTGAGACACCATGAGCTGGGTAAGCACAGCCTTGGCCGTGGGGATTGCTGTTTATGTTATGACCTCCTTGTACTGCATGAGGTTTCTGTGATTGGCTCCTCCACTTAAATGAGGTGTGTTTCCGTCCTACTACACCTCCCACTTTTTGTTATTTCCCTAAGTGAAATTTAGCGTGAAGTCTGTTGTTTTGAACCCAATGCCAGGAAGACTAGTTACAAAGGTACCCAGAGGAGACTATTCCAAGATGGCTCTGAGATGTGAATATCATTGCAGAGTTATATCAAGGTCACTTGTATTTATTTTTTCCTAAACAGTTTCTTGACTTTAAAATGCCTTTGGAATTTCCAGCTCAAAATTCTAATCCCTTTCAGTGAGCTCAGTCTCTATGCAAAACTTGCTTCCCGCCTGCCAAATTGAAAGCATCTGGATAGAATACTGAATGTAGGTCATTTTTTTTTCGTGTGTCCTTCTCTAGAAGAAAGGAAATCAAATCCAATAACATCACACAGAGAGAGGGTAAAACAGTTCCAACAAGAGCTTTTTGTTTCAACGGTTGTTTGGAATTAAGTCTGTGACACTTCCCTCTTCCCTATCTCTACCTCTCAGGCCACCAGATCTCAATGGTTGATTTGAATGTTTAAAGTGATGCAGCTTTTTACTTTCCATTATCTCTATAGCACCATTCTCTGCTAAGGAGAATGACTAGAGATTTCTAGTTAATTCTTCAGGTTAATCAGGATGCACTTCCCTGTCTTCCCAGTTGAGGCTCTGAATGAGATCTAGACAGAGCTCCTCAGACTTGGAAGTGCACAGGAACCTTCTGAGGGCCTTGTTAACACGCAGATTTTTATTAGGTCGGTCTGGGGTGGGATCTGAGCTCTTGCATTTCTAAAAAGCTCTCAGGTAGTGTAAACAGCTGCTGGTTTGTGGACCGCATTTGAGTAGCGAGGAGTTAGCGAGGAGTGGCCCACTTTCTTGGCTCAGTCTCTCTCCCAACACCTGGCTATTTCTGGGCTTGGTATGTTGAGAGCATTAGGACTTAGTGTTGAGTAATATCTCCTGCACATGGGTGTAATTCCACCATTTCCCCTTTCTCCTTCATTCCAGTTCTCTTCCCACCAAGTGCACTAACTGAGGGTTCAAAAATCAGTGCACACAGAAACTTGCCATTACAGAGAAAACACTTTTACCTGAGTAGAGAGAAGGAAAACAAGGAAAGATGTGTATTTACACTGAACCTATATTCCATCATCAAAGAATTCAGAATATAATTTCACCAGAGGTAATAGAGTTTCATTAGTATTTACTTAGCACTAAGGTAAGTAATAGAATGATAGCAGATTGAGGCATATTTAATTTTCAGCTTTCAAAGTGCTCTAAATAAAAGAGATTATAATAATATAACAGAAGCTATTATATCCACAGCAGCACTTAAGACTGATAGACATAATGTTCCACTTAGGAGCTATCGTGGTACAATTAACTAGGTGGTATTAAAAAGAAGTTTCTTAAAACACTTAAAGTTGTAAAGCTATTCAGGAATAGATCTGTGCTTCTCAAGTAAATACAAACAAGGACTAGAGTCATTTTAGTGGATAATAAAAGAAATCAACAAGCCCAATTCTAGCTCTCCATGGATGAGATTTAAAGCAACAAATCTATGCTACTTTATGCAATTAACATAAAATAAACTTAAATTTGGAAGATTTACTCTGCCATCACCTTCCCACACAACAAACACAAATCCCAGGGTAATTTGCCTTCATTAATTCACATACCGTTGCAGGGCTGACTTCTGCTCTCAGATGCTTATGCACAATCTACCTTGGAGTTAAGTTACTGCATATGGGCCCTTTAACTTCTGTTCAGATCCCGGAAGAATCACAGGTTACAGACATTATGAGCCTTTCAGCCTGTCTTCAACCCTGAGGGAGGCTCTATTGATGTATGCAGAATCAAAGAGGTTTGTAGAGAACAATTCCTTGCTTCTCGTCTGGCAGAGCTCAGACGCAGCTGCTTTGCTCTGAAAGGGAGGGGGCTGTGGTGGGCCTCATGGGAGAAGAGATGCTTTCCAAGATGTCTCTTTGACAGGCTACTTTCCTGACCCCGTCATCCCCAAATATTGCAGGAATGGACCTAATAAATTATGATCGAGGGCCAAATAAATCATTAACAACTTAAGGTGTTTTGAAATTCTTTTTGTGTATTTAGAATATTTCACTATTCTCCTTAACTAAGGAAAACCCTATTCTGAGATAGAGTAAATAGTAGGTAATATATTGGTTTAATAATATAATCACTTACAGTGAACTAAAAGAAGGTGGAGGGGCGAAAGGAGGAGATTATAAAGAATGAGAAGGCAACCGGAGGAGATGGTCTCACACCAACAACAAGGCAGACAGAAGAGAAACACAGACATGGAGAGAAGATGCAGCGAGGCAGAGGAAATATAATAACGTGGAAAGACATACGGTCATGTTTGTTTAAACATCTGTGTTGTGCTCTATCTGTGTTTTCTTTAGAAGTGTTCGAAGGAAGTCTAGTTCTTTTGCTCATAGAGTCAACTAAGAACTCAGGTTGTTCATTGGAGAATCTGCATTTTAAATTAGATACAAAATACACAAGAGGGGCAGCATCAATGTGAGGTCAACCAGGAAATGGCAGTGGATTGCCACCGCCATAGAGTCTCTGGGCCTAATGAATGGAAAAGGGCGAGGGGGCAAAGAGGCTGGGGAATCCTCGGTTTCCTCTGTTGGTTTGACTCTAGAAAGCACTCAATTCCCACCCAAAGAGCTAAGGTTTTGCCAAATGGTTCTATATTCTATATTTTTTATAATAGCCCTAAAGAAGAAAAAAACCCCAGAACATGTTCCCCTCCCGTCATATCTGATCCTTCCAACAAGTCTGTGAAGTAGGTGGGACAGGTATTAATACTGATGTCATCTAGTCAAGTGGGAGATGAGGAAACAGACTAGGGATTGAATTGCTTGGGGAAAATTACCTAGCTAGAAAGGATAGTAGTAGTAATATTCATAGTGGCTGAACATGGGGTGGCTCTGCCACTATGATATTTTGGGCAAGTAATTTAACCTTTCTGTGCCTCAATTTCCTCATTTGTACAGTGGGGAGACTAATAAGAGTACCTGATTTTTAAGGTGGTTGTCAGCATTACATGAGATAGTACAACAAGCACGTAGAACAGTATCTGGCAAAACTCTTAAGTACTAAATGCTAGCTATTATTATTCTAATTATTAATGAACACTAAACCATTCAGAACAAGTGTTCTGGATTCATAGCCACAGCTCATTTGAATAAAATATACTTAGGCAACCAGTGAAGCCTCATAATCAGAGGTCACCACCTCTTTTCAGATTCTGGGAATGCTTCAAAGATAAGACTGATGCTCAACAGTAGAAGAAAGAGTTTCAGGCAGAGCAAGGTTCTGTTTAGGAGAATTTCTGATTGTAAGAAGTTCTATCGGAAATGGCTTCATTAATCAAGGGGTCTTCTTTGTTTAACGATAAACTATTTCCATTGAAAAAGTCCCCTATCCGAACCTAGGTTCTTGTGGTTAAAACTGTCGTGCTCTCAAGATGTCTCTTCTCAAACTTTGTTTTTTGATTTTTAAATAGTTACGTAATTAATGTATACGTAATCATATATTCTGTTTAACCATGAATAGTTTTTATTTTTTAAACATAAAAGCAGCTCTATTAAAGTAGATTAGAAGTCTTTTAAGCATTGGAAGAGATTTGGTTTGCAGATCTTATACCAAACATGAGAAGTGCATCATCTAGGGTTGTTACTCCTGAACAACAAGTAAAAGACAATTATAGGTCAGAGAAAACCTCAGAGAGGTATCTACCAAACCCTGTGGAGACCACAGAATACCCAGGCCAGGTCTTACTCTGCATATGATAACCTGAAAGAAGGAATAAAAAAATTTGAGCTTGTTACCATCAAATGTACGAACATTTATTATCGAGCAGCCACTTGGATTCCACACCTACCTAGGAGCAAATAAGAGGACTGGGGCCATTCAAACTATAGGATGGAGGACTGAGGTTAGCAACTTAGTGTGGAATGGGGCCACTCCAAGCTGTAAGCTTACTAAATGATAGGACCATAAGAGTGCATTTTTTAGAACTCTGTGGGGTAAGTTCTATCGTGAAGAGGGGTCCCGAATTTAAACTTACATGCCTTTGTTTACTTTTTTCAGTAATTTATTAAAAACTCTGTCTAAAAGGGATGCTCATCATGGAGATGATGTTAACTGTACCATTTTGTATAAAAAATATTAATTTGAGGTAAAATTAAAGGGTCATCTTTTTGATGTCATTTAGGACAGAATTATATGGTTATTGTTTTTTATGGTAAATTATGGGTTTTTTGCTTGCTTGCCTAATTCAAGTTCTCATAACATCTTCACATTCCCATTTGGTAAATAATTGTATACTTGTAGAACTCTTAGAAGACAAATATGTGGCCAAAAGAATATTATTAAGAAAATACTATGACCTTTCAGTGGTTTTATAATTAGCCATATTGAAGAAACCCAAAACATGGAATAAATTATTCAAAAGCTGTCTCATCTTAAGATTATGTAAGAATGCATATTCACATTTAAAAAGAACAGTTGAACTCTTTTCCAGAAAATAATTTCATTAATAGCTTCAGAACCTTTATCTTGCAAACTGTCCCATTAAATCTTTTACCCATAAATCATACTTTTTAATTAACTGAACTACAGACTTTATTTAGATTTCCTCAATTTTTTCCACTAATGTCCGTTTTATATTCCAGGAATCAATCCAGGATCCCACATTGCATTTAATTGTCATGTCTGTTTTAATCTCCTCCAATCTGTGACAGTGTTCTGAGCTACCCTTGTCCTTCATGATATTGATACCTTTGAAGAGTACTGGTTAGGTATTTTGTAGCAGGCCCATCAATTTGGGTTTGTGTGATGGTTTCTCAAATCATACCTTTTAGTGAAATTTTCTTACTTTTCAGTGGAAATAATAGAATTTATGAGCTGGAAGCAACCTTAGAAATCATTTTATTGACTAGTCCAAATTCCTGATTTTATTGGCATGGAAAGAAAGGCCTCTGTGGTTTAAATGGCTTCCTCCAGATCAGTTGATTAGTGAGTGACTGGGCTAGGACTAGTACTTGGTTCTCTTGTCACACACCTGATGCTTTTTCAAGGCACCATGCAAATGATGCCTCTGTCTTTGGCTAGCCAACACCTTAGCACAGTGGGGGCCAACAGACTCTGGTGATGCTGTTTATGCTCCTGAGGCATCATTCACAGAGAATGCCATGTGAACAGTACTCCCTGGGCTTATGCAGCTCTGATGTGTCTACTTGGACTATTTATAAAATAATTTGAGGTAGCTTATAATAAAAGAACAGATAGAGTAAAACAAAAACATGAGATCCTACAATATTGATTACTTGGATATAATATGATTGGCAGATGGTCCCAGTGCTCTACCCAGATCTTGTTTTTAGAAGGGAGTGGCTGAAGGGCAGACATTTTTTGTCTTTTAAGGGAGTGAAGTAGGAAGTGACTCCTCCTGTTACTTGGAATGTTCTCATTTCCGTGTACAGTGCATGTTTTCTTTGAAATAATCAATCTCTTTCCCACATGTCTAATAAATCAAAACACGTTTTTCTCCCTCCCAGTCCATTATACACACAGGTACTGGAAGGCTGACCAAAAAATAGTGTTGTGCATTAATCTTGCACTTCACAACTCTGCATTTCACGTAACAGAACTTCTTGGATTTCCACTTAAAATGTTAAAGTGGAGTTTTATCATAGTTACCAAAATAAAAGACATAAGCCAACAGAGTGGGAGAAATGATCTTGCAAACCACATATCTGACAAAGAACTAGTATCTAGAATACATAAAGAACTCTCAAAACAAAACAGTAAAAAAACCAATTAACTTAGAACATGGGTGAAAGAAATGAAGAGACATTTCACCAAAGAAGTGATACAGATGGTAAATAAGCACATGAAAAGATATTCAGCATCATTAGCTATTAGAGAAATGTGAACTAAAACCATAATGCAATATTACTATGTGCCAATCATAATGGCCAAAATAAAAAATCGTGGCAACATCAAATGCTGGTGAGGATGAGGATAGACTGGATTACTCATGCATTGCTAGTGGGAATGTAAAATGGAACAACCACACTGGTAAAGAGTTTGGCAGTTTCTTTAAACAACTAAACATGCAGTTACCATACTCTCAAACAATTGCACTCCTGGGTATCTTCCCCAGAGAAATGAAGACTTACATTCACACAAAAACCTGTACATGAATGTTTATAGCAGCTTTACTCATAATAGATCCTAAATGGAAACAACCCAGATGTCCTTCAATGGATGAATGGTTAAGCTGTGGTACATCTATACCACAGAATACTACTCAGAAATGAAGAGAACCATTGATAGATGCAGCAACCTGGATGAATCTCCAGAGAATTACATTGAGTGAAAAAAGCTGATCCAAAGAGGTTACACACTGTATGAATCTATTAATAGATCATTCTTGAAATGCCAAAATTATAGACGTAGAGATCCAATTAGTGGTTGTCAAGGGTTAAGGAATGGGTAGAGGCAGGAAGGAAGTAGACGTGGTTGTAAAATAGCAACATGAAAGACCCTTGTGGTGATGGAAACGTTCTCTACTGTGACTGTATCATTGTCACTGTCCTGCTTGTGATCTTGTACTAGAGTTACCAAGAAGTTACCATGTGGGGAACTGGGTAAAAGGTACACAGATTCTCTCGGAATTATTTCTTATAACCTCACGTGAACCTACAATTATCTCAAAATAAAAAGTTTAATTAAAAAAAGGGGTTATGCCAGACATTAAAGAAAGAAAAGGGGTCTACTTTTTACTGAAAATACTTCTGTTTGAATTTTTTTTAATCAGCTGATATTCATGCATTATTAGTCCAATAAAAATTACCAAAAGAGAGGGACTGGCCTGGTGGTGTAATGGTTAGGTTTGTGTGCTACACTTCAGTGGCCTGGGGTTTGTGGGTTTAGATCCTAGGCACGGACCTACATACTGCCTATCAAGCCATGTTGTGGTCGCATCCCGCATACAAGATAGAGGAAGACTGGCACAGACGTTAGCTCAGGGACAGTCTTCCTCAAGCAAAAAGAGGAAGATTGGCAACAGATATTAGCTCAGGGCCAATCTTCCTCACCAAAGGAATGAAAGGAAAAAAAATTATCAAAAGAGAGAGGAAAGAAGAACATAAAATAGTGTGTGCATCTTAACTAAGGAACTGTTAAGACACAAAATTTGCTCTGTACTTCGTTTCAGTCACAGCCAAGAGGGAAAAGTGAATCAGCTACATAGCTGTAGAAGCAAAAATACAAGTAATTCAAGGACCGTGCATATTGGGAGCTAATATTATTTTCATACTCTACAGTATAAAAATGGTAAAGTATTAGAGATGCTATATTTATACCTGTTTGTATAGGACTGTTCCTGGTATAGACAAATACACACACGCTTTTATTGATATTATGAACTTTGGTTGGCATTCTAGAACTCACCTTCTAATGTAACAATCCAAACTTTTTCTTTCTATAAGGAAATTTAAAAAAGATAACCAAAACCAGTTTCCAGGTGGAAAAAAATTGAGAATTACTGGAAGGATGGTAACAAATGAACAATGATCCAACCATCATTCTTGTTGGAATTGGTTTACAACTATTCTTTTTAACTTGATTTTTGGTGGAAGAGTTTTGGAATAATTCTAACTGGTGGTAAAAAAAACCTGTGATAAATAATAATTAAAAAATACAATATAAAAAATCTCACAAAGTACATACAAACAAAAATATAAAATATGTAGAGTTATGAAGACTAGAAATGGATAGGGCATATATAAAGAAAATTATAAGATTCTAACGATGACTGTGAAATAAGAGGTGAATGAAAGGAAGAGACATCACTGCAATATTATTGGAAGGGAGGTTGAAAGAGATTTTAAGTTCATCTGGAATAACTAGGATAGGGTGGTTGGGGCGGGGGAAATAGTGAGTGGTATTTGCCCTTCCAGATATTAAATGCATTTTAAAGCTATAATTATTGAATCATTGTAGTACTAAGACCATAACACAGAAAGATCGATGAAACAGAAGACAAATTTCAGAAATAGCTAACTACACATAGGAACTTAGATAGAATATAGTACATGTGGTATTTCAGTTTTTATAAAGGGAAAGCTTCTCAAAATGTGGCCTCTAAACAGTGATGTGCCATTAAATGTTTAACAACCAGCTCTCTGAAAAAAATGTCTGCAAATATATATACATATGTGTGTATAAATTTATTACAAATTTCACTAATATAAAGGATGCATAGCACACAATTTACAAATAAAAAATGCACAATGCTTTTTATTGTAAATAAATGTAATTCCGTAAATTGTGTGCTATGCATCCTTTATATTAGTGATGCATAGCACACAATTTACAAATAAAAAATGCACAATGCTTTTTATTGTAAATAAATGTAATTCCGTATAGTCAATTGATTTTCTCAGCATGCTTTCCTTGATTTTTTCCTAACTTTGTAGTCAGTATTCAGCCATGATTTGACAAATGGAGTTGCATCTCGTCTGCTCTTTTCCCAACAAATTGATAGTCAGTAAATCTGATATGTGGCTTATTGTTAAACTTCTTCTCACCCTCGTGTAAATTATTGATTAAACTAAAAACCCTTCCAGTTTCAGCAGTAAATCAAGCGCTGATTTATAGTGCTTGCTGATTTCTATGGTGTAAATACTCCCACCACGACCAATTTTAAGCTACCAAAGTAAAGTCACTGATGGAGGAGTTGGGAAGAGATGTGGTGTAGCCACTATATACTATTTCCACTATCCAGATATGATGGTCATAGTTGACTTCAAGAGCATGGATAATTGTAAAGTTTAGTAAAATAATTAGGAAGTAGGGCACTTTGTGCATTTATTACCTTTGTTTTAACTATAAATTATTTAATTGTAAGTTTACATGATTTTTTAATAATGGCTACATTTTACAACTGGTTCTCAAAATTCCAGAAAATCTGGCAATTGGCTTTCATTAAGCTGTTGGGCTCTTACTTCTACACATCACTGTCCCTGGGACAGAACCACAAAGTAAAATATTTGAAACTTCCTGAATGTTTAAAGCATAGACAGAGTTAAAAAAAATAAGATATAAATAACAGAAAATGGATTAATTGCCTTTCTGGAAGGCAATTTAGCAATACATATCAAAATGTAAGATTCACCAATTCTTTGACCAAACCATTTCACTTTTCATTCATCCATCAATTCAGTAAATTTATTGAGAACCTATTATGTGCCAGGAACTTTTAAGAATTAATTTTATAGGCATATAAAGATGTATAAGGTAGGAGATTTGCCACAATGGTTTCTTAACAAAACATTGTTAAGAAAAAACATAAATGTTTGTCAACAAGGGATTGGTTAAGTAAATGATGGTTCATTGAGATAAAGGAAAACAATGTAAATATCAAGAATGAGGCTGTAGATCAATGTTTATGGTAATGGAAATATGTCCATGGCACCTTTAAAGAGCAAAATCAGCAGTTTTTTTGGGTTTTTTTTGTTTTTTTTTAAGATTGGCACCTGAGCTAACAACTGTGGCCAATATTTTTTTTTTTTCTGGTTTATCTCCCCAAATCCCCCTGGAACATAGTTGTATATCTTAGTTGCAGGTCCTTCTAGTTGTGGCATATGGGACGCTACCTCAACGTGGCCTGACGAGTGGTACCATGTCCGTGCCCAGGATCCGAACCCTGGGCTGCCGCAGTGGAGTGCGCAAACTTAACCACTCGGCCACGGGGCCAGCCCCAAGTCAGCAGTTTTTAAGCGTGTATGTAATATGATTCCGTTCTGTAAAAAATAAGTATATCTCTATACATATATGTGTAGAGAAAGTCTGGAAGGATATGCACAAGTTATTAATAGAGGCAAACTTTTCTATTCTGAATGAATGGTTTTATAATGGACAATATGTTACCTCTGAAATTAGAAATAACGGTAAAGCTCTTTGCATTAAAAATTGCTGTGATAACTGCTTCTATCTCTAGATGAAACATGTTCTAGAAAAATGGCTTTAGACTGGGAGCTGCAAGTCTTGTTTTGGGTTCATAATACCATTCTGTCTAGTTGGGTATCTATTTGGAAATTAGCATAATAAAAAGTAAAAAGTTTAAAAAAGGGGGGGCGTTGAATTTCAGCTCCATTTCTCTCTGTGTGACCCTAATTGCGATAATTATCCACTCTGGACCCTATTTTCCTTATCTGAGAGGCAGGATGGGCTGTGTTCTAATCCGTGGTCTCCACTTACTCACTGGTGACTGAACCAATTACTTAAATCTTCTGTTTTGTTTAGTTTCTCAAGCTGGGAAATGATGGTAATAATGATGATGATGGTAATAGTAATACCTACCTTATAGAGCTGTTGCATTAAATGAATTAAAATACATGTCTTGTATTTAATAGGTGTTTATTATTCTTATTATCTGCAGAATGGGATGATGATAATGATGCTAAAATAAATCTTGAAGATTTGTTGTGGGCATCAAATTAAATAAAATACTTCTCACCTAGTAAATATTCACCAAATGCTAGTTGCATCTACACTGGAAGTAGTACAACAAAAACACAGCCTGAGTAAGTTTTCTTCAAGAGAATAGCCAATATAATTTATTTATCTCATGTCATATCTAGAAAATAGGTAACAGAACATTGAATGCAAGACTCTTGATTTTTAGTCATTGAGGAAAATACCCCTTTTCTGTTCAAATATTCAATATATTTTCCTCTTTTAAACTCTGGACTGTCATATTAAACAACACAAATATTTCTATACAATTTTATTTTTAGAAATCTTTATTGGATCATTGTAATTCTTTATTATTCCACTAACTCAAAATAATTTGTGCTGCCTCACTGATGTCCTCTGTAAATGGAGATGATACAGTTATGCCATTTTAAATAATTTAAAGTGCCATGTTCCCTACCACCTATCCATTTGTGTAGTATATTAGTCTGTGTACCCGGCTATCAGATGCCAACACACTGCCTGGTCTTTTAATACAGAGCCATTAACCATGTGAGGATCAGAAACGATGTATACATTAATGATATATTTTAATTTAACACATGACAGCAAGGGAAGGCTGAGTGACAGACCACATTTAGTTACAAATAAGGGAAGAACTCATTGCTTAGGAGTGTTCAAGTCACAGGTGAATAGCAAAAGGTTTTTATTCCTTCCCTGGCAGAACAAATTTATCTTCTTAAAAGTCACCTTTATGCTTTCTACTTATCATCAGGAAGGCTGCATTCTGTATTTCAATTTTATGTGGACAAGACATTAATTTTAAGTGAAAGACATTGTCCTGTGCTGGAATTAAATGAGGTCGTTATTGGTTTGAGTGGTAAAAGTGTGTGTGAGGGGGTTCAGGCTCATGTTTGGCTTTAATGAGAAAAGTGCTATGTGAATATGGTTCTCTTGACTTTTTTGGCACTGAAAGCAAAATCTAAATGGGGCAATGAAGTTGAAAGCCATTAGTAGCCTCTTTAAGTACCTGGAGTCAGGGTGTACAGGTGATATCATCAGAAAGGGAATGTGGTAGAAGAACATATCAGTCCTTTCTCAGTCAAAAGATTGATATAACTGCTCAGAATTGATTTTAGATCAAGGAACTCAAAGAGCATGAACTTTTGCTATTGAGAAAGGGACTTCAGAGGTCACCTAGTTTGAACCAAAATTTAATCCTTTCAACGATAATGTCTATCCATTTCTTAAACACCTCCAGAAGAGAGATTTAGCCACTCCTCCTGATAGGATCAAATTGGCAGGATAGAGAGAAAGCTGGTCATTAGACGTGATGAATATTTAAAACAACCATAACACTTTTCATATCTGAGAGAAAATAAATGAGGTTTTGTTCAAATAAGGCCAAGAAGACCAATTCAGCTCTATTCAGGGA